TCCAGTAGCATGGTCACTTGTAGGAGATTTGGAAATTTGTAGGAATTTCCCACAGGCTTGGAAAATGTCCTAAAGTATGCTCTCCTAGTTCTAGTGGGAGTCTACTCATATCTAAAATTTTTCTTAAAGAAAGAAGGAAAAGGGGGGCAGCTATAAGAGAGAAAATGATGGAAGTGCTTCTGTCTTAAGTATCCAGGTTACTTATGTGAACAACATAAGCAAACACTGTCCCTTAGTGTCTTAGAAACCTCTCCATCAACAGTAGCCCCAAGTAATAGGAGGAGATGCCTAACAGGTATTCAGGCTTGCCTCCTTTCTCCCTTAACTGTTCTGTTCAGAACCAGTATGTGCGCATGGGACCTCACCAGAATTCTGATCTAGAAGTGGCATTTATCTGACATGTTAGCAAATACAGCTAGTGATATCCTTGTTGAGGCTGTGAGTGCCACAAACATCTCAACGGTTTGGGAATCTTCTAGGTGTTCCCCACCCCCCTTCTAAATTTATTCCTGGGCAGTTTCCCAAAACTCTTAGGCAGATGGAATGGTTCATACCCGAGCCAGACTTCTGTGACTAATACACTTCTATTTTTGAAGTGTGTGCAAAGACCAACACTTAATATAGGTAGGACATGAACAGATACCTGGCAGAAGCTAGCTTTGTGCATTCTGATCTCCTTGCCTGCCTTCTGTCATACTGTTGTCTCTGTTCTTCTAACCCCTGGGTAGGTAAGGTAGAGTAAGCTCTTGAATCCATTTGCTCCTTAGACTAAAACAGGCACTCACTCGGACGAGACAAAGGCAGAGGGGAATTTCCTCTTCAGGAGGGTATGATCTGGCTAGGGAGACTTATAAACAAATGTATGCTCAGAGCCTGGCTGTGGCAGCTGGCAAGAGCTTCTTGAAGGCACCAGCAGCCTTGATTTGTGGAGCTTTGCTCATTGTAGAGATACTTGCTCTGTTGGATGGAGAGAAGAGTGATGAAAAAACAAGGCAGGAAAAAGCTGGCTAGGAAGGACTGTGGGCTGCATTTATGTTCAAACCAGTCATTGAGGGAGTGAGCCCCTGATTTCAGAGAGAGGAGAAAGCAAATGGTCTTGAAGTGCAAGGAAGTCTGGAATGTTCCAGAGCCAGGAGGCCTGCATGGCAGAGACGAGTAGTGAAAGGAGATGCCATTCAGTTAGAGGAATAGGTTAGGGAGGACTTTTTGGTCATTACAAAATTATTTTTGGGAGAGGGAAGGATATTGGTGGAGTTTGAGTGCAGTGACATGTGGCTTGGTTTTAGCCAAGGATCCATTTGGCCACTGTTTGGAGATTAGCCTGAAGGAAGGGAGGAAGTGTGGAGTGATTGTGCCGCTGGTGGGCATTCATGTAGAGATTGTTCTGCAGTTGGGGCAGCATGGAGCACTTTGGTGGTAATTCCCGGCAATGACCAGGCATCTTTAGACTGTCTGGTGAAGAGCTTGCAAGGCTGTTATGAAGTAGCTATGCAGACAGTCACCAGCAATTCAGGTGCTGTTTCTAGAAACTGTGCCCTGCCAGAATTTGCTTGGGAGGTTTCATAAAAGAAAGGGTATTTGTCAGGCCTTCGCATTTGACTTTTACCCCTACTGATTGGCTACTGCAAGCTCTTAACCTTTTGAGGTTATTTATGACCCTGTTGTATAGCTTAAGTGTGTAATTTATTGTATGGTTCTATGGAACTAATTCCATTACATGATTCTATAGTGTACCCACTGAGCTCCACTCCTAGCATGTTGCAAATCCAGAAGACATGGGCTGTGTGATCAGGTGTATCATCCAGACACTGTAGTTTCAGCAGATTTCCATAGCTTCAGAAGTGGGTGGTAGTTTCAGGCTAGACTGTAGTAATCTAAGCAGACCCCTTTGTCTGTGAGGAAGTGTGGCTGCTACTCCTTCTGCTCCTGCTCCTTCCCCATCCCCATCTTCATCCTCATCTCCCAACTGTGTCTACCACAGCAGGCCTCTGAATTAGTAATACTCTGCTTGTGCAATGATTAGTTCTTGTTTTTAATATGTATATGCATGTTATTGAGGATATTTAGTTCTCATCAGGCGATTCATGAGTCGTCATTTCTATAAATACAAAATTTGGTGATGATTGAGACAGGGTGGAAGAACTGAAGGCTCTTTTGAACAGGTTGCTGCAATTTTCCATCATGCCTTGTTGTGGACTGAATGCTTTGTTCCTCCAGTGTTCATGTTCTAGATATGACTCCCAGGTCAGAGTTTTCAAAGAAGGCTTTGGTGTGGGTAGAATTTGGAGATGAAGCTCTTTGAGATCAGTGTCCCTAGCAAAGAGGTGACCCTTCGCTGCCTCCTTCATTCATGGTGCCAGTGAGAAGGCTCCCTGTCACATAGACATTCCACCTTCACTCTGCACTGCCCAGTTCCAGAACTGGGAGAAGTAGATATTTGTTCCTCACATGCTGTCTGTTTTATAGCATGGAGTGGGCTAAGGTACTTGTGACCATGCTGCCATGTGCTGATGCTTCATAAGTAAAGTTGAGCACATTGGTCCCCTCCTGCTCACTGTTATAGTGCTCTCTCTCTCTCTCTCTCTCTAAATATATATATATATTAACATAGACTTTACTTTTTTTTTTTTTTCCCAGTGTGATCAAACACAAAATCTTGCTTTTCTGGGCAAGTACTCTGCCACTGAGTTACAACCCTAGGCCATGATTATATTCTCAGTGCATGCAATCTCATTTAATCTTCCAGATAGGCCTAGATGCACAATAGCATTCATATTTGGTACAGAATGATGTTCAGAAAGATTAATTTTTCTGGGGTTTTGGAGGTAGGGGTATATTCAGGATTTGGACCAAGAGCCAACTCTGGTCCAGGATTGTTTTATTACACCAGGATAGAATAGGGTCTGGGGACATGCAAAAGCCTGCCATGCTTTAAGCCTGCACTTCCTGGTGTTTTTGTCCAGATGAAAGGGGCTCAGTGACAGAAAAAGTGAGAGCATTGTTTTTGGTTGTCATGTGGGGTGTGACTAGGAGAAAAATGGGATGAAAAAAAAAAGGTTTTGGGTCCGGGTGGGTTTGGAGCAAAGCAGACTGACTGCCATGGGGAGATGTTCATGTGCCTTAGGCACAACGGCTTGGTCCTAGTCAAGCTGTGAGGGACTTATCTGCCAGAACCAGAACACTGGAAAGCAGAAACTTCCCAGAAGAGGCAGATCAGATTCAACAACAGGATGGAAGGGCCACCAGGTGAAGGGAGGGGAGCAGCCAGAGGCGCTCTGGTTGGGAGTTAGTGATAAACAGTGGTAAAAGTTCCATTACCACAGAGTGCAAGCTCCTGTATAGGGCACTTTATGGAGCTGAAAGAATAAGGGTAGGGACAGTCACACGCTGATGAGGACAGTGAAGGACAGAGAGCTGCTGTGTCAAGTGCAGAGGCAGCTGCTGCAGTGGAGACAGACTGGCCTGGCACCCTGATTCGGAGCAAATTTCTTACAGCTTAGGACTCCATTTCCTCGTCTGTAAAATGGGCACCTTGCAGGGATGGAGCACCTTAGAAGAGTATTAAAATAACAGGAGATGAAAGAAAATGCAGGCACACCGGTGGGTGGAGCACTTTAACAAGTGTCCATGGGAATTCTGCTAGGAAGGTTAGAGGAAGCTTTCTGTATGGTGTGAATGGGGGACTCAGAGAGTGGCCAGGGGTAAGCTAGCTCCTAGTTCCAGTTCCTTCCTCATGGGAGCCTGAGGTTGGTGGTTCCCACTGTTCTGTGGCTGGCCTAGGTAGTGACAATTCTGGAATTTTAGTTTCTTTAAAAACACAGAAATATTATTAGAATGTGTTATCATTTTAATCCCAAGTGTGAGGATATGGGGCTGCTTCGGACTGTCTGCATCAGCTGACTGTGATTTGCCTCGTGCTCTAGCAGAGGCATGGTTTTGCCAGCTGTAGGTAGTTTCTGCAATTGTGTGACATTTGGAATTCTGGGAACTTTTCAGAGGGTATATAAACGCTAAAGCCCCAATAGGTAGGTGGGTGTTGTTCATTTAGGAAGGTTGGTTGCAGTTTGCTAGTAGCTATGGTCAAAGAAGAAACAAAACGATAGAAATGAGATTCAGAGATTTTCCTAATTCTGCTCTCCCCTCTATCCTCGTTTTACTCCTATCTAGTGTTAGGGGGTAAAACTGGGGGGGAAGGAGGGTGGGAATAAAAGGTAGGAAAAAGAGAACCCACAGAGTAGCAAAGACCAAGTACAGGTTTGGGGCTGGAACATTAAAGCTCAGAGGAAACAGAATGAATTTTAAATGAGCAACATGTTGAAGAGCTTTGTGGTCAGGCCAAAAATGGGTCCAGATTCAGAGCAAGAAAAATTTAAGGGGAGAGCCCAACCCTGGCTCTCAGCTGACCAGTTGACCCAGTAGAATGAGTGCTGGCAGACTCTGTGAAGAGTCAGACAGGGATGCTGGGTCTGTGGACCCAGTTTACCGTCTAGTTTGAGAGGCGGGAAGGTTTGCAGTCCTCACAGAGAATGAACAGAGATGCTTGTCTCCATGAATTCAGTCTAGAGTATGGTATATGAACAGGTGCAGCATGGCTGCCACCAACTTCCCTGGGCCAAGAGCTCAGGTGAGGGTTATTCCCTAGCTTCTTCTAACTGGAAAGGAGCCACCTGACATGGCAGCCAGGCGTAATCACGGTGAATGTTCTCAGTGTGTCCCAGATTTTTCTCTCTTCTGTTACAAGGTGAAGTATGTACTCATGCTTATTTAATTCATATAGAAGTAGCCAACATTCAATGCTTTGTGCAGTCTTTGCCATTTAAGATGTCACTGCCTGTTTCACTTATGTAGTATTTTAATGAATGTATAGTTTCCCATTGTCAGCATTTAGTATTTTCTCACTTCAGGACAGCTAACTTTTATCAGACTTTCCCCATTACAAGGGTGATGACTCATTCCTTCCTTCATTTTCCCCCTCCCTCATGATGACTCTGTTTTTGCAGTATTGCTGGAAGCCTGGTGTATTCTTACATCACTTTCACCGAAGAGCAGCTGAGCAAACAGTCAGAGGCCAGTAACAAGCTGGACACTAAGGGGAAAGGAGCAGTTTGACCCAATGGCACCAGCTCCACGGACCCTGAAGACACTGAGGCGTCCTAATTGTGGGGAGTAATACTCCTTTGCAATTGTACGACCCTAGGGTTGATTGCTGCCTTTGAAAATGTATTGACTGTATGTTAACTATGTTTGAATTAATTTATATCAGACTGGAAAATGTACTGGGTGGGTTTTAATTTATTTTTCTTCTTTGACAGTGAAGCATCAGTGTTTTGAAATCTTTTACTCTGTTGCTATCCAGGTGACTCTGACAGTATATACAATGTGTTCCAGCTAGAGCTGCCTTTCAGCGGGCTGCCTCTGCAGATAGTGCAGCTGGAAATGCGGCTGAGGATCTGACATTTTTTTCCTCCTTTCTCTCTCTCTCCTTCTTCCTACTTTTCCTCCTCCTTTTTTATTGCATTGTCTTCATAGTATCACCTTATTTGCCAAAGGTGATGGCTTTGGCACTAAAGGCCCCATGAGGCTAGATTGTGTGGGGTGAGCAGAGCGTGCCTTGGAATGTCTGATTCTTTTTTATTCAGTAGGAGACAAGCAAGGGTGGAGGAAGCTGGCCATTTACTCAGTTATTCATTCAAGTATAATGCATTGAATGTACCTGTTGGCCATTGTGCTGAGTGCTGGGATATAGAGATGAGTTGTTGGTGGTTGAAACACCCATCCCTGCCATAGACTGAATGTAAGATGGAGAACTTGATTCTCTGTCCAACTGGAAAACTCTGGGAATGTGTGCCAGTTACTTCAGCCCTCTGGAACTAATGTGTGCCAGTTACTTCAGCCCTCTAATCCCATAGAAACACCTGCCCTTCTTCCCCACAGCCATGAGTCCAGAGCCCACAATAAGAGATCAAAGAGCTCCAGTCTTGAAGCCAGCACAGCAGTGGCTCAGCCTGGCCCTTCTCTCAGTGGGACAGATAGTCAAAGTGGCTACCATGTTCCTCCCCATGCCTTCATCATGTGGATGTAGTTGTTATTCTTTGTATTCTTGTTTGCAGGTCCCCATGACAAGGCAGGGGCCCACATTAACTGACTAGTGTGAGGGAAGAGCTAGGCAGGTGTCTTTGTGTTGTTGGGACTTGGTCTTTCCTTGGCAAACTCTAGTCCCTTCTCCCTTAAATGATGTGAGGTCAGCTCTCATCTGCAGCTGCACCCTCCTGCTGTGCTTCCTCATTCTGAGAGAAGCGCTGAATGGATACTGCCTGACCTGCCTGACCTGTTTGCCAAGGCTGGGTGGCATGGCTCAAGAGACATCACTGGCTTTGGAAGTGGGTGTGTTTTCTTGGGCCAGCAGTCAATTGCTAGGGGCAGGACACTCACCTGTGTCTTGTTCCTGGTGAGCAGCTGACTCCTGGCCTAAACAGCTTGTATTTTTGTGTCTCAATGGTGAATAGGAAAGTTTTGATTTTTTTCCCCCTTATATTTGAAATTTTTTATCTGGAGGCTCCATCTTGCATATAAATTTTTTAAGAATGCACATCTGCAAGTTTTCTGTAATCTTGTATCAGAAATCTGTGGAAGGTTTTAGTCCATAAAGCTGAGGCTGGCTCTCCACAGTGTTTTTCTTTATTGGTTGCTTCACAGGTCCACAGGGGTGCTAGGTCTGGGCACCTTTGCTATCCTTACTGGGGGCTTATAGTGAGTAAAGACATAGCGACCAGCACTTTATTAAGCCTGCAGACAAATAGGACATAGTCTGTAACTCTCATGTGTATACTTGTTCAGCCCGAGGTCTGAGATTACCTGAAAGGACACAAATGAATAGAATAAGACCTGCCTGCAGTTTTGAGTGCCACTGATTTTAGCCCAGCCTGAAAGAACTAGGTTCCATTTCAGAGGACATGGACCCTAGATCATCTTTTAGCTCTGATGAGCCATGCAAGTCTTAGAACTGCCTACCTGAGTCCTCCTCTGACGTGGATGCTCTTTTTTCCCACATCTGTGCGTTGCTGGTTTCTCCCATGAACAGGCTATAATGGACTTTTCCTTCCCTGGGGAAAAATACGGAGAAAGTGCAGTGCCCACTGCATTCGGCACACAGCAGAAGCAGGCCTGTTGTCCTCTCATGGCGGACTGTGCTCTTTCAGTGCTGGCCAGATAGGGCACACACATGCTTCTGGAGCACAGGCTTCCACCTGCAGATGCTGAGGCCATAGTCTCTGTCCCCGATCTTTTTGAAAACAAAACAAAAATAGTCTCCGTATAATTATAGCCACTGTGAGTTTGCTTTTCTAAAAGGAAATTATTTTCATTATTATGAAGACACATTTGAAAAGGGAAAACTATGTTAACTATGTTCCACCTCAGTGGGAGACAGCTGCATTTCAGAATGGTGGCTCAATGGAGACTCAGCTGTCAGCCTAAGGTGGCTCCCAGGCCTTCCTCACTCACCTCGGAGCTAAACACCCTGGACTCCATCCAGTCTCTGACACCATCGCTTTCCTAAGCCTGCTTTCTACTCCTACTGACCACCTGTGGGATGGAGAGATACTCTAGTGGTTTTTTAAACTTTATTTTGAAAATATTTTTTTAAAAAAGAAATCTACTGGTTAGATTTTATTGTCTCACAGAAATGTTTTTAGAGATTATTTTGTTCACATTTCCTTTCTCATGCTGTTGACTGACCTATGCCTACAGGCGTTCACCTCTCACAATGTCTTTTTCAATATAGATTTTCCTTACCAACTTACTGTTTTTAAGAGGTACTGAGCATTGAGGTATGTAAATCAGGTGACATAAACAGGAAAAATCATGTGCCTAAATATTTTTTTAATGATGTCAAATAAATACTTTTTCTGGAAAATGTGTTTTAGAATTTCTTCCTTCTGCATTGAGCAGTTGAGAACTAGGGATCTGCTCACACTTAAGAAGGTACATACAGGGGCTTGCGATTGATCCTGGGGTAGGGACACTATTCAGTACTAATGCTTTGCAAAAGTATTACCTGTGACTGCCAGGTAATACTGTCTTTGACATGCCTGTGATGAACTGGAAGGAGAGAGATGCTAACTTGTCTTCAGGGTGTGACTTGCTTGGTAAGTTGTGTGTGTTAAGTAGCTTTACTAGGTCATAACTCCCAAATAAAGAGCGCAACAGGAGAGCCACTTTGGCAAAGTAGACTCAGTGGAGACAGAAGTACATTAAAGCATGACAGAGGCTGGACCACATGAAGGTACCTTCTAAGAAGTTACCATCGTTACCTTACTGCAAGCATGCAATGCAGCGTGTCCACCTTACATGCATACACCAACACCAGGTTAGTGTCAGCAAAAATTTGGAGTTAACTACAAATTCCTAATTCGGAAATCCACAGGGCTCTGAAAATCAAATTCTTTTTGAGCTGTCAAACTCATCTGGCCACCAAGGCTAGCCTGCAGTTTGTTAACAATGGGTGCATTTTGAACCTGTCCTTACCCATGCCTCTCTTGTTCCTTGAGAGTTCCTGTGTGGTGGCACAGGTGCTCACAGCCTTGTGACAGTCCCAGTACACACCATCCTTGCTTTACCTGGAGCCAGTTTAGGGGTTATCATAAGATGGAACGAGTGTCCACCTTGAGATGTCTTGAAATATGGCTGATTTGGATGGAAAAAGAATGGTGTTATAAAACGGCTGTTTTTGGAGGATTCTAAGTAAAATGGGAGTATTCTCTGGTAGGAAAGGAAATAAAGACATATTGTTGAAGATAAGGGAATACAAGGCCAGGTAGGCTTTCAGTGGCATTCTCTGAGGACTACTTGAAATGAATGCCGGTTTTGCTTTTCCTGCCCGTTCCATGATCTACTTGTTGGGCACATTAGCACAGATACCAGCTGACACTGGTGCAGAAACCTTTCTGCCAGTTCTAGTACAGAAGAGTCACTCTTCAACCAAAACCATATCTCAGAAGGGAACGCTCAGCATGCAAGTCACAACCGGATTCAGACCCTCTGTGGAGCCCAAGACTTTGGACTGCAAGGACTTTCAGCTTTACCTCCTGTGAAAGTGATGCTCCTCTCCAAAGTACAATGTTCAGGCATGGGAACACACAAACAGCAGGGTGCTACGACTTTAACTGCGAGGCCATTTGAGGAAAGGTTTTCAAAATATATTTTCATAAAGCCAGTGTCACTTTTTCACTTCCAGGCCATTCTGACAGAATTGAGCTGTTTCATGTGCTGAGCACTTGCAGAATCATTAGAAACTTTGCAGACAGCCCAAGCACAGTTACATTGTGTTTTCTAAAACAGCAGCCGCCATCTTTTAACACCAGAAGTGAATGTAGGCAACAGAGTGGATAGCACACCGCAAACATCAAACTCCCAATTCAGGAGGCTGGAAATCACAAAATACTAGCCACCCAAGTAAATCACCACCTACCATCTATGTGTTCAGAGGGGATTAATGAGCTATTAAAACAACTTTAAAAGGGTACACTCAGAATGACTGGCGACTCGTGTTCATCTGGCCAAAGCTCAGATGGACCCTAAAGGAAGACAAATGTACTGTCAAGTCTCTTTGGAATAAGCCCTGTCCCAGTTTCTTAGAATCTGAGGCTGTTCCAATCAGGGCCCAGAAGCCTCTCCTTCCCAAGGTAAGTTATACAGTCCTCATGGTATTTCAAAGCCCACCTGCTTTCAGAAAGAGGCACAAAAATCCTTTATCCTGCAGCTGTCCTAGTTGTTTCAGCCCACAATGTTAGCGATGATAAGAATCTGTTTAACCATCAGACCAGACCTCCACGAGGCCACACCTAAGCTCAGGCTTAGGCAGTGAGTGGTCCCTGTGCACATGCTCGGCTGACAGTAACAAACTATACACAACTGTCCGATAGAAGACACTCTGTAGTCGGTATTAACAACAAATGTTATCTGCAGGGCAAGCACACATTTATGTTGGTCAGTGTTTAGCAAACCTTACTTGAAGAAAATCTTACTTAGCTAAAGTTCAGTGGTGGGTGAACACATTTTCCCATCACTCCTGCTGTTCCCGTACAGAGCGCTTGCGTGGATCAACACTTGTCTATTTGAAGACTTGCTGGATCTCTGAAGTGCCTGATACAAGAGCCCCAGTCATTCGCTGGATTTTAGGGTGTGTGGAAACACAAGAGTTAGTCAGTTCTTAAATTTTATTTGTATGGTGTTTCTTGCGCATGCAACTACGTCTGTGCACCATGTACACGCGGTGCCTAAGGAAGCCAGAAGACACCGCCAGATCTCTCGGTACTGGAGTTACAGCTAGGCTGTCAATCACCACCAGGGTGCTTAGAGTCAAACCTGGGTCCTCTGGAAAAACAGCCAGTGCTCATAATGGCTTAACCAGCTTTCCTGTCTCACATTTAAATGAGGAAGTCTTCACCCTCAGTTCTGATGGAGGAAAACTAGAATATGGTTCTAGTTTACACAGCTTTAGTGGTAGCAGCAGACAGTGTATAGTGTACACATACATGTGTAAATATAGAAAACTTAAAGCTGGGCGATAGTGGCGTACACCTTTGACCCCAGCACTTGCGAGGCAGAGGCAGGCAGATCTCTGTGAGGCCAGCCTGGTCTACAGAGCAAGTTCCAGGACTGCCAAGGCTACACAGAGAAACCCTGTCTCAAAACAAAAGACAAAACCCCAAACAACAATAATTAGTGTCTCATTTGGCCCAAGTAAGCCTCAGACTCGCTCTGGAGGCAGGCAAAGACTTTGAATTCTTATGTGAGGCCCTGGTTTCTACCTCCCAAGTAGTAGGACCACCAGTGTCGTTTCATGCCTTTAAACCTGTTCAAATTATTTCTTATTCTAAACAAACATTTAAGTACATCTTTTTATACATCCTAAATATGTCACTTTTTTCATGTCCTAGGACTGGAATAAGTTAATTCAGATAATACACGAAAGCAGGTTAGCTTGGGTGAATGATTCTGTGAAAGACAAATTTAAAGAACAGTGTAAAATTTTATGATAAAAATTCCAAATAACCAGAATTACAAGACCTAGAAAAAAAATCACTTTCATTAGGGAAAAAAAAAAATCAAGATTAAAATCTGAGAAGTCATCCTTCCAATGTGTTATGGATTTTGATATTCCATTCTGATGAATACAGTTGACACTTGGTGTGTGGCTGGTACTCAGCTGCATACAGTGGGTGTATTGGCAGGACACTGAAACTGTTGCTTATGAAAGTAAAACAACACTCAGGTATTCGAAGTGCCACTCTGAATTACCTACCAACAGAAAAGTATCGTAACAAAACAAGTTTTATTTTACAAAATAAGTGGTGTATACTTCATTGAAAAAAAAACAAACAAACTATATTTCCAAATTTATTCATTTTACATCCTGATCTCAGCCCCTATCCCACACCAACCCATCAGGACTAAGAGCATCCTCTTCCACTGAGGCCAGACAAGGCAGCCCAGCTAGGAGAAAGTGATCCGAAAGGAGGCAACTCAAGTCCATGTCAGAGACAGCCCCTGCCCCTTTTTAATTATACAGTTCAGAGAAAGAAGGCAATGGAGGTCCTAGGAGTAAAGCCTCTCTGGGGAGAAGGCAAAAATACACCTCCTCCCCTTTCAGGTATAGTGGTATACATTTTTAATTCTATCACTTGAGACAGAAAACCAGTCTGGGTCTTTTTTCTAGGCAGGCCAGGCGCACACCTTTAATGCTAGCACTTAGGAGGCGGAGGCAGGCGGATCTCTGAGTTCGAGGGCAGCCTGGTCTATGTAGTGAGCACCTAGACATCCAGGGCTACGTAACAGAGAGACCTTGTCTCAAAAAACAAACCAACCCCAGACCCAAAAGAGCCTGTCTGTCTGTCTATCAATGCTTAAAAGGACAAACAAAACAATCATACAATGTCAAGTAAATCAGGAGTCACTGAAAATCTGTTCTGTGCGCTGTGCGCAGGCGTGGAGGCAAGGGATGTATACACCTGCACTGTGTGTACTGTGCAGCACGGAGATTAAAAGCTGGAACACCTGAGCAAAAAAATTCACAGTATATTACACATGTATGTTTACAAAAATACTTTAATGAGCATATCAGAATGGCAGAAGGAAATTGGAGAAAGGACATATTTTACAGTGCAAAATAATTATGCAGAAATTTAAAAACATCTAATTCATAATTTTGAATGCCTATTTAAATTATTACTTCAGATACATTTGAAAGCTCAACAGATTTGTGTTGAACTGAGTACAGATTCTGAACCTTACTGAGAATACATCACAAAATATATATTCCAAATGAAAATGACAGTGCTTTGCTAGGGCCTAAATAACTACCAACGGAGACTTTTCTATTTGAGATCGTGTCTCAGGTATCCCAGGCTGGCCTCAAACTCACTATGTAGTTGAGGAGGGCCTTGAATTTCTGATTCTCTTGCCTCCACCTCCCAGTGCTGGGATTACAGGCATGCACCACCACACCCAGTTTATGTGGTACTGCGGATGGAACTCAGGGCGTTATGCATGTTAGGCAAGCATTCGACCAGCCGAGCTACAGCCCCTGCCCACAACGAAGGCTTCTTTTCTCACCTCAATTTATTAAGAGCTTAAGAGTTATAAAATGTACTAAATCTTAAACAAACTAGATTCATGATATTGCCAAGATGTTTAAATAGTGCAATGACTTCTCAAGTTGCAGTGGTTGCATTTTAGAACAAGGGGTGAAATACCTGTATAGACAAAACACAATAAAGTATTTGGAAAAAGCTGAGCATCACGTATTAGTGGAATGTTTCATTATGCATACTTTAAAAAGAGAAGTAAGATTTACTAACATTTATATATCTGGCACATTTGCCAACATGCCTGAGAATTTCTTTAAACATTCCTATAACAATAGTTTCAATAACTCCACAAACTTGCTCACCAGATGCATCCTTAAAAAGATGGACACGGGGCAGGTGGATCTCTGTTGAGTTCGAGGCCAGCGTGATCTCTAAAGTGTGTCCAGACAACAGAGAAACCCTGTCTGGAAGGGCCAAGAGAGGTGGCAGGACCCTTCCAGTATTGCAATGACTAAAAAGCACAACATCACCGCCCTTTTAAGACATTCCTATAGACCATCTGTGACTAAGGGCTAGGATGGTATAAACAGATTGTAACTGGGTATGGTGGGAAAACATCTCCAGTCTCAGCATCAGGAGGCTGAGGGAAGAGGATTGTTAAGTTCCAGGCCAGCCTGGGCTACACAGTGAGACTCTGTCTTAAGAAAAAAAAAAAAAAAAAAAAAAAAGAGAGAAAAGAAAAGGAAAGCAAGGAAGTACGGACAGGAGAGAGAGAGAGAGAAAGAATGTGTGAGGGTAGAAAGGGGGTGGGCAGGGAGACAGAAACTGTGACCATCTGCTAAAGCTACTTGACCTACTGCCATTCTGGATAAATTACTGTTTTCAATAAAACAAACAAACAAAAACCCTCTTGCTTCTTAGCACTTCCATTTGAAATTTACTTACTGGGATTATTTCTACAAAAACAGTAAATGCATATTATATGATGTGTTGTCAAAGTGGCTTCCAATACTGATTGGGGAAAAGAAAAAGTTATTCCCATTGGTTAGGGGAAGCAGTCTGGACAAACATAAGAATACTCTGAGGGATGAGGCCTGGACAATCATTCTCAGTGCAAACTTTTACCCAACCTGCATCAGACAACTGAGCCAATAAAAGGACCACAGATCTGTCTATAAAAGCATTGGCTCTTGAACTGATGACTGAGAACAAACTGAAAGCAGCATTTGGGGATGTGCCTGTGTGAGAAAAGATAGTTAATAATCATTTACTAAAAAAAAGTCTGGAGATAGATTGGCCTATCAGCTGTATAAAACTACATTTTGTAAGAATTTTGCACTAAAAATAAAATGGCACCCCATCCTTAGAAGGCTAGTGCACAGATAACCCTTTAAAAAAAAAAAAAATCACACAGAACAGTGATTCTATTGTATGTGTTTCATTTTGGAAAAACAGTATCAAATCTGACAAAATGGATTATAACTGGAAATATCTGAAAATTCTTAAAACCATTATTTTCTCATAAAAATCAATATTGCTACCTGTCAACAGTTACTCCTTGGATATGGCAGTATCTCAACATCACCTGGTCTTTCCTTTCTGCTGACTTAATGAATACAATGGGAAATCCTATAGTGCATATGAGAGTAACCAAATAAGATTCTATTCAGCATGATACATTTACATACTTAAGCTGACAGTAAGTCTTTGTTTTGCTTCAAAAATAATTTTGAAAATGATAGTAAATGCAAACTTTTACTATTGCAAGCTTGCAATCTGAGTATCATGCTGAAATTCGGAAGTCCCAAATTATTTGTCCATAAGTAGAAGTTTGAAAAAAAATGTTCATAATTCTTTATGAATGCTTTTACCACCTGGATAAGAAACATGACTTTGTTAACTACACACACTTAAAAATTCCTTAGAAAAATCTTAGCAAAATAAAACGAAAGCTGACAGACTCAGAATATCAGTTCCTCTCATAAAAGTTTAACAACTGTACAAGTTAAGAAAATTATACAAGCTTTTTGTATTAAGAAAGAACAGCTCAGTCAAGACATATGTACTGTAAAAATCTTTCAAAGGCTACAGAGAATCTGGAAAAATACAGAATGTATTTCTTAAGCCCAGATAAGAATATGGAAAGACATCATTGATGTCAACAATTTTACAAATACAAACCTGACTTGGTTTATTTTAAAACTTCTACATATAAAAATCATGCTAGCATAACCTTCAGGATTCACGAGGGCTTCCTCAGTGACAATGTTCAATTTGTATAGAAAGAAAAAATGTCTACTGTAAAGACATTTCCAGATAATAAAAAAATTGGTGTTGAGCAGAAACACAAACTTTTTTTCTTTCCCCTATACTTTCTCATAAAAAGGAAAAATTACTTTCAGTCAAATTTATGATTAGTATCCCAAATGAGAAAGTACTGAAAAGTCTTTGGGTCACATTCAGATTAATCAATGTTTTTATAACTTTAAAGAGGTCTTCAACAATTTGAAGTAAAAGAACTTACAAATGGTGGAATTATGAATCCCATTTCTTAAAGTTAGGACTCAATTCAAATTTCAAGATTTAAGCAACTGCTTCAAGGAAATCAGCTTTCTAAAGGTTACCCACCAACCCTGAAAATTGTAGTCATACCAAAATTTACTGCAAAGAAAGTAAAATAGGCCTAAGACTTAGTCATTTGTGTTTTCATGTTCCTCAAATTTTCCATGTGAGACTGCTTCTTGGAAAAATTCAGACGAACCCGGACTTTCCTTCCCATTGCTGTTTATCCGTCGCCTTTTGGCAGGTCTCTCATTTTTTTCATCAAAATCATTTTCATTTCTTGCAGTCATATGGGCAAGTTTTGGGTCAGTGCTCAGGCTATCTGCTTCATAACCATTAGTGTCCATATCTGTATGAAGTGGTTTTTTATTTCCACCTGTTGGTCCATTAACATGCAAGCCTTCCACTTTCACTTCTTCTTTGTTTAGTATTTCACCTGGCCCATTAGATGACATACCTGCATTGAGAGAAAGATAAATGAGACTTAATACAAACTGGATTAAACTATTCTGAAACAGCCACTATAACACATCAAGGAACAAGAAAAGTATCAAATCTGAGCACACCTGTGCTATGAACCGTGGCTCAACTGTCTACACAGCAGGGTCTCCATAGGCTACACCTTAGCCTCCTTACACACTACGAGACCCAAAGCAAGTGCACATTATAATTGGTGTCAAAATCAACTTAAAGCAATGGATTTTAAGAAAAAAAGACCAGAACCTGACATATACTAAAAGCATACCAGAAGCTGGAGCAATGGCAGTGGCTAAGAACTTTGATGTTCCTAGAGGAGAGCCTGGGTTCAGTTTCCAGAATCCATACGGAGGCTTACCAGAACCCATAACTCTAATCTCACACAGTGGATTACAACCACCTACAACTCTAGTCTCAGGGAATCTAACACTTCCCAGCCTCCTTAGATCATAGGCACACACACGGCACACAGACATACGTGCACACACAGCACCCATACACAAACTTTAAAAAAGTATTCAAGAAGTGTCCCAAGATGTACTTTGTAGGAATATGCTGGCATTGTTACCACGGGAGGTGGAATCTAAAAGATAGCGCCTGACACCATTTCAGATTGTATGGAGTAAAAAACCTAACCATCTACAATAGGTAGAAAAAGTAAAATTATTCTAACTAAAGCAAGTGGCAGAAAGATCATGTTAGAGCTGGATACAAAATGGAACACAAATTTTGGTAATACAAAGTCCACTATAGCATACATGACTAGAGATAATTAAATCTTAATGATGTGAAAAATATTCAACATAAAGCATGGATCTCAAAGATTACATTTTGGTCAAAGAAAATACTCAAATTTTTTCAATTCAGTATATATCCAAATCTTGAATGCATATAGGAACTATGTATCATATAACACTAAAAAAAAAAATAATTCTGTGCTAGCCAGTCCAAAAAACTAGGTTAAACTAAGTTAAAAAAAAAAAAAAGGTATAGTACCATTTCAATGCATTAAGTCTCATACATAAACAAAATAAAGCTAAAGAGTTAAAAGGGGGAGTGGGGCTAGAGAAATGACTCAGAGGTTAAGAGCACTGTCTGCGCTTCTAGAGGTCCTGATTTCAATTCTCAGCACCCACATTGTGGCTCACAACCATCTATACTGGGATCTGATGCTGTCTTCTGTTGTGCAGTTAATGAAGACAGAGCACTCATACATAAAATACCTAAATAAATAAATGTTGAAAAAATGGTCAAAAAAAATTAAAAAATATATAAAAAAATGTAAGCTAAAAAAATTCTATCTTTTCTTTGGAAAACCTGAAGAATCTCAATTATACTATACTTACTTGTTTTCTGAGCCAAATAGCATTTTAAAAGTCATTTATGAAATTATCTTACTCTATAGTGTTTTCTCATAAAAAAGCTAAAAGAGGAAAGAAAAGGGTTTCCTTGGTGTTAAGATGTTAAGACAAAAGTACCTATGGCCCAAACCTCCTGAGCATCTGGCTCCTTAGTTCTGTGTTCAAGTCATATTGCACTTTAAGTCTCTACAAACAAAGCTGCAGCAGACTGTACAACCCCAGTCTAACAAGTAACCTCGGACCTGTGCCTGGTCACTGAGACCCACGTTCTAGCTGGATGGTTTGGTTTTTTTTTTTGTTTGGGGGGGGGGGGGCGGTATTGAGACAAGAATTTCCTGTGTAGCCACTGAACCTATTCTGGCTGGCTGGCTTGTTCTTTTTTCTTTGGTGGGGGAATTACTGAGGCAGTTTCACGTGTAGCTCTAGCCAGCCTGGAGCTCAATATAGAGTCCAAGCTGTCGCAACAGAGATCTTCCTGTCTGACTTGTTCTTAGAGGGAGAAGAATAGAAAAGGACCATGAAATGAACTATGTAATACATACACTACCATCGTGAGAATTTGGGGTCAAAGCTTTTGGCAGTTTCTCGTCTATATTCTCCACAGCTCTCTCGGTTTTAAAGTTTTTAACTCCTGTTTCTTCCCTATGAGGATGGTGCACAATCATGCTTTCTATTTTCTCCCCAATAACTGTCTTACTTGTGACAATTATACAAGAAATCAAACAATTCTTGGACCAACTCTTGCAAACGGTACTTCATACACTCTGAATGAAAAGCACTGTCTGCTTTCTCAGTCTGTGTGTGTGCGTGTTGTGTACATGTATGTATGTGTGTGAATAAACATTTCTGCAGAACACCCATATGCAGGCTGATAGCTACTTCACATTTTTTTTTTACCTTTCCAGATATCATGCAAAGTCAAATATTCAAAACTCACTTATTACCTACATTTTGTCTTTATGATTAAAGTTCATGTTACAAGTTCTCAGCCTATCTCAGAAATGTTTTTGATGCAAAATGTGTGAATTTGTCTAAGAGTTAAAAGCAGTCCTCAGATCTACGCATTAAAATTGCATTCCTGTAAGAAAAGAGATGCTACTCATCACAAATATCTTAAAAGGAACAGCCCCTGTATAGCTTGCTCTACGAATTTTATTTTATGATGTCACTAAGAACTCTTTGCAACTACTCCATGGTGTGTTTCGATGTACACGTGCTGTTTCATGTGATTTATGTTTTCAGCCTCCAGAGCCTTTCATAGTATCCTTCTGTATGAAGAAATGGGCGTGTTTCCAGGTGCTCACCGTTTTGATCACTACTGCTGACAGCGCTGTCTTCTTTCTCCGACTGGCTGTTACTGCTATGTGAGGCAGCAGGGGGAGGGGATGGTGCTCGGCTAGAAGCAGCACTTTCACTTTCGTCCAAAAGACGGTCCATGTAATCCCTTAAGATTAAGTTAAATAATGTAACGATTATTTCCTTAAAGAAAACACTTAAGATTAAAATTAAAGTTAAATTTACAAACACACCCTGACTGTTACGTACTTTCATGTCAATGCCTCACCACTATGTACCAGGATATGAAAACGCACTTGAGAAACTTCTTTCGGATATGGATTTGTAGGGCTATGTATCAAGGTGCTAAACTATGGAAAATGTAAAGTCCATAGTAAGCTTAAAGACTTTAGAATGTGCAGAGAATGTAGTGTATGTAAGCAAAGAGGTAAGGATGATGTCATTGGAAGTAAAGGTGATTCTGTACAAGGTGATTTCTGAACAGATGCAGGTTGGGTTTTCAGCTTCCTAAAGGCAACACCTGGAAGTACAACTGGGGCCACATACAAAAGATCCATCCCTGCCCAGCCACCATATAGATCAGTCAGATCTGTTCTTGTAAAGAGCTATACCTTGTAGCTTACTTGTAGGTCACCTATCAGCTTCTTGCTGTAGACTGGCTTATTTACAACGTCATTATTATCTCATTAGCTGAGGAACACTGTCACTGGGATGAGGTTTACAAAATCTGGGCTAAATACTTGTCTGCCTGAGGTTAATTGATTTTTACAAATGAAATGTGCATAAATTCTATGTGTCCAATTGACACACATGGTTACTGTATCGAACATAAAGTAGCAGGCTACGGCCTGTGGGCTGGTTACTGTCTCTGTACAGTCCAACCGGAACATGGTCATACATTTGTAATCCCAGGACTGGGCAACAGAGATGTTGGATCCTTGCAGCTCACTACCCAAGGCAGCAAGATATGGCAAGCCTTGTATCCCAAATAAGACCCTGTATACACCACCAGAAATTGTCCTTTGGTCTCAATACATATACATGCGCATACACACAAGACAAACACATATGACAGAAACACATTAGGACCAGAAACTAATAAACACAACACTCTTGACCTTATAAATGTAATAGCTTTTAGGATCTTCCAGCTTTATGCTCTACACTGTCATTCAAAAACAACTGGAGAGCCAATATGAAGCACACAGATAGCAAAAGGAAGATGCCTATCAAAGGAATTTCAGAAGCTAAAGCAAAAAGAATAGAGACTACTTAGAAGGAATAAACTACGTAGAAGGAAAAAAACAAAGCTTAGTGGGAATGGACACTGGAGAGTGTTAAAAAGAAGACATTCAAAGGGAAGTTAAGTAAAAAGACAACAAAATTAAGTCTAATTTTCGAGTATGGCAATGATACTGTAAGAAATAAGCATTATTATCTTTATTTTATATCAATGAAATCTCAGATGCTTAGAAAGGAAGTCAGGTAGAACAATCCTGGAAGTTAAGAGTGCTGGATCAGGTAACTGGAGTTTTAGGTATTATTCAGAATAGCAAGATACCCAATTTGAATGTGGCTCTCAATCCCTTGCCTACAGGGGAGCTCTGAGGCTGTGGGCAGCAAGAGCAGATGCACTTCGTTCTAGTGAACAACACAGAAAAACTTAATAAGGACTGTTAAGATAACACGGTTAGTCTAATGTGAACCTGACACAAAGAAAAGAAAATCCACAAGTTTTTCTTTAAGGCAGTGGTTCTCAACCTGTGGGTCATGACAGCCGCCCTTCACAGGGATTGTCTGAGACCACTGGAAACAGGTTATTTACAAAACAGTAGCAAAATCACAGTTACAAAGTAGCAACAAAAACAATTTTATAGTTGGGGGGGTCCATCATAACATTAGGAACTGTATTAAAGGGTCACAGCATTGAGAAGGTTGAGAACCACTGTTTAAGGCATTAACCATGTTTTATGCAACCACTTAAGATAGAACCATTAGCAGAAAATGCAAGTAAGCCAGAAATAGTTCTTAGAGGAAAAAAAAAAAAATCATAACTTCTCAACACATGAATAAGGTGTATTTCTGGTCATTACTTCTCTTCAATTTTTATTACTTATTTTATAAGATAGTGTTTTGCTATGTAGGCTTGGCTGGCCTGAAACTGTACAACCTAAACTAGATTCAAACTCATGGAAATCCTCCCATTTCAGCTTCCTGAGTGCTGAGAGGAGGTATAATAAACCTGTAAAGAAATACTATGGTTCCTTAAGGGGGTAGGGAGGGATGAAAGACAGACAGCCAGGCAGACAAACTTCTTAAAAAGCACAAAGAAATGAAAGTAAATTCCATAAAACCATGGTAATGTTGGTGAAGGGGAAACCAAACACATTTGTGACTTCTTTCCATTCTGACAAGGGACTGGCATTAACTCAGACCTTAGAAAAAAGAAAGTGTGGGTTAATTTAACTATGGTTTGTCCACCTACAGAAAACGTAACCTTAAGAGAAATTAAGATGTTAAACACCTTCAGAAAGTTTTCAGACTACAATAGATTATAAAGAAAAAAAGGTTTGGTAGTACATTCCTGTCTATCCTGCTGCCTTGGGCATCACAGAGCCAACTAAGCCAAGCCCTCTGCACATTCGTTTGCTAAGACTTTCTGAAAAAGAAAACTAGATGAACCAGGAGTCTGAAATAACAAAGCAAATGTGCTGTGTTCTTATGCCGATGATAGATTCATGACTTGTAAACGTTTCTGAAAAAGGGAAGGAAGGAGAGAGGTAGGAAAGGAGGGAGGGATGGATACATCTAGTCCTATATTTTCACGCTTAAATAGTACCACTGAATAATCCAGAAAAAATAATAAATTTAGTAAGTGGTTAAACTGCTTATAATTAAATTATCAAATTAAATTCATAAATTATTTTAATGGTGTAGCAAGCAATGAAAATTTGTAATGCTCCTTTATATGAAACTGCATTCTAATGATCACCAACTCTGAATAACTAGGGAACAGAAGAGGTAAGGAGGTCACTGTCCTTTGACAAAGACGAATCTTATTCATGTATTCCCTTGCTGAGGGGCAGTGCTGGAGACAAATCCAGGCAGAACTCTAACACTGAGCTCTAACCCAGGCCTCACTTTTTATGCTTTTTTAGTTTATTTTCCCTTGGGCTTTAGACTGTCTGATCTGAGGAAGTACTAAGCCCAGATACCTTCCTCTAACTGAACATAGCAAAGAAACACTAAGGCTCAGGAGTTTGAAAATATAATCAAACATGTGCAACACGCACATCTTTGTAACTGAGCCTGAGAGCATCTTTACTCTGTACACTGACACATCAACTCACGGCCTGAATGAAGCTAAGAGAATTTCAGAGACTGTATTTAGGCAGGTAAGATACATCATGCAGTGTGATCAGAGCTACTACCACTGCATCACTCAGAAAGTTAGAGCTGCCTTATTATTATCACACAGAACTTCTGTAATATGTCTAAGACTCAGGACTGCTAGGAAAAGGTAGGTCTAACAAACAAGAAATAAAATTTGCCCTGATGATCACATTTCTGTACCCTTTATCCCTTTAAAGAACATCTACATTTAAATCTTGTTTTAACTCCAAAGATCAAAATAGATTGCACAAGGAAAAAAACTAATTTAGCTTCCTCTTTAATTGCCTTCTACTGGTTATATAGCCCAAGTTTTGGAAAAGTTTGTCTTGGTCTATTTTTACTGTTTTCAAAGGTCAGATGTGGTGCTGCACATATACAAACCCAGCACTTGGAAAGTTGACAGAATTGCTAAGAATGAAGCCATCTCAGCCAGGATTACATAGCAAGATTTTGCCTCAAAAAAAAAAAAAAAAAAAAAAACCAACAACAACAATAAAAAAAAAAAAAGCAAAGGAATTAAAATTGAATGTAATATTAAAAAATGCACTGCCCTTTCTCTTCCATTTCAAAAATACCTAATAAAGTCCTACACTTTAAAACTTGATTTAATGCTTGCTGTTTTAAGATGCATGGTAGTTTACAACTTTTTAAGAGAACAAACTCTGTGTGCCTTACATGTCAAGAGACAGTAAGTGTTTAAAATAACATAAACTGTACTGTGAAGGACTACAAAATTCATAATTCTTTTAAGAAAAATCCAAGAAAGCTTAGAAAACAACTCACGTTACACCGGGATGAAGATTATATTTCTTTTTTCCAAACCTTGTTTGCTGAGCAAAGAAATCATAGCGCTCAGACTTTTTCCACATGTAATAGAATGCTACACATTCACCAACTGATCTTGTTCGGACCTGTAAGAAACAAACGCTTATTTTTAAGAATAATCTCCTTAGTAGAGCTACTTCATGACAAACATCTCAAGTCTGCGCTCAACTTGACACACACTATATTGTCATTTGGGAAGAGGGCCTCAACTAAGAAAATGCCTCTATACGACCTACTCTATAGGCAAGTCTGTAGAGCATTTTCTTGACTGATGATGATACTGATGATGGATGGAGCCAACCCTTGGCAGAAAGCAGACTGGGCAGGCCATGAAAAACAAGACATTTTTTCACTCTCTGCTTTAGTTCTTGCCTCTAATTCCTGCCCTGACTTTCTTCAATGATGGACTGTGATGTGAAAGTATAAGCCAAATAAACTATGGTGTTTAACCATAGCAATAGAAACTCTAAGACAGACTGAAAAAAGAAAAAAAAAAACAAAACCAAAAAAACTTAAGTTAATATACATTGACAAATGAACACATGCATGAAATGCAAAACTACAGCCACTGAGCTGCAAACTACTCTAAATCCATTAAGAAAAATAATACATCAATAACTATATAAGATATTTACCACTTTTTTAATTCAAAAATACCACCATTCTAATATTTTACAATAAAACAAGTATTCCTCTTTTGCAAATAGGAGTAACAAATAGATTAAAGTGACTCCAAAGAATAAATGCTTTTTACGCAAAGACAATCAAGGGAAGCTTAAATTCTCTTATAATTTCTCACATGAAATCATACCTGAATCTTGAACCTTGTTGAAAAATCAACTCAAAAATATGAATCAAAGATCTTAATATAAAATTCAAACCACTGAAACTATTGAAGGTATGAAAAAAAAAAAACCCACAGGCAAAACTTTTGAAGGTATAGGTACAGGTGAAGACTTTTAAAGACTCTACTAACAAGTAACAAACCGAAGAAATGACAAATGGGATGGCATGCCCAACAAATGAACTATCAGCAGAGTAAAGAAACAACCTACAGAAGAGGAGAAAACTTTTACCACCTATTTATCTGAAGCTGGATGTGGGGAAACAAATGTCCCAGGATATGGAAAAGGAGGACACATCCCCAACATTTCTTGATGGGGACGTAAGCTGACAAAACTAGTATGGAGATCAGTATAGGGGTTCAACACAAAACCAAAAGCTGAGCTACCCAGGCATACACCCAAGGATTCTAAGTCAAAGAGATACTTGGACATCTATGTTTACTGGTACACTATTCACAACAGCCAAGACATGGGAGCACACATATCCATCAACATGTGATTGGATATAAAACCATGCACATACACAATGCAATTTTCTTTAGCTGTAGAAAAGAATGGAATGAAATTACAACACTGTCAAAAAAATATGGATAGACTAAGATCTTATATTAAGCAAAATAAGCCAGACTAAAAAGGAAAAGTGTTTTCCCATATATAAAAATCTAGATGTAAATTTATATATGTATACATGGCTCAGAAGTCAACAGTATATATATGCCATGAAAGCAGAGAGGGGGCACTACTTAGGAGGATGAAGGAGACAGACAAGAAGTGGACTTAGGGGTGTCTAGGGAAGGAACAAAGTATAATGTATATATGAAAATGCCCCCCCAAAATAAAACCCTAAAGTTAAAAAGAAAACAAACAAATAAGAAACAATTCCAAATAAGGTATTTATGGGACAAGCACTTGGGAGGTAGAAGCAGGAGGATGAGTTCAAAGTCATTCTTATCCATGTTCATTCTTACTCCACAGCTAGTTTGAAGCCATTTAAGGTTATATAAGACTCTTGTCTTACAAACAAAAACTAAAATTCAAAACAGAACAAGCAATCAATCAAACAAACAAGCAAAAAAAATAAAAATAAAAAAAATCAAATGCCAAATTCACCAAAATGTCCAAGGGATTGGTAGTGAACAGAATACTCAGTTTTCACAGGAACAAATACAAATGGCCAATTTAAAAGATCTTCCTACTAGTCCAACAACAATCTAGACTCATTTTCTTCCCAAAACGTCTACAAATACGCCAGAGAAAAAGCGCTGTTACACTAGTCTTTGCGCTTTGTGTGTTAAGGCGTTACTGTGGCTCGTGGGTCTGCTAACTATTCATGCATATTACTGGCTTCCATACATCTGAAACCTGTGATCAACAGAGTGCTGACAAAATCTTCATTGCTAGTGCCTTGAAGAGCAGGTCAAGTTCATGTGCAAGAAGAAAACACACACACTTTAGGGAGAAAAGACACATGCAATAGTACTCTGCAAACAAGGTGATTAACAGTTTTAATCTACAAATTTCTGATCTTAAAAATATTTTGGCACTGATTTCACCTACTGTTGGTAACACCCTTTTGTATTTAACATATTTCCCCCTTTCTTCCTCTGCTTGAACTTTATAAAGTAATAAAAGCTTTAAAAAATTCTTTCAAGGAGCTGGAGAAATGGCATTTAGTGGTTGAGTGACTCTAAAGGCCCCATGTTCAATTCCTAGCACCCACATGGTGGCTCACTCTGGTTTCAGGGGAACTGATGCCCTCTTCTGACCTCTTTAAGCAACAGGAACACATCTGTGGTACACACACAGGTAAAACATTAATCAGTGTACATTAAAAAAAAAAATCCTTTGAGGATATTTGTTTTGTTTCCTAATGAGTGATTTCAAGTAAGTCAGTTTTTTAATTTACTGAAAGTAAAAACCAAGATATACTGAGGTATGCTGTGACCATACTATAAAATCTTCATGAAATTAGCCCATTATAACAGAACTTAAGATTAACATCAGAATTAATTCGAAGTATAAAAAGAACAACTTGATATTTTCACATCGGACCCTCAAAGATTTAGTCCTCCCTTTGTTTGCTAGAGCAACTGATTCTTCAGCATTGAAAGCCCCTACTCAAACATTTATAAAGAAATAAAAGTTATATTTGTAATGAAGCACATGCTGAAACTTTGGCTCAGGGTTACGAGTTTTTAAAGTCACACTGATGGGGGTTTTTGCTTGTGTACTTTCAGCAGCAGTTCCTGAAGTTGTTCTAAAATCCATTTTGCAGGTTGGGAAGTACATTTTATTTCTCTAGTATTTCTTGAATACAAATCCTGCTAACTAAACTATGCTAGATTACCTCTCTAGATCACTTCTGGAACTGCAGTCAGTGACAGGCATAACACAACCTTTTCCCAGAGTGCTGAGTGCATTTGATTTGGACATACTGGATGCCACCCTGTGGACACTAAACACTCAAAGTTCCAAAGTTCAAAGTTTCTCTTTTACTATTGATGATTTCCTTTTGTTAAAGATGCAATTACTTTTGATTGTGTGTACATATATATGTGTATGCATGAGTGTGCAGGTGCCTGTGGATGTCAAAGGTATCAGACTGTCTGGACCTAGAGTTACAGGTGGTTATGAGTCTGGGTACCAAATGTGGGTCTTCTGCAAAAGCAGCAGTAGTATATTTTTTTAATTGCTGAGTAATTCATTAGTAATGCTTAATGCCCATTCCATACTCATGAATAAAAATAATAAAAAACTTTTGAAAAGAATTAAATGCTCAAATCTGCAAATTATTATGGAGTCCTTTAGGATATATACTGTGTATGACTGATAGCTTTGGGATATCAAAGCATCATATTTAACCTGCTCTGATAGATGCCTTTAAGAAACACCATTTTAAGAATATGATTTAAGAGCATTTAGGACTTAACTGTAAAAGATTTTAATTGTGTGTGTGTGGGGGGGGGAAGGTGCTTGCCATGAAGCCTGATAACCTGAATCCAATCCTAAGGTCCCCCCCTGGGGGAAGGAGAGGCTGACTCCAGAGCTGTCCTCAGACTTGCACACTATAGCACACACATCACACAAGTATTTTCACTGTAAATTTGATGTTAAAAATATTTAAAATTTTCAAAATTACTTTAAAAAGCAACTGATAATTGCTGAAAGAGAAAATTTGTTTTCTTCAGTGGAATGACAGGTTCTTTTACCCACACCCAGAAGCAGTCCCCACATTCAGAAGCAGTCAGCTAAGACGAACGAGAAATCGTGTGTGTGCTTAAAGGAGGGAAATAAGACAAGATGGGTGGATAGGATATGGGAAGATTTAGAGGGGAAAGAATATGAAAAAAAATATATTGCATAAAATTCTCAATGAATAAGCAAAAACATTATTTAAAAAATGTAAACAAACCTCTTATCACAAAGAGCAGAACAAAATCAGTAAGTAACTGCATTGCATATACAATTTGAGGAGCTAATAGACTTAGTAAATGAGCTCAATTCTTAAATACTTACAATTATTGTACCTTGAAAAAGTCACACGGAAAATATGTCAGGCAGTGTAAGTATGCTTACATTAATTAATTGTAAATCAGAAGATTATAATATTTATTATTACAGAAACTTTAATACTAGCTAACAGCACATTAAGGTGACAATTTAGGTTATGAAACTAAATTTCTTTTTGTAAAAAGAGGACATAAGTCATTACTTACTTTATTAGCCTGAATCAGATGAAAATCTTTTCCATAGGCCTTCAGCCCTTGTTCAAAATTTCTACATTCTTCCTCTGTCCACACAGATAATTCCTCTGACAAAATAAGGATATCAGAGCAAACTATTAATATTTAACAAGGAAACAAAGATTTTGAAAACAAAAATCCAACTTTCTGGCAAAACAATTAAGGGAGTATCTTACTCTTGAATGCTAATACTGGCCATTGCCAAAAATACAGTGATAAAAATCCCTGATTTAATAAAAAACTAGATCGATTTGGTTCCTAACGCTCTGATCTCAAATCTGGTCCACTTGTTCCTTCTTTGTTGTTAAGACAAGATCTTGCTAGGTGGGCATGGTGGTGCGCTCCTTTAATCCTAGCACTCAGAGAGGCAGAGGCAGGTGGACTGCTGTGAGTTTGAGGTCAGCCTGGTCGACAACCAAATTCAGGACTTCTGAACCCTATTGTCAGTCGCCACATTCCATTCCTTTAACTTGTTAAATTCCTTCTTACTTTGGACTTTCCATGGAATTATGTTCTGCTCCTACTTCACCCTCTTACAGCAACATAATCATTTACTTACCAGTAAAAATATTTTGTTCTCACAGTTTTCCCTCAAATTCTCACCTTAGCTAGGTTATGTCCAACAACAGGCTTTAACTTAAACCCTCTGAATATCAACAACTTTTTCAGTTTGCCCTTTAGTTTGTCAGGCACCATGATGCTTATGTCCCCGGAGCTAAAGAGCCTTCAGACTAACGCCAAATAACGATAACCTATCACTGCCCTGTCTGCAGATACACACACGGCATTTTTAGTACCGTGGAGGAGGAGCCAAATTTAGAGTAAAAAAGGGAAAATGCAGGTTTTAATTATAGCTTTTTTTATACTTGCCTCAGCCATGTTACTTTTGCTTAGAGACTAAATCTCACAATTCTACTTAATACTTCTTTACATCTGGATTAAGTGTACCGTGGTGAGTATGGGGAGGCCAGGGAACAACTTTATAAAACTGGTTCTTTCTTCCTCCTCTACAGGGGGTCCGGCTATCTAACCTCCAGGTTGTTAGGCTTGAATGACAACCACTTTTGCCTCCTGAGCCACCTCATTAGCCCTAACTCAGAGTTCTAAAGTTAGGCAATAGGTGTTATAGTATTTAACTCACAGAGTGATTATAAAGATCAAAGAAAAAAAAATCTTTAAATATATTTTGAAATTTTAAGTCATTACATACTTTAGACTTACATAACAGAACAATCTTAATTCCATTCCTTAACAATCTGTGTGAAACTTGTGCTCTGCAAATATTTACTGAATTCAGAAAGACTAGAATTATTCAGCTGAAGAGATCTTTAGGTAAACTGAAAAGGTTAAAATTTGAAATTTCTGCCAAGTCATGAAACAAAGGTCTAGCATATGCTTACCGCGTGCTGCTTTGACATTAAATCTCAATCTTCTCAAGGCTTCTTCTGTATCAAAATTGCATTTAACCAATTCATATAAAGCCTAGAAAAACAGAAGATCTCTACATAAGACTCGCAGACTTTTAACAGTCTGATACTTGTTTTTAAGAGCACATTATTACTGTGAATCATGTATGTGCTTCTATGCTTTCTGGTCCAATTTTAGTGAAAGCAACATACAAAGCATCAAGGAAAAACATGAATCCAATCCCAACCTTATATGCCTCTCACTATGTACAATGTAAGGGCATGTGACCTACTGACCACAGTAGCTCAGCAACTGAGATATTAATTTCATATAAAATATTTTGTTTAAGCTATAATTCTTTGGAGCCTTCTGAAATTCCTAAATATTTTAAACAAATTGAGAAAAAAACAATGACAACACGGTTTTTTAAAATGCTCTTCTATTAGCTTCATGGCAGGTATTAGTCTGACAATATACACAATGGTATTATCTGAGAGAAGGCTGCCAACTTGATCACAGCCATGGAGTCTCATGGAGATAGAAAACGAACAAAACAAAATCCAAAAGAAGACACTTTTTAGAAGTACTACAAAAAGTATACATAGGCAAAGAAAGTTTCAATTTACTGGAGCTGAAATCCCATGTGCCACCATCACCCATTGGGAGTCAGTTCTTACCAAGTAAATCTAAGCACACTAACAGTAGGTCTTGTGCTAACTCCTCTTTCTACAGAAGAGGAGCTCAGGTAGACAGAGCACCGACACTGAAAATGAGAGCAGCCACAAGAGATGATGACATTTATGAGGAAACCCCAGACAGCTGTTCCTTCATCATGTACCTGTTCATTGTCTTTTATGTGAGATCCTTCAGGAATTGCTTCTACACCTTTCTCATCACCTGTTCTTCTAGATGCATCCTTAAGAAATATAATTACTTTATCTTCTGGTAAATATTCTGGGTCCCACAGAAGCTGATCATCATTTTCATATACTAAATTAATAAAACAAAATGTTAATAAAAACTACCAAAAAATAACACAATTTGTGTAGTTAGTGACAACAGATATATCACTAAAACAAATAACTCACTTTTTTTTTTTCCTCCAAGACAGGGTGTAGCCTTGCCTGTCCTGGACTCACTTTGTAGACCAGGCTGGCCTCGAGGTCACAGAAATCCCTCCACAAGTGCTGGGATCAATAGGCGTGTGCCACCATGCCCAGCTATAACTCAGTCTTTTAAAAATTTACACATATTTTCTCTGCATATATTTCGGACACGGCACACCACACATGTGGTGGTCAGAGGACCACTTGTGGGAGTCAGTGTTGTGTTTCCCATATGGCCCTGGCTGTCCTGGAACTTGCTTGGATCTGGCTGCCCTCAAACTCAGAGATCCCCCTGCCTCTCCTGGGATTAAAGGCATGTGCCACCATCATCCATTGGGAGTCAGTTCTTAACATGTAGCTCTCAAGGATCAAAGTCAGGTCATCAGGCTTGGTGGTGAGTGCCTTTACCCACAGAACTATCTTGCCAGCGAAGCTCCCCAATCCCTTTTTTTTTTTTTTTTTTTTAGACAGGGTCTTGATTTTGCATTCCAGGCTGGTCGTAAACTTTTGATCTTTTTACTTCAGCCTCCCAAGTGATGAAAATATAGGTGTGTGCCACCACACTCAGCTTATACTACATCTGTTTTCTATCTTCTTTGTTCTCTGCTTATGTGCCTGCACATGTGTTATAATCATTTTCATATAAAAGTCAGAACCTTTAAAATGCATTTACATTTCATCATAATTTCCACTGTAGTAAGAATAAAGTGACTGGACAGTGGCAGTACACACCTTTAATCTTAGCAGTCACCTTTAACCCTAGCAGTATGGTGGGAGGTGAATCACTGAGTTAGAGGACAGTCTACAGAGCAAGTTCCAGGACAGCCAGAGCTCCACAGAGAAACCCTGTCTCAATGGCACCACAACCCCTCCACAAAAGAATAAATGTCTAAATCTCAGCAAAGTTTGAAAATGGGGTGGGGTGGGAGGACAACATGACCTAAGACAGCACGTTATGAGTCCAAACGACACTGACAATACATAAAATCCAGAAACCACAGCCTAAAATGAAACTAGTACCACAAGCATGGCATCACAGGAGTATGACAGATGCTTCCAAGAACAACTTCCAAGCCTGATTAAATCCCAGAGTGACCAACAACTGAAAAGAGGCTTGCTGGGCCTACTAACAAGGACATGAGGATGTGTTAACTAGAGCATTAGACGCGACTGGAAAGGCAAATAGAAAGTTAAATAAAGCAAAAATCTTCTGAGAAGTTTGGATGGGAGGGCAGGGATATGACAGCAGCAGTGAGAGAATCCAGTTGGACAAAAATTATAACACCTTTATTTTTAAAGACAAGAGACAAATATTTAAATTTCAACAGAAAGAAAATCACTTGATAAGAAAACTTTGAGACACAGGATGACTGTCAAAATTCCTTGTATTACAAAAAGGAATCAGGAGCTAATTAAGCATCTCCTGAATGCTAGGCAATGTATCAATTGCCTACACATATATTACTTTCTTCTTTTATCTTCACACATGTACTTAAAACACTACCTTTTCAGACAGAGAAACCCTGTCTTAAAAAAAAAAAAAAAAAAAGAAAAGAAAAGAAAAACAAAGTCCAACCAAACAAAAGCAAAAAAAAAAAAAAAAAAAAAAAACCAAAACACCCAAAACCTATTTTTTCTTGGCTCTCTCAATATATACTCTCCTCTCAATTATAACTCAAAGGAGAATATGCAGAAACATGTCCTTCTACCATTCTTTTTCTGTTAGCATAATAAACTCCAAAACTAAAATGTTGAATCCCTTAATAAGTGAATTTGGACAGAGCACTAATTTTCATTTTCTGCTCAGCCTGTTCTGCAGAGGGAACCAATCCCTCACTCTGCTTTAAAGAGGAAGTGAAGGGGTGGGTGTCTGAATTTAGTGTTCTCCAAGCTATACAATATTTAAACCTCTCAACAGCAGAAATTACCTAAAAAATATCTGTGAGTCACTGACAACATTCTGCAAATCCTTAAACTAGGTAGATGGCCATCACCAGGCGGCACCAAATGACAAGTGAGCCTCATATAAGGCTGGCTGATTGGTTCAGGAAAGTTACAGTAACACTGCATGTAGACAATTAAATACAGTAATGAGCATGAGGTGAGAGGAACTGGAGTCTCTCTAAATCCACACTGCATAGGCAATATGCATACAAGTGTAAATTAGCAAGAGTTCGGAGAGCAGTTCATTAGTATTTGAGGAAAGGGTAGACAGAAAATGCTTGGGTAGAATCTTACTAAAGACTGACTTAGTCATTAAATGAGGCCCCAGAACCTGTACTTCTTGCCAATTCATAGATAAATCTAATCAGGCTGCTCTGCAGACCATACTTAATAGATACTGACATTGTTCGTTTCAGCTATTTTATTACTTACGGTAAACTTGAAAAAATTTAAAGTAATCAAATTGAATGTGTCAAATAACCAAGCTGAACCAGCACAACTATCTAATAAACTCTACTACAGATAGTTGGCAAGGATGACATACAAGAACTAGAAGATTATGCAATCAGATTAGAGGAGAAAATAAATATTTGACATAGAAGCTAAAAGCCACCATTAAAATGCCACAAACTTCTGCAATTTGGAAATAATTACTAATGAAAAAATGTATACTTAACATACTGTCAATTTTATTCTATTTTTAAAGCCCAAGAAAATGTGATCTAATCAGTCTACCTTAGTATGAAAAAGCTCTCAGAAGTGTGACACAATACTGGAGCTCACCTCAGAATTGACCGTATTTTCAGAACATCACATTCATATAGTGTTTTGACACAGTTACATGAACTGCTTGTTTTACACAGTACTGTTATAGGATAAGCCTTCCTAAACACATCTAAGGGCCAAACTGATCTGAAATCCAAAACACCGTCTCAAGTATTGTGAGTAACGGCTATTCAACCTGCCCTAAGGGTATATACCACATTTGTTCATGTCCCCATTCTAGTCTCATTAGAGCTAAGAACAGAACCAGGTGTTGTGGCAGTATGTCTATAATCTTAGGCATCAGGAAACTGAAACAGCATGATTACCTGGACCCAAATGTTTGAGAATGTCTGGAAATGGTAAGATTCTGTCTCAAAAAAACAACAAAACCCCAAAGCAGCTCCTTGTACTATGGCACACTAGCTCAGGGGGCTAGGGAGCTCAAAGTCAAGCTGGACTCAGCCTCAAAGCAAACACTCTAAAAATGAAACAAAAATAAATATTCTGTCGCCTCCTAATACAGTCTTTATCTGGCGAACATCTGTTCAGAAAGACTCTTGGGCTGGATACTGGGCTCAGCTGGGAGAGTACTTTCCTAGTATTCATGAATCCCTGGATTGAATCCCCAACACTGCATAAAACAGGATTTGAGGCACAGGCCTACAATCACTTCCACAGAGTATGGTGTGTGAATTACATCTCAATGAAGCTCATTATTGAAAACTACTTCCCAAAAACCAAAGCCAAAACTCTCACACGGTCTGAAGAAGACACTAATTCTAGGAACAAATAAACTACAAGCCAAGGTTAAAGACAAGTTTTCCCTTATCTCTCAGATCAGTGATATTTTTCTGGCCAGATATGCGACTTAAGCTGGGTCAATGCACACTCCAAAACTTGCTGGAGCTCATTAAGAGGTCTTCATTTCTGCTTGTTCTCTAGTTGTATATAGGATATTCCAGCACAGAACAAGGTGACTCCAGTTTGGTGTCCTCAATGGTTCTACGTGATACAGAAGCTAAGCTAGGCAAGCTTTGCTAAAGTCAAGATTAAGTAATATTACAACATCTGGCTACAAAATTTAATAATTTGTGATGTATCCTACTTCTCAATGCTTGCAATACCAGGAGACCAGGTATATATTTAAAACAAAGTAGCTGGAGGAAATGGCAAAAAGAAAATAAACAACAAAAGACTTCCCAATTCTAAGGTTCTCTGTATAAAGCTGTATTGTGAAGAAAATGAAAAAGAAATGAACTCTTAGCTTCAAGTGATGCCATTTGTATACAAATGCATCATACAAAGCATTCTACCTATAACCCACCTAAAAGGTAATGTGAAATAGGCTGACTCTCAAAACAACAACTCCCCAAAAACCCAAATCCTCATTCATTTTACATTATTAGATGTACAACTGGCCTTAGGGCTTTGACATAAAATGGTTAAAAAACAAACAAACAAACAAACAGACAGACAGACAAAACACTTGTAAGATATATATATATAGTATTCCCAAATTAGTTTTAAGATACAAATAAAACATTTACTCTGTTTTAGAAGCAAATAAAAAACCAGTTGTTTATCAACTGGTTTTGAAACTGGAAACTGAAAAGTTATCTATTATAGAGGTAGTAAGTACCAAGTTCAGAGCACTTAAAATACAGGAAAAAAAAATTTTTCAAAAGAGATACATGGCTGGGATATTTTAAAGCACACACCTTCAGAATGTTCTATAAGATTTATACAGACAAAACTGGAAAAATAGTGATCAGTCTGACAGATAAAACAGCTTCATTTCTATAAGCCATTAGGGTTATTTAGTAGGCTGTCATGTTCTTACCACATTTTATAACTTAAGAGACCACACTGGGGAGGTGTCTCAGCAGGTAAAGTGGCTGTTGTCCAAGCCTGAAAACATGGGTTTGAACCCCCCGCACCATGTGTAAAAGCCAGAGTAGCAGTGAGCATCCATAATCCACTAGTGGTAGAACACAGATGCTCACTGCAGCCAGCCTAGCTGTGTCTCAAGGTGAAGAGCCAATAGAGGAAGAATCCAACAAACACACACCATCCCCCAAAATAAGATGATCATTTCAAAAGTTCAGATAACTCACCTTTTTCATTTTCCTTGTATCTACAAATGCCAACTGGAATCTCAGCTTGAAACATGGAGCCCACCATGATTTCCTATTTTAAACATAACAAAAAAGATTTAGTGATATACACCTTATGTTCATTCCTAACTTCAAGATCTTCCTGGGTAAACTCACTCTGGTCTCTGTCTTAAAACCAATTACCTACCTCATGGTAGTATTGTGAGGATGAATGAGTTAATAATAGCTAGGAGTTACATATGATTGAATGGCAAATAGTAGTAATAATGGGTGAAATGTAATATAAACAATATGTACAAGGTATGGAGAAAAATGGTAACAGCAAATTTTGATCAACTCATTAAAATAACCAAAAATATCCTGGAAAAGGGCAAGTCAACTTTGGGTGTTTTAGAGCACCTACACTTATGACACTTTACATCAGCAATATCAGCATCACTAGGAAAACTTAGAAATTCAAGTCTTTAGGTTCCAACTCATACTTACTGAGGGGAAACTCTATTGATAGGGCTCAGTGCTTAATACAGGCAATTCTAACTCATACTTAGGACTGAGAAACAAAGCTTTAAGATGGGGGGGAATATAAAAGGCTCGTAAAGAACTGAGCGGATTCACAGTGAGGTTAGTGCTTGACTTTCTTTAATAGAAAACCAAAAGCACCCCTTTGCAAAAAAAGGTTTGAAACTGGCTCTTGGGAAAGGCAACTGGAAATCACCAAGGACACTTCTCGGGGCACGGAATCATCACAGATAGACGTGGCACCTTCAAGCAAATACTTGACATCAAAGGTATGAGCATGTTGGAGGAAGTTTAGATGACTCCCAGGGCTTGAAAGCTTCCCCTCTGCTGCTGTTGTCACTTCTTTGTAAACAGCATCTTATTCTACCTACTGTAGTGTCATGCACATGCTCAACGCAGCAAAACCATTGTTCTACTAGAGAGGAAAACCAGACTTTCTCAGTCAGTTTTGAAAAAAAAAAAAAAGCTTCCTTCATGCTGTCCGATAATTCTTTTAATGGTGTCCACTACAGAGTCCCTCTGTTGCCAATCCCTGTGCCTCTTTTTACTTTATTCATCTGTGCCCACAAACAGTCTCAAATAGCCACATTCCTTACGTTTTATCCCCCCCAAAAGAGAGTTATTCCCTATAGATTCTTGTACAGAATTCTCTCTTCAGTTAATTATCCACACTATATACTCTGACACCTCCCCAGAAGAGAAAGAATTGCATACAGTAGAAAAGGAGGTGCAGAAAGTAGTGGCTTAGTTTCTAATGACTCATTCCAGCTCCTCCTTCTATAGGAAAACACCAACAATCTTCTGACGGTAGTTACAGCTGCTCTATAATGGCTGCCATGTTCCAACAGGAACAACTATACATGGAGGCAAAATATCTATAAATATAAAATAAGGAAATAAAACAAAACCCAAAAAAGAACAAACAAACAAACTGAACAGGTGTTATTTTTTTAAAGAGGACAGATCAGGCAATCATCTCTCACTAAGAAAAACATCCTTCTGCAAAAATGTGTATACTATCGCTTCCTAAGAGCTTCAACTCCTATGCAACACCATAAAACTAAACTCTAAATTTAACTGTGTAGTTAACTGAATAAATAATGCTACATAACATTTTAAGGAAAAAAGAAAAAAAAATCCAAATGTCTCAAGTTTATTTTAGAGACTAGTTGTATGTTTGTAGAGCAGCCCAACTGACATCAACACCGCACTCAATCTTGCAGAGTTCCTTTTTTTTTTTTTAAATAATTCATTTAATTTTACTTTATGTGCATTAGTGTGAAGGTGTCAGATCCGTTAGAATTGGCATTACAGACAGTTGTGAGCTGCTATGTGGGTGCTGGGGATTGAACCCAGGAAATTTGGAAGAGCAGACAGTGCTCTTAACCACTGAGCCATCTCTCCAGCCCCTGCTGAGTTTTCTTTAATGAGCAATTTGGAGTGGTAAACTGCAAAGGCTAGTCACATTTTAACAAGACAACAAAATCTGAATTCTGTATTACCTCAGATTAGAAATTTGGATTTCTAATATAGGTGGAATATCAATACACTTAGCAAAATACTATTCTACCCACAGAATCATTTTATGAAAAGATAAAAGTATTTCTTAGTTGGATATATTAATGGGAACTTGTACCAATATTTACGAAATGATTAAATGTCACAGAAAGGCTAATACATTGAATTCATCAATATACATGATGCATTAAAAAATACCTTTTTCCAGTCTTCTGACGGAATATAATCTTCATCTTCTTCAGATTCTTCTTCTATTTCACTATCTAGAATACATAGGAGAATTAATACCATAAAACAGATATTTATCCTGTCTATACTGGTACTATCTTTGCATTTTTATACCTACCACCAAATACATAGATATGGCAAAGGGTCTGCTAAATTAGGCCAAGATATTTAAAATCAAGTAACAAACACTGTATTTAAAATGAGACAATAACCACAAAAATAATTCTCTCAAATAAAAGTAAAACCATAAATCTCTTGGGCAAGTCATTTCTCAGGAAACAACTTCCTAAGAACACAAAAACTGCAGGATTAGTGCCAACATTATCTTTTACTAATGTCTAGTTACAAAGCAAGTTGCATGATGTAAAGTTCTTCACATGGAAAAGAGGGACTTAGACAAAGCAATGTTTTCCAGAAAATGTTCTTTATAAAACTGGGAATTTTGTAGCAAAAGAACAAGGCTCAGTACCTTTTAGAAACCTTTATTCTCAATTTCTACTACATCCACGCCATGCGAGCTGTTGCTTGGTTGCATTCAAGCGAGGATGCTATAGAGGGCTGGTACTTACTTAATATGCACAAATCACTGTGTATAATCACCAGCACAGCATGAAATAAGGCACAGTGGCACAAGCCTGTGATCCCAGCATTCAGGAGGTAGACACATTAAGATCAGAAGTTCAAGGTCATCCTAAGCTATGTAAGAAGTCTACCAGAATTCGATCCTCAGAACCCACATTACAGCAGAGAAAAATGACTGCTGTTCTTCTGACCTCCACATATCCTCCCTACATAGTGGAACCTGGTGAACTATATTAGCACATACCCACACCCCAAGAATCTAACCACCTTTTTAGACCTAGGAACCACAGATTAGAGAAGACAACACTATATACACACATAGCTATGTGCTGCCTGATGTCACCTCTGGTCAACAGAGTCAATTTACTTATGATAGTGGTTCTGCAAGATTTTATCATCTCAAGGTGCTGTATCCATGTTAGTCACACCATCAAGAAACTTAACATATTTCTCATAATGTATCCCTGTTGCTGACTAACACACAAGTATACATAAAAGATGGCTCAGAATTAACAAAGCAAAGTAGAAAATGAAAACTTCAAGATTACACAAATTAAAAGGAACACACTCATATTTAGCCAGTATATGAAGCAGTAATTTTTGTGAAACATGCATTGAGAACAGGGCCAGCCTGTTTTGATACTATAGTAATCCCTAACAAAATTCATTTACCTTGAAAAGCAATTTCAGAATACTTGAATTCAAGTAGCAATAAAACCACACCAGAATTTTAGGTAATATACACAAGTGAAAATTATGTTCTAACTATAGCAGCAATAATACATACTTGTATCAAAATATTTACATCGACGTGGGCGGATTATTTCCTGAGCATCTTGGGAAGTAACAGACTGTGAAGGATCATCATTGGAAGACTGAGTTTCATCCTCCTGACCTGATGAATCCTTTGTATTCTCTTCCTACAGAATAAGAAAACGTACTTACAAGATGAAGAATGCTGTTACAGACCAGTGGTCAAATTGTGTTTTAGATGTAACTGTACGGGTATAATAAACACAATAAATGTAATGTAATTCCCTGGCTTAGCTCTCGGAACTGGGAAGAGACCTTCGATCTGAAGTCCCAGACATTTAGTTTAGCAGTGCTAACTTCTTAGTTTTGATAAGGACATAAAGTTACACCAGATATTAATAATTAAAGAAGCAGTATGACCTTCATGTATCTAAAATGATTTTTAAAAAATATGTAACTGCCAGTCAGCCTGTATAATTTAAAACTAACTTTTTTTTAAGTTGGTATTATTTAGAAAAAGAAAAAAAAAAAAAAAACCCAAAAAATCTGAAATGACATAGACCAAATTTATCTCACAGAAGTGGATTATAAGCGATTTCCAATTTTTATAATGCACATTTCTGTATTTTTATTTTTAAAATTTAATCTTACTTTAAAATTATATTTAGTTTAGTACTATCTGTGGATTTACAAATACAACAGAATTTTGGAATATAAATGCTCCACAAATAAGACAAAAAACATGTACTAACTTACTTTATTTTCCCCACTACAGCCACTATTGTCATCATTATCAGCATCTTCATCATCTTCACCCTCTTCCTCCTCCTCTTCCTCCTCTTCATCTTCTTCAGGTAACCGAACAGTGCCGTCATATCCATAGAGGCTGAGAAGCTCGTGGATTGGCATGTCACCTTCCTAAGTACACCAAAGTCAGTCAATTTCTGAAGTCGATGATTTTATATTTCCATGTTATAATTTACTAAATTGACACTTTTTTTTCTTTAGAGCATGTGGGTGTTTTGTGTCTAATATGTTCAGTATTTTTAAATTATGCAAAGAAAAACCCATTTTAAAAAATTCTTATAAACTGGCCAATTCTAACTGTTCCATATCATTGTCAATAGTCTGAAATCTTAGAGCTTTTTCAATAATTCAGTTTACATAGCACAGTCAGTCAGCGCTTATATGTGGATTATTACAAACAGTATCCTAAATAATCTGGAGCAAAGAAGAGTAATTAGAAAACAGTATGTCATCTAATTCAATAAACCCAGAAAGGGAGATTAAATACCCTTGCTCAAACAGAGCACACTGCAGGAGCACAGCAATTATACACAAAACAATACAAGATAACAAAGACATCCATACTTTTCAAAAGCAATCTTCATTCACATAAGATCATGTCAGCATTGACATCTATGGAACGATCTCATAATGAGGAAACATGGACACATACAGTAAAGAATTTTCTTACAAAAACCCACACAAGTTGCATTATAATACAGGCAGAGTTTCATCATCTGACTCTAAAGGCTGATAATCTTATTAGTGTATCTTATGGCCTCATTCAGAACCTTCTTCAAACCCTTAAAAGGACAGAACCACTGTGAATAAAATGAAGAAATAGCCTTATCTGAAAAAATAAACCAGTTTTCTACAGAAGGAAGTCACTAATCAAATGATGCCAAGTATCAGAAACAGAAAAAAAAATTATAAAATAATCAATATTTAACCTAAATCATCTTAACATAGTATACAAACAAACACAAATACATGTATGTGTTCTGAGGAGAAACATATGTCAATTCAGAACCTACAGAAATGGTTCTCTTTAACTAAGATAATATGTTTCATAATTTCCATCATTATGTGCCTTACTAACCAACAGACGTCTACCTCACATATACCCTCACATTTCTGCAGGGATATATACATTGGAAATATTTAACCTAAGTTGGTAACACAAAGTTAATCTCCCCTCACTTAGAAACTATGTAGAGGTGTGTTTGTTTGTGCTGAGAGCACTTATTGCTCATGCAGAGGACCTGGATTCAGTTCTCAGCACCTCAACTGGGCAACTCATAATTGTCTATAACTCCAGTTCCAGGGGATGTGACACCTCTGACCTTGGGCACCTGCACTCAAGGATACGCCCTGATACACACATACATACATACATACATACATACATACATACATACATACATACACACACACACACACACACACACACACACACACACACTTTTTTAAGAAAAAGAATCTAGTAATTATAATCTGTAAATTCCTCATAGAGAGAAAATGCCATTTGCTACTTGGAACTACAAGCTGTAAATAATTTATGTGCCTATTTTGAAAGCGAGTTCAGTTCTAAAAGGTCCAATAATTTGTAGAAAATACAGTCTAACAAGCAATGCTGCATCCAGATGAAATAACTGACGGCCATGCTGTGTTATTTTAAAAGCATAACCAAAACTCTAGGTGAGGTATCGAAGGAATTGGCCCGTGGAAAACTGAAAGTCTGAACTGTGCCAAGGACACTGAAATTTGAGTCAGTACTCACAAAGAACAGAACTTCAAAACCAAGACACAGAAGGAGTAAAAGAAGGTTAGAGAAAAAGATATCTTCATACACAGTAGAAAATAGCCTTCCCAAAGCATCTCTTAGTGGTAAAGCACCTGAGCCAGGTGCTTTGATTTCCCTTTCTCTAAAAATGAAAGTAGCCAGAAGTACAGTCTCCTCAGATCTTTAACAGTATCAGGCGGTAATGTTTGCTACTTTCATTTTCTTATCAAGGAAGCAAAGCAGAGATACAGAACATGCTTTTTAAAGACTTTAACCCCTGAACCTCCTAATTCTAGCTCACGTAATTTTCCTTAAACTCACTGGGCACCCCAAGTAAGAAGTAGGTTCAGCAATTGAAGTTTAAACAACTACCAAAAGCCACTAAAGCTAAGTATGAGAGTCAATCAGGAAGAAACACTAATATGGCAGTCTGTGACTATCACTTGTCTCTCTCTTTCTCCACAGCTTTTCTCTGTGTAGCCCTAGCTGTCCTGGACTCACTTTGTGCTGGTGTAGAACTCACAGAGAGCCACCTGCCTCTGCCTCCCTCAGTGCTGGGATTACAGGCGTGCCTCACCACACCCAGCATGACTATCACTCTCATTAGCTCTAAGAATTCATAAACAGTGTGATTCATTTTTGGTTCATTTACTGGATCCTCCAATCTCTCAACTAAAACTGAACATATGATACAGCTTCCTCCATGTCTTTCAGAGCATCTTGCCAACATTTGTCTTATAGGACACATGGAAAAATAAACACTGGAGACACTAAATCATGGGTTAAAGGATACTGACTTTGACATTGTGTGTTTTGTGTGTATCATGTCTAACAACAGATACACAGACATTATCTGTGTATGTGGAGGTGGGAAGGGGATGGGGGTGTCTCATGTAGCACCTAGAGGTCAAAGGACCTTGGGTGGTCCTACTGTATTAGCACATTATTGTGTTAGGGTCTATTCACCTATACTAGAGAACACACTAGTAGTTTCATTATCAAAGTCTATAGTCTACTAGATATTCCACTGTGATTTCATCCAACTTACATTAGAATATCATAATGAAGAAGCAGTGTTTTATCCTCCGAGAGATATGGAAAAAGAACGACAGAGAACAAAAGCTTTGGGACATATAGCACCTGCTCACAGCTTTCTCTGAGAATCACAGGAATGATACAACTAAGATGTATTTAGTTTATCATGTGCCAGATACTTTGCAAAGTGCTTTGCGTCATCATTTTTTTCTTTTTTTAATTTTATTTTATTAATTACACTTTATTCACTTTGTATCCCCCCCATAAGCCCTTCCTCCCTCCCCTCTCGATCCCACCCTTCCTCCCCCTTCTTCACGCATGCTCCTCCCCAAGTCCCCTGATAGGGGAGGTCCTCCTCTCCTTCTGATCTTAGTCATCAGGTCTCATCAGGAGTGGCTGCATTGTCATCTTTTGTGGCCTGGTAAGGCTGCTCCTCCCTCAGGGGGAGGTGATCAAAGAGCAAGCCAATCAGATTATATCAGAGGCAGTCCCTCTTCCCATTACTATGTAACCCACTTGGGCACTAAACTGCCATGGCCTACATCTGTGCAGGGGTTCTAGGTTATCTCCATGCCTGGTACTTGGTTGGAGTATGAGTCTCTGGGAAGACCCCTGTGTTCAAATTTTCTGGTTCTGTTGCTCTCCTTGTGGAGTTCCTGTCCTCTCCAGATCTTACTATTTCCCACTTCTTACATAAGATTCCATGCACTCTGCCCAGTGTTATCATCTTTTTAAAGATGGAAGCTTAACAATGTTAATTAAGCTATATGCCTACGGAATAGCAAAGTTAAATTATGAACCCATGTTATCTAACTCACTGGCTTGCTTGCTTACTTACTTATATATGCACGTTTATTTCCTTCCTTGAAATCTGACCTCATGTTAAATGGTCATCATCCTGATGCAATATGAGATAAGGGCTGAGTAGGTAAGACTATAAGGGATAAAGACAGGGATAAAGGTGAATAAAAACAGATGTAACATTACAGAGTACTTTAGGAAATAAGCTGTGTAAACACTATAGTAAAAAGTGGGCAGTCATACCTGTGTAAGCTAACTGGACACTGGCTGAAGTTTAAAAGAACAGGCTATTTAAAAGACGAAAACCAGGGGCTAAAAAGATGGCTCAGTGGTTAAGAACACCTGTTGTAGAGGATCAGGATTTGGTTCCCAGTACCCACATGGAAGCTTACAACTGTCTCTAACTCCAATTCCCCAAGATCTGACACCCTCTTCTGGCCTCCCTGTACAGATACCAGGTACACACGTGGTGTAAACATATGCTCACAGGCAAAATACCAATTATATGCATTAAAAAGAGAAAGAGAGGGTCAAACACTGTCTCTGGAATGAAGTCAAGACAGGAAGACTAAAGCCATTGAACACTGACACACTATAGTATTAAGATCAGAGTAGCATCAGCTTCCTGGTTGCAGAAGAGATGACTCCTCTCTCATGAATGTGGCACAGATGCAAACTTCCACAGCATGGCCATCTGGTGGATGGGCACAGTGTTCTTCACACATCTACTATACAAAAATGGACTTAGCGATAGGGTTTACGAATAGAGGAGATAAGGCCCAAGGGAACATATCTAGATTTGACTAAAGGCAAGCTAGGGGTAGTGATTAGTATGACAAACTGCAAAAAAAAAAAAAAAAAAAAAAAAAAAGTCAGTAAAACTTCTTTTACAATTTTCATGCTGGGGCATCTTTTATATTTATATAATTTAACCTGTGTGTACTGTGAGGTCCCAAAAGAAACTCAAGGCCAATGGCTAATTGTGGTGTCTATTAGCATACAAAGTTCATGCTAGCCTCAGGCTCTCTCTAGCATCACAAGTACTTAAGTACTGACTCCTTTCAGCCTGTCCCACCAGAACAAAGGCAGGCGGTATTGGCGCACGCCTTTAATCCCAGCACTTGGTAGGCAGATGCAGGATCTCTGTGGATAGGATAGGAACTCCAGGATAGGCAAGGCTACAAAGAAACCATGTCTCGAAAAGCCAAAAAGCCACCAAACATCTGAACTTTGGGTAAAAAGAACATGCAGAAGACCCTGAAGAGAAATGGAGTACAGGGAGGAGCAGAGAGCAGAGAGAATGGTAAGCTGTGCAGGCACCAATGAAAAAAGGTTCCAAAACGAGAAAGAACTACTGACAGAGAAATGCCAAAGGTGACACTGACAGCAAAAGCCAGATACAATCTAAGACTTTAATTAAATAGAGGAAAATGGTGACATTTAAGATATTTACCACTTTGAAGAGGGTAAAAAAGAGAAAAGGCCCATAAGAGAAATTCAGGATTCTTTCACAGTCCATTTCTGATACAGATTAGGATGTTTTACCAAAAATTACTACTGAATTTCATTATTTTACACAATGAAGTTGTTTTAAAGCCTCAACTGAAAATTTAAACACCCCACCTACTGTCATAACAAATTTTCTAGCGTAAGCAGAGCAAAGTCCCCAGTGTCCCCCTCACGACGTGCTACACTGCTTCACCGCAAGTGAAAGTCATTTACCCTCGCAAGATCCTCTATTTCAGAACTGAAGTTTGTCTCTCCTTCCATCATTTCTTCTTCTTCTAATGTTCGCTCATCATCAAAATCATGAACCAGCATGTCAGCTGATGGATCAAACTCATGGTCCTCTGATGTTGCTGAGCCTCCTGGTAAAGAACATTTCCAGATATATGGTAAACAAAATTCAGTGCATCTTACCAATGTTATTTTAGTAACTATTGTTTATTTGAGACTAGATGTATGCCAAAAAGGGCCAGGAAAAAAAAAAAAAACAGACATAACAAATATGATTTTGCTTTAAAAAATTATCTTTACTTATCCCCACTCGGAAAAAGCTCTTGCAAGAAACTGTTTGCCATAGCTCACCCCTGTATGTTTATTTCCATTGGAAAATGGGGTAGAATATTTGTAACTTAAAAAAACTTTGCTGTAAACTCCTAAACAGTAAACTCAAGTTATAAAAAAAAAAAAAAAAAAAAAAAAAAAAACTCCCTCAAATAAAAAAGGTCTTTTTTTTTGGAGGGGGAAAAACAAACAAACAATTTTTAACCACCTTATTAATGTCTGAGTCTCTCTGAAAATACAGTCATGTACCACAGAATGAACTTGAGGTAAATGACAGGCTGCATGTATTACGGTCGCTACACCACATATTCTAGGCATGTGGTAGGCTTGTAGAGGTATGCTCTAAAACACCTACACAACCACCTGAGTTTATCAGCATGTTGCTGTTAAGCAACACTTGTCTGTCTAGTGACGATATACATGTACCATCATAGCACTGCCTTGAAAACATATTCTAATACTTGAGTAATTCTCTTGAATTTATGCGGTTGATTTTGAGCTGCAATAACTCGCAAATTATAAGGAAAAAATGTATTAAGACAATACATAAAATTTTTATCAAAGGCAATACAAATAATTCAAAGGAACTGATAAATCCTAATCAATATTTAGCCTGGTTTGGGGGAATATTATCAGATTCAATAGGGTTACACTCAAATAGATTAGGGATATGTGTGTTCTGAAGAAGTTTCCCACATTCTGATTGCTTCCAAACTAAGACTTCGGTTTGCAAAAGCACAGCTTGCTTATATATGTGTCATTTAAAAATCATTTTATCAGATAAAATTATTAAGGGTTGCATTAACAGACACACCAACGCCCTTATTTCACTCTATGTAAGACAATCAGTAAGTAAAATAAGAAACCAGGGCATACCAATGGATCAGGATTCTTTAGTCAACTCCGACAATTTTCAGAACATTTCTTACTATGTGCCAAGTAGTATGGCAACTTTTGATAAACATCTTAATCCTCATGCAGTTGTATGAAGTGGGTATTATCACCCCACTTACACAGGGGAGAGAGGAGAACGATTCAAGGCTTAAAGAACGTAAGTAGCACTTCTAAACACAGGACCAGTAGTGACAGCAAAGCTAGAACTGAGCCCTAACTATAACTTTAACTACTGTACCCCAAACTTGCTCAACACCCTCTGCATATCTTGTCTCACACAACACTGGAGGAGAATCCAAGTTCACTCACATGTGTGACCTGTAGGCTAACAGATGGCAAAGCACCTAGCAGACACGATGTTTTCTGAGAAGTATTTGAACAATGATACTGAATATAAAATAAGCATAATGCCAAATCCAATTTTATTTTACACTACATTTTAATGAAAATAGTTTATTAATCATTATGCAAATTTCAGAATGATTTGTATAAAAAAACAGAAAAGCATCCTGTTTTAATTTCTTACAGACTGTCTTAATTTTATGGGTACCCGGCAGTGGTTGAACTACGGGACAGCATGGTTGTGAGAGCACAATTTAAGAGCTAGTAACTTTGGGAATTTTTTTCTTTGGAGACACTTAGCAGTAAACAATGAAGTATTCTCATAGAGGAGGATACACTTTATTCACCCTTGCAAACAGAAAGACCTTTTTAAAAACAAAAAAGCTCGATTACGAGAGCTGGAGAGATTGTTCAGCAGTCAAGAGCACTGGCTGCTCTTGCAGAGCACCCGGGTCCAGTTTTTAGTATCCACCTGGTAGCTCACAGCCATCCTTAACTCAAGTTCTAGGGGATTCTTCTCCTGAAACCCATGAGCACATGTGCACAGTACATATACATGCACATACAGGCAACACACCCATCCACATAAAAAATTTACCTCTCCATCTCTCCTTAGACCTTATTAACCTAAACAAAATATAGTTCTTATTGAGTATAGATATTGCCAAAAATAACTATGCTAAGTTTTAACTACTCACTGTTATACTCTTATCCTCCTAAACATTTCCAAACTCATTAGTACACAGCACCAAGTCATGAGTATCATATTACTTACCTGAAGTCTCTTACTTATCTTGTTATGTTTAAGACCTGCCACCTCACTCCCCCACTATACTAAATGCCAAAGTGTAAATGAGCTTCTCTTTTTATTCTAAGTCCTTTCTCAGATACATACCTCATATAAACTTGAAATTTCAGCTATTTTCTTGCCCTAAACTGATGTTTGTTTTATATGCGTTCTTATTTGTCAGTAGCAAATAACCATCCTATTATTGTCTGCCAGATGCTAGAACCATTACTATGACAGTTTCTTGGAGGGGAAGCTCAATAATAAGGATGTCTTTTGCTTTGTGCAAGTATCTTGTTACTGAGTTAAGATAAACCACTGCTTTGTCATCTACTTTCAGACTACTAAATGGTATCTTTTCAAAAGCACAAAGACAACTAGGTTACAGTGTATGCCTATTTAATCACCTAAAAAAAACAAAAACAAACCTTCCTCCTCCTATAACTCTCACATATAATGGCTTTGTACTGTGCCTGCACTTTGAATGATGCTGACTGTACTTACATGTAAATCATTTAGCATAATCACGTGACTATGACTGCTAGCACTGACTTCCAGGTACAGATGACATGAAGAGCAGCACATGAGGCTTCTAGCCTTAATTCTATCAACTTCAGTAACTCTATAATTGTGCATAGCAACAAATGCTCCTCCTGCCAGACGCATAGTATTTCTACACTCATTGATGAATGTCTTGAAAAAAATCTAAAGCCTAGTGAATCTGCAACCTTACATGAACAGACACTGGGAACCACTGAATTTTATTTCTGTGGTTTGGAAAAAAAAAAAAGTGGAAATATTCATTTCTATATTCCACAACCATCATAGTGATATAACACGTTTCTGATCTCAAGTTGCTTCTAAGTTCTACCATCCACTCATTTAAAAGCAGTCACAAAGACCAATTACTTTACTCTTCTTCGGCATACAGACAAAGGGAGATATTCTTAGCTGAAATGAAGATAAGGAAATTGTACAGGAAACACTCAGGTTGTTTAGATTTAATCCAACTTCCAGAACATAACTTATGACCATGAAAAGCAGCCTGGAGTAAAAAGGACTATTTGTTTTAAACACATTAAAAAAAAAAAAAACTTCCTAAAAATTACAATACAAATATTGATTGCTTCAATATTAAAACTTAAGCAATGCAATGCTAAACATTTGCTAAGTATTCAATATGTGAGATATTTTCAAACAAAACACACCTCAGAGGGCTTCCTTCCGAGAAGTAAAACAATGCGTAGGGTATTGAAGGACAAATACAAAAGTCCTAGATGAGCAGGTAGGGGCATGTATAACCTACTCTACCGAGACCTTAGAACAAAACCTTACGTTTGCAACACAACTGCTGCTGAATGGCGACCTTTCTTTACTACGGCCCTCATTGGTAAATGCACCGACAGTTTTGTTTTGTTTTCTCAAAGTGCTTTGAGTATCATTAAGCTGAATGACTCCTTTTCAAAGCATTATTTCATATACTTCCAATGAAATAACAATGTTAAGAAATGCATAAAGAATTACATAAGAAATAAAGCAATTGAAAGAGCGGAAGGGAGGGAAGAGGAAAGAGAGACAGAGAGGGAGCAAGAGCCCAAACAGGAGGACGAACTCGCAGCAGCCTCACCTGTACTTTCATGGGCAGTCAAACATTTCATCCATTTCTTTTTCCCCAGAAAAAAGAAGCATTCAGAAGAAAAGCAAGTCAGATAATAGTCTAGCTCCTCTAGCCTTTATCTTAACAGGACAAACATTAGTTAAACAGAATGATAAAAACACATAAAAATACTTACCTGGACTTGAAGACTCAACAGATGGCTGAGGGGAAAAGAAAACAAATTAGCATTTTTGTGTAGTACACCTTCATAAACATTATAAGAACTATTCTGACTAATGACATCAAAAACTACAGTAGGTTTTGTGGGGTTTTTTTTTTTTTTTTTTTTTTTTTTGCTTTTTTTGTTTGTTTGTTTATATGTTTTTCAAGACAGGGTTTCTTTGTGTAGCCTTGGCTGTCCTAGACTTGCTTTGTAGATCAGGCTCGCACAGATATCTGCCTGCCTCTGCCTCCCCGAGTGCTGGTATTACAGGCATGTGCCACCACACACCCAGCTAAAACTACAGTAAGTTTAGATATCTAACATAAACTAAACTTTTTCATGTAATTCTTTCTCTTTCATTATGCTTAAACCCAAAGAAAAACCTGAAACATTCTTGGATTTAGAAGCAAAAGGGTAATATGGAATTAATTCAGATTTTAAAGCAAATACAGGGGGCTGGAGAGATGGCTCAGAAGCTGTTCTTCCAGAGGTCCTGAGATCAATTCCCAGCAACCACATGGTGACTCACAACCATCTATGATGAGATCTGTTGCCCTCTTCTGGTGTGCAGGTGTACGAGCAGACAGAATATTGTAAACATAAATAAATAAGTATTTTTTTAAGTAAATACAGTCCTCAAAAATATAGGTGAATTAAGAGGTATGGTTTTAGAGTTTAAAATCTTCAGAAACAGATTTCTCCTATTTATACTAAAATAACTATCTACAAGTTTGCTAACAAAATGGTCTGTAAGGCTTAAGAAAAATCAATTATGAAACAGGAGGCAGAAGAACACTACCCCACCACCACCATTTAGGGACTGAACCCAGAGCTTAACACATACACTCCAGGCAGGTCTCGGGACTCGGGACACCGGGCCTCAGGGTACCGGGTGCAGAGCTCACAGATGTGCAGCACTACACTGCCCTACCACCGGACCCCTCACTAACGGAACCATCAAGGGAAAAACATGAAGATAAAATTGGTAGCAACGACTTTCACTAATATTGCCACTTGAGAGTGTGGTTCTACCTCAGATTAATTTACAGTTACAAACGAGGCATCTTCAAACATTAACTCCTTCTAGACAAACCCAGTAACTTGGGAGACCTTAAATGCCAGTTCAATCAGAGCTACCTATGGATACTCTGAGAAGGCAGAAGTCACTAGCAAAAGTGGGAGTGTATTATTAAGAGTTATTTCTCCTACTAAACCTAACAGGGCTGAGAGGCAAGTCAATAAACAAATGAGAAAAGTGTTCAGTTTTCAAGAGCCAGGGATTTAAGACGGATCTCTGAGGTAGTTAGGTTCCATTTTGAAACCTGCCTATGTCAAGGCCCTGTCAGAAGTTCAGCTTTCCAGATTCCAGTAGTGACCTATGCTGGCTTCTTTTGAGGCACACTTTTTCAAAGGTCCAATTTCTACCTCTAAACTTTTGTTAAGTGAATAATTCATTCCTTCAGCATGGTTTTTCTAACATCATCAAACAAACTCTAACAGTGTAGACAGTATTATGTATTTCCTATGCCACACCATCATCATTTAAAAGTTACCATGCCAGAACAGTCAATAGATTTGTTTGGTTTCTCTGATGAGAAGCTGGAGAGCAGGATGCCACAGAAATAATACTATAACCATAAAAAGGGCAGAGCTACAGAGTTCTGACGTGAAATGGGTGTATGCACCACATGTTATCCAGCAAATCAACATTTTAAAACCTTAATCCTAACTATACGACTAACCTTTGGACAATGACTTCATTTGGTGCCAAGTTGATCAGTACTATAGAAAAGTCTATCATACTCCTTTTTTTTTTTAAAGTAAATGTCGGGAACAAATATATATGGCATAAACAATAACCAGTTTATTATAGATTAGGATACAAACAGAAATGGCTTCTGGACATTATTTTTTTTAACATATCAGTAACTTTTTACAGTATTCTGATTTTTTAAAAAAAAAAAGCTTTCTGAAATCAAGTGTGGTGGCACACCTTTAATTCTGGCACTCAGGAGACAGAAGCAGACGGAGCTTGGAGAGTCTGAGGTCAGTATGGTCTACAGAGTTCCAGGCCAGCCAGAAATATACAGTGAGACCCTATCTCAAAGCAGGGGTGGGTGTGGGGGTGGGAGGAAGAGAAGTAGTAACTACTACTGGACATGAAAAGGTTTAATGGCATTAGCTATTATAATGATAATAGGACACTGAATATGGAAGCTGAATACTTCATTTCTAAGAAGCCTCTCAGCAGCAGTAAATGACAATACCATACCAAAGAATATTATCAACAAATACTTGGCAGCATGATGTTTAGAAAAGGCCCCAAATACTTTCTATTCCTTAAGATCCCTATGTTTAGAGGCCCGGCACCATTGCTGAACACAGGGTACTCCAATGAACACATTTGTTAATATTCAAAGAGAGCTAATATTGTCAGACATCCTAGACTTGAAGGAAGGAAGTGCTTACAAGCTGGAGAGGGACAGGACACACTAAGTCTCTACATATTTTAGTATTTTATGTCACAAATAAAATTTTATCAGTTTAAGAGGGAAGGATGAGATTAGTTTGCTATAACTTAACTGCATTAAGTTAAATCAAAGAATACTTGCTGAAAACAAGCATTTTAAAAGTTCTTAGTGTACGCAAGACTTACTTGAATGAACTTTTATTTTGAGATGAAACTGACTTTAATGTCACAATATATGAGTTTCAATGTCGAATGAAAGCATTTTTATAGACATTAAAGAGAACAGCAGAATTTACATTCATAGTGTTACACATTCTCAAATGGAATTGCTTTAATTTAATCATAAACATGGCATTATCAGCACCTATTCTGTCCACTCGTTTCACACAATTGTAAACTCAGGCTATACACTGAAAAGATGAAGGTTCCACAGTGGTGACGAAGGCAGAGCTGAGGAAGTTCATCACTCTGGATCCCCCTATACTGCACACCTCTAAGAAAGTCAATCCTCTCTGTCCCCTATTTCTTTCCTCACTATTTTCTATTCCTAAAATGTTTTTACCAGCTCAAACTATGCTTAAAATATAAAAAACTGGTATTATCTTGATGAAAAGTTACGTTTCTTTAGGAACGTAACTTAAATTGTTATTGTTAAAGATTTAACAATTTCTTCCAAGACAGGCCAAATCATTTACCATTTTAAAAAATATTTTTTGAATATAAGCAAAACATAGAATTAAAAGAGTGTCTTTAAAATACACTCACACATTATTGCTAAAAAATTATGAATGACTGTAACGACTCAGATCTTTTACTAGCATCAATAGAGCCTACCATTATACCATCAGGATATATATTGTGTGGTTGTGTGTGTGTGTGTGTGTGTGTGTTATTACCATAGCTTGTTCAAAAAAAAGAGTTGAGTAAAATTTTAAAATTCATTATTTACATAGTTTAGAAATGGTATATAGTTCTTCCAAGTAACAGAACACCATGAGTCTGTAATATGATGAGACAGATTCTATGTTTGGGCTAAAAGAGAAAAATATTTAAAAAAAAATATTGGGAGTTTAATTAAATCAATAACAGCAGCTATCTCCATGGACTGAGTCGGGAAGCAAAGGGTTTTTCCACTTTATATTCTGGAATTTTTAATTGTTTTCATGCATTACTTAATTGTTTTAATGAGGAGTATCTTATGGAATTATAAGTCTTAAAATCTTTTTTAAAAACTAGTACTTTTACTATTTGGTAATTATTAATTTTAAGAAGTTACAGTCTTCTTTGTTAATACACATACATGGGATAGAAAACATTACAACTAGGTAGAAGACATCAAAAGATAAAAACAGGCTAAAATAAAAGCAGAAGCTCTACTATACTGCTCCAGTACAACTCCCCATTCCAGTTACATGATTTTTGCTCTAATCTCAATGCTTCAACCGTGTTCAAGTTTTTTTTGCACTTCTCTAAAACAGAAAAAACCCTAGTTTGTGAGAGAGTCAAAGAACTCTCACACAAACTAAGTAACAAAAAGACTAAGTAGAATATTACTATTTTTATAAAAATTAATGTTGTCAAAAGATTCACTGTATCCTCAATCTCTGTGACTTTCCCCCCAAAACAATTTTATCACCATTTCTTTAAGTGTTGCCATCACTTTCTTAGGAAGGTGGAAGAGAAATCAGATTCATGAAGGATAGAGGTAATAAGCTGAGGGAGTTAGGGAACTCTATTCAAGGATGGTATGCAGAGATACCATGTAAAGGTTTACCACACCACTCTCCTCCACGGAGATGTATGTCAATTAAACGTGTCTTTACTCTCAGGAATGCCACTACCATCCAGACAACTTGAAGTTGACATCAGGAAGCTTACTACAGCGGCAATATTTCCGAAGGTATAATGGCATTATGGAAGATAGCACCAGGAACCCAGAAGCCTGGGTTTGAGAATTGACTGCTGCACAGTCTAATTTGTGTTATGTAGGACAAAATGCATAAACCCTAATCAGTTTCATTTTCTCTATGGGTGAAAGTCTTAAATTTCTTTAAGTTCCTTTGAAACCTAGGTTTACTTTCATTATGCATTACTCAAAATGCAGCTAAAGTTTAATATTGTTTTCTGACTTGATTTTTTTAAATTATGACTACAGGAAAAGACAATTTTTGCTGGCATAAAGCTATTGTGTGGTACTGTTTTAGAAACACACACACACACTTTTAAAAGTTACACAGAAAAGCCCAATCAACAGTTTAGTCACTGCAATGAATTCTGAGGCCATTTGCTAATCTTCTGAAACCATATGATACATGGTCTGAACATCAAGCAGGAAATTTTCATATAGCTGTTTATTTCCATAAAGACATACTCATGCTTCATTGGCAGTGTTTGCATCTAAATTATATGAAAAATTAGTTTCACTAACATTACCTTAAATTAACTCACTGCTTTTATGTCTCCCACTTAGGTTATTAAGTGTGTTGGATCTTAGTCCCACCAAATTAAGCATTTCAAAGCTCAGGCAGCACATGAGTTCCCGACTATCTGGACATCTTTACGGGACAAATAATAAGCAAAGAAAATAAAACTCATCACAGTTTAAATCCATTACAATAGAGAATTACAGTTTAAATCCATTGCTCTGAAAGAGGGGAAACTAATACTCAAGAGAAACAGAACACAATCTAATTTCCTTAAAAACAACACAAACCGAAATAAAAGTAAACTCAAATAATGCTAAGAAGGAAATGTTTCTTTAAAAGAAATGGATGGACAGATGTGATATTAAGTAAATGCATTATTATCTAAAATATTTACTTTAATATATTAAGCAAGTCCACTTAAATGTTTTGTTTGTTACAGAAGTAAGGTTCAGGTGAAAAAATAGCTATTAAATTGTACTGTGGCTCTTTTTTTTTTTTCATTAAAAATCCCTGTATGTTTACATACTCTGAAATAAATGACAAAATTCTTTGATCCAAAGGTCCCCGCACCATATTCCTTAAAAAGCCCTAAGGATCAACTATTCCTCCCTGTTTTTTTCTCTTCACTTACTTCGTAAAACTGTGACTACTCTGTAATTTCCTCCCTTTCAGTATAACTCCTTTAGTAATTCTACCGTAAGTAACCTTAAGGGATATTAAGCACTGAGAAATATTACCAAAAAAGAGAGCAATATATAATCCTCTGTGCATATTAAGTACATTTTAATGTTAACACAATTGAATAACCACTAAATATACCTAATATAAACTCACAAAGATGATCAGAACAGCATAAAAAAAGAACTTTTTTAATCATATTTAATGCCATTTATAGTTACAAATCAAGCTTTTTTTTTTTCTCCCTAGAAAAACAAGGTCAAGATCATTCTCTGAAATAGAAGAGAACAACGTAAGTCTACAAGCAAAATACTTAAAAAAATATTTTTTTGGAGCCGTGCTTCAATAAGCTTCAAATCTCTGTCCATTTCCCAAATAAATGCATACAGCCCTCAGCTTTGCTTAATCAAAAGCACAGTTGTTCAGATTGCAAATTGGTTTTTACTATATACATCATAAAGAATAACCCTATGAACAGTTTATATAGACATAAGCAAAAACATTTTCAACCAATCATCTTTCCACATTTTTTTCCAAAACTTCTGTTCTTAAAAAGACTCAATTTTTAAAGAATTGAGACAAGGAAAACCATAAATGTACTTTTCTTCTCCTACTTTAGCATATTCTTGTTGACACATAAAGTTCTTTAACTCTCTAAATTCACCAGACTCCTGGGTTCTAGTCTACACAGCCAAAGCAAAGAGCAACCTATAGGCAAGTGAAGAATATAAAACATATACCAGTTATTAAATAAATGCAATGAAACCAAAAGTCAAGTTCTGAAAACTGTCCCACCGAGGTGTTCCTGCAAACCATAAACATTCTATCCCTCCTGAATTAGCTAAGAAAAGTGACTTATACCAGGAACCAAGAAGAAATAGCCAGTAACAGCACACTTCTCCCCTCTTCACAGTAATGCAACTGGCAGCCAACCTTTTAGGTAAGGTTTCTAAGTCTCGGTATTTTCTCATCAATAACTTACTGCGAGGTACGACTACACAGCATAGACAGAGTCCACAGCACAGTGCAGCAGCTCAACACCCTAGTGTGCATATCTAGTGGGTTTTCAGCAAATAGGAGTCCAGTGAAGGTTACCTGTTAAGAGATGCCTGAAAATCCTACTTTAGACTCTACTTCCTCTTGTCGCTCAGGAGCCAGACCTCAACAGAAATGAGGTCCAGGAAAAGCCTTAGGCTAGGGGATCAAGCCCAGACACATTTAAGTGAAATAAAAGTAATGTGTTCGCTCAACTCCTGTCCTGTAATTCTTTAAGGAAGAGGTAAAAAATGAAAACAGACCTATGCCTCTTAGCTGGAAGCCAGTAACATTAAGTGTTTTTAATTCTGGAAGCAAGCATCCCGCTACCATAAAATCTCTCTTTCTCTAACAGCCAAAAACAAATAAATGACATGAATATAAAGGCCATTCTATAATGGAAACACAATAGCCTAAAAGCTACTCCAGGAAGCTTGACTAGTACATGAAGGGCCGGCCGCATCACCATCTTAGTTTCAGTACTCCAAGGTGTTAAGGTTATTATGTATAAACACCAGTAGCCAGCAGCTACTTCATTTAGCAAATAAATGAGTTAAAAACTGAGAGCTAAGTGGTAAATAAAATCATCCACTTCCTCAATCTATTTTTGGGTGCCTTTGACAGAAAAGTATGAAAACGTCTGGCAATCTTAACGCTATCAATCAAGTATTTAAACGATTTGCCTCAACAGAGATCCAAAAAGTCCAAATATAACAATATGAACCCCGGGGGTGGGGGCGGATAACAAATTTCATGGATAAAAATTAAACAAAGCCAAACCACAGAACTGATGTTTAAAAGCCTTAAAACCAGACACAATGATAAAATTTCCTATAGCACATTCTACGTTCTAATTACTGCAACTTGTTTGCCTGCCCATCTGAGCTCTTGAACAAGAGAACTTGTTTACTAAGAAATGCAACGAAAGCTGGGGAGGGATGTGGCTCAGTGGTAGATGCTTGCTTGCTTATCTGCCTTGCATAAGACCCTTGGGTTCTATCCCAGAGCAGAGGGACAAGAGAAACAAGAAAAGCTTCCTCCAAGAAAAGAAACATAAAGGGGAAATAAATAACAGGCAGCTTTGATTTGAAAGTGTTTTTTTTTGTTTGTTTGTTTTTTTTTTTTTTTTTTTTTTTTTTTTTTTTTTTTTTTTTTTTTTTCTTTTCAAGAAAAAAACCAAGCCAGTTCAGGAGGCAGAGGGTGGAAAAGAAACTTAAGAGGTTTTGCTTGGGTAAGAGTCCCCAGCTTGAAGCCGGATAGGGCCTACTGGGTTAATTTCTTCTGCTCACCTCTCCACCATCAAGAAAATCACTCATCACAGGCGGGCCAGCCTGCTGTCCCGCACCTAGCCTGCAGGTCAGCAGCGCAGGTCAGCAGCCGCCAGGCGCGGGGTGGCGTGGGCTGACGGGAGCATCGACGCCTGGGCTCGAGAGGGAAGAAAGTTCGCGGGAGCAGGTAGCGAGGAGTCCGCGGGCCGCGCGGGCCGGCCGGCCGGCGAAGTTGCGCCACGGGCGGCTTCCGGACGGGCGCCCTCGCCTGTGCTCCTCGCACCGCAGCCGCCTCCCAACGCCTCAAGTCCGACGGCGCCTCCGCACCCAACTAAGTTTCGTGGAGCCCGGCCGGGCGGCCGCGCCGGACAACAGGTGGGCAGCGGCGCCGCAGGCCCGCCCGGGCAGGCCCGCGCAGCCCGCCCGCAGCCCTCCGTCCAGGCCCCGCCGGGGAGGGGCGCTCGTTCTTACCTCCGCCATGTTGGCCGCGCCACCGGGTCACATCGCCGCGGCGGGTCGCGGCCAGAACCCGGATGTGCGCCTGGGCCGCGGGGCTCCCGCCGCCGTCTCCGCCGCCGCCTCGGCGGGAACGCGCAGGAGCCGCCCGCGCGCGCCACCACACCCCGCTCCGCCCCCTCGCGGCGCCCCGCTTGACGGGACGGGAGGGAGGGAGGGAAGGAGGGAGGGGAGAGGCGAGCGGGCGCGCGCGGTGCTGGGCGCGCGCGGCCCCGAGGCCGCCGTCCCCGGGGAGCGCGCGAGGGGCGGGCCGGGGCGGGCAGGAGGGCAGCCTCTTAGGCACCGGGTCGTGCTCGCGCGGGAGGGCCAGATGGGGGCCCGCGGGGTACTCACAATGAAGGCGGAAAATAACTATTCTACACGTCGGTCACTTCTGACGTGCTTTTGCTAGAAAACTGATGTCGTCCCGACGCAACGGCGGCACGAAGCGTGCTCTGACAAATACTTCCCCTGGTGATTCCCGGCAAGGAAACCCAATTCCCCAACAGGCAGGGGGGCAAAGATGAAGAGCACAGAACGTTACGTCCCTCACTTTTTGTGATGCCAGTAACAACACTGCTCTGCAATGGATGAATTTTTGCACAACTACACAAAAGTTTCAAATGAAAAGTAATGAAAAGCTGCTCTTCGATGGATGTCTACTTGACTGCACGGACACAGAACCTACTTATTTGCAACGCCTACAATACCTGCAGCTAAAAAGTTTGTTTTAATGCACTGGCCTAGAGCTGCTACCTGGCCTTGGAATCCATACCGATAATGGCAGGGGCCAATGACTTGTTCCAATTTCCTAAAGTAGAGGATTTAAGCAGACATTAAAATAAGGAGTAAGGTTTTTTTCCGAAAGACAAGCTTTTTTCCTACCAAAATCAATCAGTTAAATGATAGTCATTACCTCTACATAATACACCATAATTAAAAATACATGGTACAAATGTGTACACACATACCTTTCTTAAACTTCACACTTATTATGCGATATGGAGGAATGCTGATTTCTTAAATTACTTCTGTTTCCTTAAAAATTCTAGATTCCATTAAGCCTTTTCCCATTCTTAAAATACTGAACACGAACCTGAAAGTCTTAAGCCTGATAACAATTTGTGCATGAATCAACTGCATTTACAGGTAAATGAAGTAGCTGCCAAGCGAATGGACATTACCTTGTAATTTGACAGGAAAAGAATCCAGAGACAGTCTGTAAACCAATTAAACATAAACATCTGATGCACATTTTCTACTGAAAGAAAAGCAAGGGAAAGAAGAGAAAGGAAAACTTTAAGGTTCCCAAATCTACAAACAATTCTTACTATTAACTGCACTGTATAGTACTCTCACTTTATTTTAAAAGATTATTATATAAGCTTCCCCACACACACACACAAATTCCTGGAGGGAAATAAATATTTTAGCACAGCTATAGTTTTATCAAATTAAGGCACTACTTTGAACTTTAAAAAAAAAAAAATTGTCAGTTCCTATCCAAATAGTTCTCACTGGATGAAAAAAAGCTGAAGGCAAAGAACAATGAACATGTGTGGGTCAGAGGGGGCACAGGTAAATAAAGGGCTTAGAGGCAGCTGTACTGTGGGGACGAAGGAGGAAAATGAGATGTTAATATACATGGACTTGCTGGCCACTAAAGGGAACACCGGAGTATCGTTGAAATTTAATGTGAAGGTAAAACTTGTTTTAGTCTATTGAGTCTTTGCTTCTTCAGTTTAAAACATCAACAAAAATCCCAACTGTGGTAAAGAGCAAACTCTGGTTCCTTAAGCTACTGGCTGAGTCCTCAAAGTCAGAAAATCAAGTCAGCAACAGTCTGAATGAGAGCTTACTGTTAAATGCCTTTAAGCTGCCCAACATTGCCAATCAATATTATTACCTTTAAATGGCCACTACCCTGTGTGGGAGAAAATTCTCCTACGTATTTCCTCTTAGAAAAACAAACTGTACTGCAGTGTTTTCTAGACATCCTAGAGATGAGAAGGCCTCTAACACTGTAGCTCATACGTAACATATTACTACTGAATTCAGTGTACTTGCATTTCGGTCTACTCAAAATCCAATTGTTCAGGGTCTCAGAAACCACCCTTAGGAAACTCTTTCTGAAAACCTTTCCTTACCCCCTTCCTATCAGATGTGTAAGAATTCACTACCCCTATCTTTGTTATGCAGGGCCTCGCAGTCTTCAGTCAGGTTGAATCTGTCAGGAAGTTCCATGCTTTTCTGCCTGTGTTTACAGACTTCCAGAGACTCAGTGGACCTCCAGAAGAGGCTGCTCTTTTCAAAAACGGTTCAAATGCTTGGCTCATTCTTCCCTGTCAGGAAAGCCAGAAGCTACTTCTACACTGCCTTCACCCATCACCTCTAGTTCCTCAGCACTCTGAGCATTCACAAGACAGCTTCTTTGTGCTCAGATGCCAACAGTCAAAATGTATACCTGGGCTAACAAAAAACCATGTATCTGAAAGCAGACCAAGGTAGAGGAAAATGCACAAGAAAATCCACCAATAACATGATCGAAACCATTAGGATTTATTAATGTGACATCCAATGTGGTTAACTGTTAGAATTCTATATTAAAACGTTTAAGTTAAACTAAAAAAAATGTGACTAATAACTTTTATGCAATATTTTTGGTTTCTATATCAAGACAAAGGAAAACACTATGAAAGGCCTAAATAAACTTTAAAAAGCCTCCTTATTTTGAGAAAAAATTATATTAATTTTTACCACACTGAGCTACTCACAACTATTCTCTCTGGTAATATATATTTATGCCAATTACTGAATTCTCCATGAAAATAAAAAATGAGGGCTGGGGGGTATAGCTCAGTGGTAAAATACTCGTCTAGGATGTGAGGCCCTGGGTTCAAATGCCAACACTATAAAAAAGTTAGTAAACAACCTATGGTAGCTATAAGGGGCATATGTGTGAGTGTGCATGCATGGTGTGCAAACACGCATGCACTCACAAACACGCACACACACTCTCCAGAGATATTCAGTTGCTACAAATAAACTTAGGGTCACAATCATACTTCAGTCAATACTCCAATCAACAAAAACTACACTGACAACTTATATTTACCTAAGATTAGTATAACCTTTTATTCAGCAACAACACTTGATTCAAATCTCGTAATGTATCTGCTATAAAGGCATATCTGCTTACGCAACTCAAAAAGGTACCCCTCCAAGTACATCAAGAAAATACATGTAACAATTCCAAGTCCAGGAATCCGATTTGGAAACTATTTTCTGAACTATTTCCTAAAACTTTTATTTAGAAACAACAACCTACACTGTATTGGTGAAGACATAATACAATTGAAATTTTTTTCGGTGACATCAGAGACGTTGAATTTATTTTGACTTTAGTGGGCAGAATGCAGGTTGTGAAGCACAGCACATTAATCTGGACGCTCGCTCCACAACTGTGCAACAGAAATCATCTTCTCTTTAGTTCTTTTACTAATGCCATCCTAAAAACACAGAGAAATTAGGCTCCTCAAAGAGCAGTTTGGACTCCTTTCATAATTTGTCCAGACAATTTCGTCCAGTGGCCTCATTTTATCAGTATGTTGCAAGTTTGTTATAATTCTTAACGTTGCTGATATTTTATCTCACCCAGAGTCTTGAAAGGGTTGGCCATTAGCACTCCTACAACATGAGGACAGACAGTAATCATGATGTTTCTATTACATGAGGGGAGTTTGCTGTTGCCCTCCCTTCGCCTACCAGCATCACATCCGTCTTGTCTGCATTGAACCTCAACCAGTTGGTTCTTAACCACGTCCGAAACTCAGCCAGGCACTGGGAGAATCGAGCCACCACACCATCTAGATTAAAGGAAAGAAAGCCTCAGTAGCGACAAGAGAGAGACAGTGTTACCACAAGCTCCCCCGGTCTCACATTTTCAAAAGGATGCCTGAGAACCAGGTCAACCGCCCCGTGGCAATCTCTCAGCAAAAAGACCTGCAATTTGTAAGCAATGCTAAAGATTAAAAGGAGCCCAATAATTAATTTCCCCTATTCCGGGTCTTCTCAGTCAAGCGGCCTCAGAAACCTAGCCTGGTCTTAAAACTGCCTAAGGTCTTCTGCAAAATTACAAAGATTGAGGAGGTTTTATAGAAAAAAAAACTAAAGAGCGGGGACGGGGGGGGGGGGGGTTTTGACTCGCCCAAGGTCACACAGCATGCAAGGGACCTGAGATGGGCAACAGGCCAGGAGCTTCTACATTACAAGCTAAAGGAATAAGGCCATTCGCGGGGGGCGGGGGGACAGGCACCGGGAACGGCCGATTCTCTGCAATGCTGTCTCCGAGACTCTCGCCCCCCTAGCTCCCTCTGACAATGGCAGGTTGACCCAGGTTGAGCCCACCACCTCAGGAGATGCTCTTGCCAGGGAGCCAACCTCGACTGGCTGGGACAGCTGGGGAAATCAGGGGCACAGAGGTGGAGCCACGGGGGAGTGGCCAGGAAGCCACACCCCTGCCTAGGAGCGAGGGAAGACCGAAAAGGGCGGAAGCTGGCCTTGCCCGCCCGGCGAACTCTGCAGCGTAGTCCGGATGCGTCGCGGAAGCAGCGAGGATTTGCGCCGCCGCTACCGCGAAGGCCGAAAGACCGGGCAGGGGCGGGGCGGGAGCTGCGCATGCGCGCCAGGCGAGCCGTGAGCCCGCCCCACACGCCTTCCGCCAGCCCCGCCCCGGAAGTTAGGAGTCTTCCGGGCGGCGCTCCGCCGTGGGGGAGGGGAGGAGGGCAAAGGGGACCGCCGGCGCCTCCGGAGCCCTCGTTCCCGACTGAAGGATGGGGAAGACGGTTTGTGGAGGCCGCACTTACAGGCGCCGCCGCTGCCGCCGCCTCCGCTGCTGCCGCCGCCGCCGGGAGACGCCCCATCCATCCGCCTGCAGCCGGGAGACTCGCAGCCTGGGAGGGGCCTGGGGCCTGGGCCGCCCGCCTCCTCCGAGTCGTCGCCCGAGCTTCCTCCAGCTCCACCAACCCTCTGCCCTCCCCTCCGCCTCCGCCCTCCTCCTCCACCTCGAGCGGCCAGCCAACCGCGCGGCCGCTTCTTGAGCCAGGCTCCGCGGTCGTCATGACGCCCGGCAAACATTCCCGAGCCGCCGGCGCGGGCAGTTGGGACTCGGGTGCCGCCGAGCCGCCGGGGAAGGGGCGCCGGGCCCTGGTCTGCGGGCCGCCGCCATGTACGGCTCTCCGTCGAGCACCCGCAAGCAGGCTAACTTCGCCGCGTAAGTCCCGCGCCAGGTCCGTTCGTCTAGATCCCCGAGGCAGCCAGCGCCTGGGTTTGGAAAGGGGTTGCCAACGCTTCCGATCCCGCGCAGTCTCCAGGCGGCTTTGGGTCCTTTGGCTATTTCGGTCTTTATCGAAACCCCGCTACAGGGCTGGACTTAAGAGCCGGGGCTTTTTAGGGCTACCCTCGCCTCCTATTCCCGGCGCTTTTGCTTGTAGTCTTTCATTTGGTCTTTTCAACTTCCAAGCCTTCTCGCTGTGCTCGAGCTCCTTGGTCTCTGAGCAGCCACGCTAATTTTAATACGTTCGCTAGCAGAGGATTTTTTTTTTTTTCATCTCCTGCCAGCTTGCCTTAAGACTCTTAACTGCTTACTACATTCTGCTAAGCCAGGAGAAAAGCCCAGGGGTGTATGGACTCGTGTGGAGCAGAACTTGCAAGTGGTTCCTTGAATGTCCACTAAAATGTTGCCCAGTTCGTGCTCGCACATGTCAGCCGCTTTGCTGGTCTTCTCAGACCAGCCACATCTTTTCTTCAGCCCTCCTTTCAGTTAATCGCTCTGTGGAGAGAACCCTGTATTTGCCCTTAAATGTAGTAAGTCAATCTTTTGGCCATACTTCCGCTTCACCAAAAAAAAAAAAAAAAAAAAGGAAAGAAATGATATGGACAATAATAAGCACACATGGGTAATGCATACATCGCCGTACATAAAGATGGATTTGAAAACCAGATCTTAAAGCTTTCATTTAGATGAGTGATTCTCAACCTGTAAGTTGCAACCCCTTTAATTGTGGAACAACACTTTCGGAAGGGTTTGCCTAAGACCACCGGGAAACACAGACGTTTACATTACCATTCATAACACTAGCAAAATTACGGTTATGAACTAGGAACAAAGATAATTTTATGGTTGGGGGTCATCACAACATGAACTGTATCAAAGGGTCACAGCATTAGGAAGGTTGAGACCCACTTCTTTAGACAGTCATTGTCATTCTTAGGTTCGGTGGCTACCCTTGACTATTTCTCCCATAGCACCAGGCAATTACCAATTTCAAATCCATACTTTTAAGAAGTGTGAATCTTAATGTAAATAAAGAAGACAACTTGATTTTTCAAAACAAGAGTGTGGCCCAATTATTGACAAGGCTTTAAAGCAGGCACCAACACCTTGATTTTAAGAGGACTTACGGGCTGTGGATTTAGCTCAGTGGAAAGTGCAAGGTGCTGGGTTCTGTCCTCAGCTTTTTTTTTTTTTGGGGGGGGGGGTACGGGTGTCAGAGGGGTGAATTTTTTTCTTTAACTCAAATTGGACAAAACAAGATCCTTGAAAACTCTAGTGTGTGAATGTTACTGTCTTTTACAATTATATCTCTAATCATGAGAGGGAAACACTGATAAATGCATTTATCATTTGGTATATTTAACAGCTTTTTAGAAACTTTAATTAAAAATAGTTTGGGGGACAATTTTATAGCAGTTAACTTTATCAAGAGATTTTAAGATGTATCACTTAGGTACTCACTTTTATGCCCTGTGATTTTTACATTGTCCATGAAAGATTAACAAATCTTTTACAACCTGGAAAGAAGTTTATCAAAGTGTGTATCTTAACATTAAAATATGTAGCTTAATGAAGCTTATCATAAGACTCCAATGAAGACTTTTACATAAACAAATAAAATTTTAAAGTTTTATGAAACACTTAATAAACCGAAAGATACCATTTTAGTAGGTTTTAAGAAGTTCAGAGTACCCATGTTTATAATAATGCAGTGTGTATTTATCAGGCCTTTTGATATTATCACCAAAACACATTTACAAGAATATGTATGTCAATTTTAATTGTACATGCTAAAAAAAAAAAAAAAAAAAAAAAAACCTAGTGTGCATAAAATAAAAAAAATTTTAAGTGGCTGTAATTTTTTGTTGTTTCTTTCTTGGGACATAAAATGACACATGGCAACAGTTATAATCACAAATGAAAGAATTACATGAAATCCGGGTGTATCTAAAGGGAGAGGAGTATAAAGTTATATCCCTGTCTCCTTGAGATGCAAGGCAGAAGCACAATTGGAAGGTGGAGTTTGCCTTGTAACCTTAAGGCAGTACCTTTTCCTAATGTTGAGTGCCAAGGAGCAGAGAGTGGAGGTGTACCACCTTCCCCAGTGTAACTTTGGGTTAAAGCTATTTAGTCTGAATGTATAGTGAGGCTCACCTATGTTCCAATGACTGCTTCTGTATCTAGAAGAAAGGAAGGGAAGGGAAGAAATTCTCAGGTCAAGTACTGTGTGCCTGGCCTGTGCCAGTATGGGATATATTCTCTTCCTAAATGAGGCATGTTGACAACTAGAGCCTGAAACTCTTAGGCCCCTTTACCCACAAGAAAAACATCTAACAACAAAGGAGGGAGGAAATAAAAGGGGAAATTGTGGTCACAGTGATATAGTTGCTGAACTGTAATGATACAGTCAATGACTGACAGAAATCTAAAAAAGGTTAACTGGTAGGAAAAAATGGAAGGATTCAGTGATCTACTTGGGGTTGAAGAACAGGAAACTTATGACAGAAATCTTTTTAATTTTTTGAGACGAGGTCTCAGCCCAGGCTAGTCTTGAACTTACCACCTACCTGTAGATGGCCTTGAACTCCTGTTTCTCCTGCCTTCACTTCCCCAGTTATGTTCATGGGGAAATAAGATAGAGGAATCTTAGGAATTATTGAAAAACAGTGCCAGGTTCCAGAATATAGATAAAATCTAGTTTCAGATGGAAGAGTAACTCCTTTTCAAAAACATTTATTTCTTGTGTTTGTAAGTATGCTTGCATGCGTGTACATGTGGAGCCTGTGGAAGTCATAAGAAGGCAGTGGCGTGGCTTCCCTAGAACTCGAGTTTAGGTAGTTTCGAACTGCCGTGTGGGTGCTGGGAACTGGATCTTTGTCCTGCAAAAGCAGTAAGTGCTCTTAACCTCTGAGCCATCTATCCAGCCCCCTAGAATGGCAACTCTTGTGGAAAGGAAAAATGTGGCAAAGATGAATTCAAATGAGTCTATGGAAGGCAGGAGAAGAACTTAAAAGATAGATCACGAAGGAGTTTTTATAGGCCTGATAGTGATTACTGGTTTTGGTGGCCAAGTCCTGTTAGGGTAGCAGGTCTCAACCTGCTGGTTGGAGCCTCCTTGGGGCTGAACAGCTCTGTCATAGGAGTCGACCATCAGAAATGTCAAATATTTATATTACAGTTATGAATTAGCAATGAAAAGAATTTTATGGTTGGGGGTCACCCCAGCATGAGGAACTGTATTGTATTAAAGTGTTACAGGAAGGTGGAGAATTACTGGTTTAGGAATAAAAGCAAGGCGTCCAGGGTAGGAGACTCAAAAAATAAAAATTTGAATATTTGTTCATTGTCCAGTTTTGCTTTAAAAATGCTAAAATTGCTTCTTTTGGAAGTACATTTGCTTTTTAAAATCTAATAGAACATCATAAAACTTTTCAATACAAAGAACTAGAGTGGTAAAGTGATAAAGGCTGGGCCTGCCTTGGGAATTTGTGAACTAAATCCAGTAGTAGAATTAAATAGTCTTTCCCAAACTTTAATATTTTATTGTATTTAACAAATATTTTATTGTATTTAACTTTAATATTTTATGTATTTAACAAATGACATAATTTTAAATTGAGTTTAATTTTAAATTATGTCATTTGTTAAAGAAATAGGGCACTTTCACCCAGGCTTTATTACTTGTGTTTAACTTTGCCCATTTAACTACAGTATACACTGATAATGTATTTATCATGTGGCAGATACTTCCTGGTCATAATATATAAATTAAATTTGTGTAATCCTCATAATTATCCATGAATAACTATTATCTCTATTTTATGAGCAAGAAAACAGATCCAGAGGAGTCAGTAGAGAATTTGTATTTTGCTGCTAGAATCAAATCTCATGCTTTCTTTTAATTCTTGGTATCTTTACATAATTTTAAAATAACCTTTTATTGTTTTTATTGCGTATGAGTGTATTTGTACATCCATGAGGGTGGGCATGCACATGGAGGTCAGAGGACAGCTTTGGGGACTTGGTTCTTTCCTATTGTTTCTCTCCGTAGGGTCTCTTACTGTTTTGCCTCAGCGTTACTCTAGGGTAGCTGGAAAGATTCTGCAGGATACTTCTGTCTCCTAATCTGGCTTTGGGGATTGAATTCATGTCACAAGGCTTGCGCCACAATCACCTTTAGCCACAGAACCATCTCAATGTCCCCTGTGTCTTTTTATATAAAATGGTGTTAGTTCCAACCTCTAAGGGTTGCTTGGAAAGGAAAAGTGATGGTACATGTAAACTCTCTAGAAATGTGCTCACACAGAATAAACTCTCAAGTGGCTATTGCTGCATGTTCTTTGTTTAGGTTATTCACACTTCTAAATGAAAGTCTACTTTTGCTATAATTTGAATTTTCTTTCCAATCCTTGGTCTTCCGTATTTTATTTTCCTTGTATAGGAATGCCATCTTACAGCCAAAGAGGTCCATTAGCTTTGTGGCATCAAGAGCAAGCGGAGGGAAAGGACCTGCTGGCATGAATCAAAGCAGATCGTCAAAAACTATGATGTCTTTAACTGAGACAAAGTCAATAGAAAAACTGAATGTTACTGGCTCTAAGACAGTACAGGTAATGTCTCTCTTCCAAAACATTTTGTTATGTTTACTTATCTACTCTTTATGTGCATATGTACACCCTGGCAGGTAAAGTACCTGAGGACAACTTGGGACAGCTGTTTCTCTTCCACCTTGTGGGTTTTTGTTTTTGTTTGTTTTTTTGTTTTGTTTTGTTTTGTTTTAGATCAAACTCAGATTGTCAGGCTTGGCAGCAAGCACCCTTACCCACTGAGCCATCCTTCTGACCCTCAGGTAACGTTCTTTAGAATTCTGAGCTTGTTTTTTGAAGATTATTTTTTTTTTAAGTATGTGTGTGTATGTGTTTGGAGGTGTATGCACATGAGTGGGTGTCACATTCTCAGGAGCTAGAGTTCCAGGCAGTTGTGAGCCACCAGATGTGGGCCATGGGAACTGAACTCTGGTCCACTGCAGGAGCAGTACATGTTCATAATCCCACGGAGCCATCTATCCAGCCCCCGAGTTTATTTTTAATTAACATCCTAACCTTCCACCTCTTCATAGCTGTTGAGAGTTACAGCTTGACTAAACTGTAGTTCTTCTCTCAAACTCTAATAAAATTGTCCTTGCGTTTCAATGTGTGCCAGGGTGACCTGTGATGGCCAGAGAACAACTTGCGGGAATCAGTTCCCCTCTTACAAAACAAAACAAAACAAATAAACCTGCCCACATGGCTGCGAAGACTGAAAGCTTTCATAAGCGTTACAGGTGGTATGGCTCAACTGGTCCACATCTATAGATACTTGAGATTGTACCTGAAGATACTTCTACCTAAACGTTTACTGAAGGAGTTTTCACTGTGCCCGAAACCTGGAAGCAATTCATTATATCTATTAAAAGTAAAGCAGATAAATAAAATTCTGTATAATGGTTGAGTATATTACTTTCTAACCGTAGTAAACAAATTACAACTTTACATAGAAACAAACACTTGGGAAAATAGAAAACATTGTTGCAAAAAGGGTTTCAGCTCTGAAGCAACATCTGACTATACCGTTTTAAAAATAAAGGAAGTTTCTTTAACCTACATGGGGAAAACAAGTGTTGACAGAAACCTGGAGAAATCAGACCTTTCATCTCTGTTGCTGGAACCATGTGAGAACTACAGAAGCATCTTAAAGGTGAGCATACATATAACCTCCCACCTAGAAATTTCAACAAAGCTCGTAAATTAGCATATCATGTGCAACAATATAGCAGCACCATTTGATGGCTTTTATTTATTCCATGCATGTACGTACTTAGGAGCTAGGATGCACACAGGAAGGTCAGAGAAAAGTTCTCCTGTTTCACCATGTGGATCCTGGGCTCCAACATGACAGGGAGTGCCTGTACCCACCTCCAGCCTCCAGCTATGTCCTCTGCCCTCAGCACCATTTGACAGCCAAGGCAGCCCAGTGCTGGCGACAAAAAGCCTTTAATCCCAGCACTTAGGAGACAGAGGCAGGAGGTCTCTGTGACTTTAAGGCCAGCCTGGTTTATATAATGAGTTCTAGGACAGACAAGGCAAGAAAACTTATCTCCAAAAACAAAACAAAACAAAAAAATCAAAACAACAACAATAACAAAAAAAAAAAACAACAAAGACAAGCTGGAAAATAAACAAATGCCCATGCATAGATAGATAAATGAAACATGATACAGCCTTCACACCATGAAGTACTATATAACAATGAAATGAAGAACTGTAGCTGTAGTCAGTAATACAAATGAATCTTAACATGTAAAACAGTGAACGAAAGAAACCAGTATCAGAGACTACATTTCATATGTCTTCGGCCAAGTGAAACTTTCGTCAAAGGAATTACTACTTTTAATGGAAGATAACAGCTCTCCTGAAAGAAAGTAGGAAAACTTCTAATTCTAAATCTGATTGTTGAGTACAACACCTCTATTTGGTTAGAGAATTTACTAGGTTGTAAGTGTCATGTATACTTGTGTGTGTGTGTTCTATGAAAATTTAAAAAGCAAACTCTATTAAAGATACTTAACAAAGCTATGAACAGAAAAAAGAAAAGGATTGTGAATGTGAAGTAGTGAGTGATTATCACTGTGGGGATAAAGAAGGTTTTGATCCATATTGACCAGCGAGTGGCTCCAGAATGTGTAGCAGGTACCAGTGTTTTACTGTATCCCTTATCGGTGGTTGTAAGACTGTGCTTTGTTTTATTTAATCACATTTTTATATGTCAAATTTTGTAACTGAAGGAAATAAAACAGAAAAAAAGAAATATTAGTAGAAGACTGTTAGAATATCTATTTAAATTATCTTTTAGTTTTTTCTTGACAATTTCCGCAAAGTGACAGGATGCATACTTACACACAAAAATCATTAGCTTTCTGCTATACCAGTAACAAGCAAACTGAAGAATTGGAAACAACATCCTTCACAATAGCTTCCCAAGAGTTCCTTGGGATCAAGCTACCCAAGGATATACAAGACCTCTATAATGAAAGATCTAAAACACTGAAGGAAAAAAATGAAGACATAAGTACATGAAAGTCTGCTCATGGATGGGGAGACTCAGTATTGTGAAAATGCCCTAACTATCTTTTCAAAAGCATTTAACCCAATCCCCATAAAAATCCCCATGCTGTTCTTCACTGACATAGGAAGAACAGCCTTAAACTGGTTATGGAAGCAGCATCAGAGGCCCCAGACAGCCAGAGCAATCCTGAGCAAAGATAACATTGCTGAGAGTATGACCACCTCCAATTTCAATTTATCCTGCAGAGCCATAGCATTATAAATAGGATGGTACCAGCACAAAGCAAACACATAGGTCACTGGAGTGAAATAGAGGACCCAAATACAAGGTGGCCACTAACTTTGAAGCCACTGTAATGGTAGCCACCTAATTTGACAAAGATGGCAAAAATAGCACTGGAGAAAAGGACTGGGGAAACTGGATAGCTATGTGAAGAAGAATGAAACAAAATTCTGGAAAAAAAAAAAAACAACTCCAGATTGATTAATGAGCTCAACATAAAACCTGAAACTCTGAAACAATAGAGGGGAAAAAAAAGTTTACCTTTTACAGAGGGAGGGTGTTTACCTCAAGTCAAGAACATTTGCTCAATCATATTTGTAGCCACTTTATTCTTAATAGCCAGAAACTGGAAACAACCTAGGTGTCCCTCAACCAAGGAATGGATACAGAAACTGGTACAGTTACACAGTGAAATACTACTCAGCCATTAAAAACAGGGACATGATGAAATTTACAGAAAGATGGATGGAACTAGAAAAGATCATTCTGAGTGAGGTATTCCAGAAGCAGAAAGACACACATGGTACATACTCACTTATAAGCAGATTTTAGTCATATAGTACAGGATGGACATACTATAATGCACAACCCTAAGAAGATAAGTCCGATGGGCATATCAGGCTTCATGTCATCTGGCCCACTAATTAGGGGAGTGGGAGTTATCTCTGACACAGACTATGTTGCCTACTTTCTGATCACTTCTCTCTGATAGGACTTCCCTGCAAGGTCACAGGGGAGGAAGACAAGCTCAGTCCTCATGTGAATAGATGAGCTGGGGTGTCTGGGTAGGGGACTCCTCCATTCTGAAAAATAGGGGAGAAGGGATGTGGGAGAAAGGGAGGATGGGATTGGGAGGAAAGAGGGAGCATATGACCAAGATATAAATTTAATTAATTGATGATGATGATGATAATGATGAAGATACGGGCAGAGGTTAGGACGTTCTGGATAGAGTTACAACCACTCAAGAAATGAGGCCAAACAAATGGACTCCTGTGAAAGGAAATTGTCAAGCAAGTGAAGAGGCAGCTATAGAAAGGGGGGAATCTGTCAAATATACATCCAACAGAGGGTTAGTATCCAGCTTATGCAAAGAATCACAAACTAATTATCAGGAAAACCACCCAGGCTAAGAAATGGAGGTGGGTGTGTGGAACTGCACAGATTTCTTTTTTAAGTTGGGAAATTTTAATTACTGTTCCAATCTCACTAGTGTTCATTGATCTGTTTAGTTTGTTGCTTGCCTCTTGTTTAATGTTCGTAAGCTGTATGCAGCTACAAATTCATCCATTTCTTTCAGATTGTCCAATTCAGTACAATATATTTTAAGATAAAACATGATGTTTTGAATTTCATTGCTATCTGTTATAATTGTTCCCTCTTTCATCTCTATTTTTATTTGGGTTTTCTCCCTCTCTTTCTTTTGGTTACTTTAGCTAAGGATTTGACAATCTTATTCATCATTTCAAAGAATAGTACATTTTTGTTTATTTGGGGGGAGAATACCCATCAGTTGGTGAGAGTCCGGTAATGAAGTCACCCACTGCTCTTGTGCTAGGATTAATCACTTTCCCCTTGCTTTGATAAAACAACATGACCAAGGCAACTTAACAACAACAAAAAACAAATAACAAAAAAACCCCAACTTTTATTTGGGCTTATGGCTTCAGAGAGTTGGAGTTGATGGTGGCAGAGTAAAGGAACAGATTAGAGCTCACATCTTATGTATATATAATTTTTTATTTATTACAATTTATTTACTTTGTATCCCAGTGGTAGCTCCACCCTCGTCCCCTCCCATCCTGCTCTGCCTCCCTCCCTCATCTCCTACCGTGCCCCTTCCCCAGTCCACTAATATTGGAGGACCTTCTCCCTTTCCATCTGACCCTAGCCTATCAGGTCTTATCAGGACTGTCTGCATTGTCTTCCTCTGTGGCCTGGTAAGGCTGCTCCCCGCTCAAGGAAGGTGATCAAAGAGTCAGCCACTGAGTTCATGTCCGAGACAGCTCCTTTTCCCCTTACTAGTGAGCCCATTTGGAGACTGAGCTGCCATGGGCTACATCTGTGCAGGGGTTCTAGGTTTTCTCCATTCATGGTCCTTGGTTGGAGCATCAGTCTCAGAAAAGACCCCTGGGCCCAGATTTTTTGGTTCTGTTGCTCTCCTTGTGGAGCTCCAGACCCTTCCAGGTCTTTCTATCTCCCCCTTCTTTCATAAGATTTCCTGCACTCTGCCCAAAGTTTGCTATGAGTCTCAGCATCTGCTTTAATGCCCTGCAAAGTAGAGTCTTTCACAGACCCTCTGTGGTAGCTCCTGTCATGTTCCTTGTTTTCACCTTCTTCAGATGTCTATCCTGTTTGCCTTTCTGAATGAAGATTGGGCATGTTACCCAGGGTCCTCCTTTTTGATTAGCTTCTTTAGGTGTACAGATTTTAGTATGATTATCTTATACTATATGTCTAATATTCACTTATAAGTGAATATATACCATGTGTGTCTTTCTGCTTTTGGGATAGCTCACTTAGGATGATCTTTTTTAGTTCCCACCATTTGTCTACAAATTTCATAATTTCCCTCTTGATCCACAACCATGAGGCAGAGAGCCAGCACTAAGAATCATAAGAGTCTTTTGAAACCTCATTGCCTACATCCAGTGACACACCTGCTCCAACAAGAACACACCTCCTGATCCTTCCCAGCAGTTCCACCAGCTGGGGACCATGCATTTAAACAGGCCTATGGGGGCCATTCTCATTCAGATTACCACAGTACATGTGGAGTGAATTGCTGGCACAGCTGTGCTAAGCTGAGGTTCTTGGGTCCCTCTGGCTTTTAGCAAGCTCCACTTGTTACTGTGTTGAAAATATTTTAAACTTATGCTTATAATACTATATGGGCCAAAATATTAATAATATGAATAAAGTATTCTATCTTTCTGACTTCTGTGTGTTTTATCATTAGAATGTAGTATTACTTTTTAAAACTTTACTATAAAAAAAGTTTTTGACTATGAGTCTCAGCCTCTGCTTTGATACCCTGCAGGGTAGAGTCTTTCAGAGTCCCTCTGTGGTAGGCTCCTGTCCTGTTCCCTGTTTTTTCCCTCTTCCAATGTCCATCCAGTTTGCCTTTCTGAATGAGGATTGATCATCTTACCCAGAGTCATCCTTCTTGAGACCCATAGACAAGCTTTGGGCAGAGTGCAGGGAATCTTATGAAAGAAGGGGGAGATAGAAAGACCTGGAGGAGACAGGAGCTCCACAAGGTGAGAAAAGAAAAATCTGGACACAGGGTCTTTGCTGAGACTCCAACCAAGGACTGTACGTGGAGATAACCTAGAACCCCTGCACAGGTGTATCCCATTGCAGCTCAGTGTTTAAGTGGTGGAAACAGAGACTTCTGACATGAACTTAGTGGCCTGCTCTTTGAGCACCTCCCCCTGAAGGGGGTGCAACCTTACCAAGTCACAGAGGAAGACAATGCAGACAGTCCTGATTGAGACCTGATAGACTAGAATCAGATGGAAGGGGAGGAGGACCTCCCCTATCAGTTGACTGGGGGAGGGGCATGGGTGGAGAAGAGGGAGGGAGAGTGGAAGAGGATGAGGGAGAGGGCTACAGTTGGGATTCAAAGTGAATAAACTAATAAATAATTTTTTTAAAAAGTTTTTTTTTTTTTAAGCCAGGCATGAGCCTTTAATCCTAGTACTCAGGAGGCAGAAACAGTTGATCCTTGAGTTCAAGGCCAGCCTAGTCTATAGAACAAGTTCCAGACAGCCAGAGCTACATAAAGAAGCTTTCTTGAAAAACAATAACCAAACAAAAACAAAACAATAATTAATTTAAAAGTTTGCTGTCATGGCTGCGGTTTCTACATGCATCTTCTCTCTTTGGTTGTATCAAGAGGCCATATCAAGTGATTGGCTATTCCATCTAGGTTCCTTTCTGTACGTGTACTGTATGATGTTCAAACAGTGACAAAAATGAGCTAACATTTTTAGATCATATCTCCTCTGTATTTCGTACTTATATACAGGTACATGAGTTAACAAATTTTTAATGTTAAACATCCATGTTAAACCACCATACCTGGCTACAGAAACCTAGTTAAAATTCAAGTGTAAAATTTGGAGTTACTCAAGTTTTTATGTTTATTTTGTCCTAAGAACATGATACTTAGTATTTTTCTGCTGTATGTATTTTTGCTTTCTAGGAGTTAGAAATCTCACCCTATGTAGTTTTTCACTTTAAATGACCATTTTCTCCAGGTGTTTGATGCAAGAGGAGTTGATGTTACCCCCCGGCCTCTCTACCATCCAGATCCTCATCTTGGAGCAGCAAAGCCAAGTAAACTTCTGACGTCAGAAGATGGATCGTTTGGATCGGATTTTATTTCTTCCTATAGCCTGTATCAGAATACAGTAAACCCCAGTATGTTTGGGCAGCTCACAAGGTGAAGTATATGGCCCTAGTTCTTTCGATTTTATTTGTGTTGTCCTTCCATTTCTCATCGCATACACCCAGAATGTGTATGTTCCCAGTTTTCTGACATTGCTACCAGTCCTGGTGTCCTAGACTTACATTTCAGTTATATTTATGTTCAGAGCTTGACTGAATAGTTTCCACAAATTCCGTAACAGTGTTGCAAGTGTGTAGATTTTACTGAAGATTTTCCCAAGGAACCAAAAGAATGGACTAATATCACATTTGGTTGCAAATTCCAATTAGTAATCCGCTGTCCCCCCCCCCCAGCTTCTTTGGGGGTTTTATTGCTGTTGTTTAAAATACAGTGCAGTCATACAGTGCTCTAGAGCCCACATTCCATCCACACATGAAATGTGGGGAATGCCAGGTGAGAAATAATGGATCTTCCAATCAGACTGACAACTTGGTGAGCAACCAAAATCACAAGTGTGAGAAAATGTTACAGAGTGATTGTGATGACCATTTGTTTGAAATTTTCCTTTTGAATTCTTGTGTTTATTTCCCAAGTGTGAGGATGCATGCTGGGTGAAAGCTTTTCCAGGGGAGATAAGGTACACAGCTACTCACCCCAGGAAGGGAATGATGTTACTAACAGGAGTGAAAGAATGGCTGTGTACAGGAACAGGAATGACTCATAAAAGCATCTGCACCACAGAAAAGCAGACCCCGGCATGGGACCATGAGCCACACACAGTGACCACGAGCCACACCTCTGAAGTTCCCCGTACAAACAGTTAGCTCCAAAGTCTCAGAATGTCTTCCCTCCAGAGCTTATCTGCTGGGGGGGGGGGGGTCCCCTCCCCAGAGCTTGTTTACTCCTGTTAAGCTGGGGAGGGGCCTTTGAGACTCTTCCAAGTTACCATGTTCCCAGGCATCACCTTGTTTTTACCTCCTGAGTCTCATGGGCTTTGCCCTCATTGAAGAAAGGTTTCGTTTTGGAGGAGGCCGCAGTCAGTGTCACTATGTCTTAAGTTAGCTTTCCAGGGGACTTTCGTAAACTTGAACTTTGGGAGATGAGTTGTGGAAAAATGGGCAGAAAACAGATGAGAAACAAAGGGAAGAGTATTCTTGGCTGAGGCCCGAAGAAAGCTCCTACGACCAAGGCAATGAAACAGCCAACAAAAAAATGATTAGAAGTGATAATGAAAAAGGAGTCTGAGGGGAGCTATATTTTAGATATTTGTCCAGATATGCATTGGGAATACGTTGATGGCTTCTGGGCGTGGATTTTATATTTTTAAATAACATTAAAAAATCAACTGAAGATTTAAAAGTTATTTTTTGTTTATGTTGCTTACATGATTGTAGCATATTTGGTTTTTTCACCTGTTAACATAATTTAACAGTTTCATTATGTTAAATTATTTTTTCAATTAAATTTTTATTTTTTACATTAATTACATTTTATTCACTTTGTATCCCAGCTGTAGCCCCATCCCTCATTCCCTCCCAATCCCACCCTTCCTCCCTCATCTCCTCCCATGCCACTCTCCAAGTCCAGTGATAGGGGAGGTCCTTCTCCCCTTCCATCTGACCCCAGCTTATCAGGTCTCATCAGGACTGGCTGCAATGTCCTCCTCTGTGGTCTGGCGAGGCTGCTCCCCCCCTCAGGGGGAGTGGTCAAGGAGCCAACCACTGAGTTCATGTCAGAGACATGCTATGTTAAATTATTAAGAAACTTTATAGTTTCTCATAAGGACATTAAACAAATGAGGAATATTAATAACTTTTAAAGGTCAGTCCTAGGGAGCAGTTCAGTGTCTAAGTCAAGTGTATCAACAACTGAATCAATGGCAGAGGACCTTGAAGAACCATCTTACAAAAGGGACAAATTGGCTAGTTTTACAGGTAATAAAATCCTTTTTTTTTTTTAATTTTAATCTTACAGTTTTACTGCATTTTCAATTATTTAACTCTAGACTGTCCGAAATGAAATTGTCAAGATTGCAAAACCTAGATTATTTTGTTACAGTTTATATACTATTCTAAGATTAATTTATTAATTGTGCTTGAGAGCTGATAAAAAGAAGGAGCTAAGAATATATCTCAGTGGTGAAACATTTGCCTACATGGAAGGCCCTGAGTGTTCAGTTTTTTTTAAAAACACCTCCCCTTCTGTCCCTGTCTCTTTCCTTCTCCCTCCCTCTTTCTTCCCTCCCTCCCTCCCTCCCTCCTTCTCTCTCTCTCTCTCTCCCCCCCCATTACCTAAAGAGAAGCTCCCACTTTACTTGGATATAGGGATACAAATTAACACTTAGAAATCATTATCCTTCTTTTTATGTCCTATTTTATGTATGTGGGTGGTTTTCCTGCACGTGTGTGCAGTGCCTACAGAGGCCAGGAAAGAACATCAGGTTGTCTGGAACCTGATGTACAGAGGTACAGATTATCATTAGTCTTCATGCTGGTACCAGGAACAGAACCTTGGTTTGTCTGCAAGTATTCTTAACCACTGAGCATCTCTCCAGCCTGTCATCCTTTTTTTTTTTTTCTAACTACAGTTGCCATAGAAATAATCATGCTCTCTAAATAAATAAGGGTCTGTTTGTAAACTAACTGAAAGCTTCATTCTTAGTTTCTCATGCAATAAAAGGAACTAGGACCTTTTAGAGAAATAACTGACTTCTGGGCCTTGGGACACAGCAGCCATTTGTGTTCCCATTAACCAAAGGTCCACAACTTCAACAACAAAAAGGTATAGTGCTGGGTTAAAGCTCATTAACAGCATCCATAAACCCAGACTTAGATATGTGATAAAATGCAGAGTAGACTCCCGTAGAGAAGAATTCTAAATACTTAACGTAGGTACTTGTCCCTCAAGGTGTAGGTTTCCTATGCTTTTAAATGTAGGTTTGCATTGAGCCTTTCTCCAGACTGCAGTGTACAAAACAGAAATCAGTCTCCGCTGAGTGGTGATAATGTCTGTGATAAGTCATGTGAAGAGCCTTAATGGTACCATGAGATGGGACTTTATTCCTCCACTTCCTCCGGCAACCTGAGTCCCACGAGCTCTGTATTCTAAAACAGGAAACTGCCACCGTCTAGGAAAACCTAAGGAACAGGATGATCAGATGTGGCGTTATGGCTGATATTGTGGGAATAAATTCCGTGTTTCTAAGTAACATTAAACATAAAGCAGACTGGGATAAGCGATGGCATTAGGTGGCAAAGTGTCACTGTCCATGAGTTGCAGTAGGCACACCTCCTGCAGAGGAGTGTTTACAGCAGGGACCGCTTAGTTCAGGATGTTTACAAGTGCTAACATTCTGACAAATTTTCCACACCTTGAGCCATTCTAAAGCGAATAATCTATTGTACCCTACCTTAAAATCTTTCACAAGCCTTCTGGGTGCATATGCTTTTCAGAACCAAACAGAAACCAATGCCGGTTGACATTTGCTCGGCACGGAGAATAACGAGTAACAGGTACTTTTACATGAACTCAAAGTACCTGTGGTTAGCGCATAATGCATTTGTGAGGAGAGAGAAGCGCTCTTTGGTAACTCGGTCCGATTGTAATTGCATGGGACCCATTGTACTAAACAGCAACTTAAGGAAGGCTTCACTGATTGTTCTTTACTGAAGTCTCTTAATGTGACCAGATAATTCATATTTTCCCTGCCCATTTCCGAATTAATTGAAAAAAAAAAACCAGATATATTAGAACCAAAATGCCATATTATGAGTTAAAGTGCTATTGGAGCCCCAAAGTTGTTTGACTCTTGACCCTCCCATTCATTAGCTGTTGTTGACCACCACAAAGCCTTTCCTATTCCTCTCCAGGGGCTTCCTGTGTGAAGACCCAAGAGGGAGTTGTGATGGCTGAATCCAGCTGGAGGCCTCTTGAAGAACACCGGGGGGGGGGGGGGGGGGGGGAATGACGTGCTTCCTCTACCACTGGAAGCAAACATTGCATTGATAGGTTTCTAGGTAGAGATCCAGGTGTGGGCTCCAGTGTAGAGCTAGTGATCTGATCGTAACAGGTGAAATAGATTCCATGGGCACACAGTGCTACTGGAAGTAATTTCTTAATATGTATCAGATTCTGGGAACATTCAGTGATAAACCCGAGCTGATTGCTGCTCTGTGACTTTGTCTAGGGTAGTGTTCCTCTGCCATCAAGACTTACTTTTCCCAACTCTGATCCAGAAGTGGCATCCTATTAGGTTCTATGTGTGTGCAGCATCTCATATAACGCATTTTTAGAACAATGGCTGTGCTACAGTGCTACTTTATATATAACTGAATCCTTAACCAACCTCTGATGGTCTAAAAGAGTGGTCAGAGTAACAAGAGCCTGTTTGTTTGTTTGTTTTTGTTTGTTTCAGTCTCAAAATTACCCATGTTCTTATGGAGCTTTAGACAGCTCACGCCTGATGCTTATTTTCTTCACCTGTGCAGCAGGAAATTTGAACTAGAAGTACCTCAAAACCATTCATGTGGACAATTCATTTACTTCTTTTTTCTTATCCCATCTTAGCCAGATTTACTTCTTTAAAGTAGTGTCTTTATTTTAAAATTTATTGCACAAACAGTATTTTTTTTTTTTTTTTTTTTTAGGAATCAATCATTAAGAAGGACTAGTAATTAAACACTTCCTTTATCCTCACCTTTATGTCATTGTAGCTACAATGAGGAACTTGTTCTGGGCTGTTCTTCATTTAGAATTGTAGCACAAACATTTCCATAGTTTCTTAAAAATACATTCATTACCATTTTATGTACACAGATGAGTATGTGTTACTATCTATTACCATTCCAGATGTTGGTTGTGTTTCTTAAAAGGTACTTGTACTTTTTTTGTTGTCTTGTTTTCGATTTTTAGGATGCTGTTTTCGGTGTCCTGAGCATTAAGAAGACACCAAATCTTTGTCTCTGGGAAGTGTTATATTCTTGCTTTGCTGTTCTAAAGCAGCTCATTCTTTACCCATTACAGTCTTATGCAACTCTACTAACTTCCCTTTTTAAAAGAAAACTACACTGAAGCCCAGATAAATGCATGCCTGCAATGCCAGAGAACTGCAGGTGGAGACAGAAGGGTTGCAAGTTTGAGTCCAGTCAGGGCTACATAGTGAGGTCCTACTTCAAAACCCCAAACCTATTGCACCCTGACCTACAAGCTACCTCATGGTGGTTTCTTACCTGTAACCCATTCCAAACTCCCTCAATCCTGAAATTCTAACCTCAGCAAAATTCTCCCAGGGTACTGGACCTCTCACAATATTCTAAAAATGTTGACCAATCTTTTTCGACATTATTATTTATTTGTGTAAAAATTGAGGGCATTTTACATTTAACTAGATGTGCTGAAGAGTCCTCTATCTCCTGGTGAAGTTGATAGAGGTGGATTATAAATCAAAATAAAATAACCAGTGAGGTTGCTGAGGCCTCAGAGGGCCACATGCCTTTTAAAATGCCTATGTCCCATATTCCTTCTCAGCAGCACCAGCAGCTACCTGACAATCCCTAGCAACATGACAGGATCATAGCAACAGGATTGCCCTCGGGGCTGTGGCCGGAGGTGTGGGTCTGATACTGGTAGCAGTAGAGCAGACTGTGGTGGACTACCCCAGTTGCTCTCTCGGAGGATAAACAGACACTAACTGTGTGTGAGTCGTCCTTATGTCTTACTGACTAGGAAGCGTGCACATCGGCAGCTCCAGGATGACCTTGTTATGGCATGTATTTTAGATGTACGAGTTTTGAGGACCACACCTGAACTAGCTATAACAAAGGAAGATCTGGAGAAGAATATAGAAATCATTCTCACTGAGACGGGAACACTGAGAATTTTTGACCTGCCAACAGTCATGTTCTCAGTAGAATCTGAAGATGCTGAGAAAATAGTGTATGTATGGTTCAGTTGTCTGTGTCATTTCTGTGTAACTTGGATTCTGAATTAAGGGCTCTTGTTCTTTTGAAGAGCCCTTGGAGATTTCTAGAAATGTGCCCTTGGTATTACATACGTACCCTGTGATCTTACATGGACAATGTGTATATCACAGGACATTTTTTTCTATAGGAAAAGCCCTTATTGTGGGCACAGCCTGTGTAATCACGTGAACCTCTGAAGAAGCAAGGGCAGTAGTCAGCAGGTACAAAGTCAAGTGGGCAAGACCAAGTGTGAGTGTCCTGTCACAGAAGTGTGACCATAGCTGAGGTGTGTCACGAAATGGCCTCACCAAAAAAAATAAATGTTTGAGGTAGAGGATATGTTCCTTCCTGTGGTTTAATAAAAAACAATATATGCACATATCCAAAACACAGGAACCTGAGTTAGAATGCCAAGTGCCCACATAAGAAACGGAGACAGGAGGTTTATTGGCATGTGCTGGCTGCCCAACCCTCTCAAGGTTCAGTGAGGCCTTATTTCAAGGATTAAAAGACTTAGAACAGAACACCCGACATTCTCCTCTGGCCTCCACGTAAGGCGCCCCCACATGGATGTGCACACACCACACATATGTTTAAGTAACTGACACACATCCAATAATAATAAATAAATGTCTTAAAAAAGATCCCCTCAGATTGAATTTGATAAAAATATACCAGGTCAATTAAATTCAGGCTCTGAGGATGTTAGAGATATGACATAATTGGATACAAAATACAAAATAGTTGTGAAGTGTTTCAGCAAATAAGACAGTTAAAACATTAACATTAAGAAGCTCAGGCTGACACATTTGGATAAGAACTTTATGCAGTTGTCAAAAAGCAAACACATTTCCTGGAGCTGGAGTTACATGTGGTTCTTAGGTTCCTAATATGGATGCTGGAAGCCAAACTTGGGGCCCTCTGGAAGAACAGCAAATACTTTTACACACAGAGTAATTTCTACACCCCAAAAGAAGATTTTTTTTTTTTAAGTAGAGGAAAATATAGGGGAAAAAATACAGAACCTTCAGAAGACAGAATTTTCAGGGAAAGATTACTTCATAATGAAAGGGAGGTATAATAATTTTAAATTAATATTTCAAAGTAGAATTTCACTAAATTCTTTGACTATACTGAAATGAAAAATTAATAAGTTCCAACTAAGACATTCACATATACACTGGGAGGTTAGAAAATATTTTCTAGATTAACAAAACTAAGATGTGAATTTTAAAATACTTAGAACTAGTCTGCTGTGGTGGCTCATGCTTGTAATCCCTGAACTTGGGGAGGTAGAGGCAGGCAGATCTCTGTGAGTTCAAGGCCAGTCTGGTTTACAAAGTGAGTACAGGACAGCCAAGGCTACACAGAGAAACCCTGTCTTGAAAAACAAAACAAAACAAAACAAAACAAACAAACAAGACTTAGAACTAACCAGTTATGAAAATAGCATGTATACAATGCTGCAAAAGTCATCCTCTGAAAGAATTTGTAGCTTTAGCTGTCCCCATTAAAATTCATAAATTCCCCAAAGAGAATGTTAGCGCATTATTGGTGAACACTGAAAGTAGTATGAACATTGGGAGGCACAGCATAAAACAGTCCTTTCGTGGTAACATAACGAAATCTTTTCCTAAGGAGTTTTTAGTGCTAACTTCACATTTGCTACACTCTTCATTAATGAAAGCACTTTGAGGACAGCATGTAAATGTAGAAATGTTAACAATAATTTTATTAATTAGTTACTTTTTGTTTCTTCCAGAGAGAAAAATAAAAATTATGAAGTTCTTTGTAAAAATAGATTAGGCAATGACTTGTATGTAGAAAGAATGATGCAAACATTTAATGGAGCACCAAAGAACAAAGAAGTTCAGTGTGACAAAATCATAATGGAGGAAAAAGGTAATTTGTTTTATTCTTGTTGATAAACTGTTGTATTTTAATATATATGCCCCTTGAGTCTGTCAATCAACACGGTAAACTATATGAATAAAAAATGGAAATTGGTTTGTCCAGTTCTCAATACTAGTTAATATAATTTATAACCTTCAGAATTTGACAAGTTAACAAGAAATAATGCTATAGAGTGTTTGAGTAACATAACTGTTCAGTCTGTTTTGTATTCATCCTCTATCGGAACTCTGTACTCTTCAATTATTTATAAAATTTACAGAAAATTATTTTATGATATAGTTTACTAGCACAATGGACATATTGTATATGCCATACAGTCTTTACATCCTACCTATAGTAACTGGCATCATGCTCATCACAACTCTATAAAGTGGGTTTGATGATTACTCTCCATTTCATAGATGAGTAAACAGACATAGTGAAGTAACCGAAGTTGTTTTTGCCTTAGACCCCGTGTTCTTTAGCACTGCACTTACTGCCTCTCAGTGTTTACAAATTAGCATCCCCGAGGATACTGCATGAGCCAAAGCCCGTGGTGTGTGGGCAAAGGCAAAGGAATAACTAACAGAAGATCATATATAATCTTGATTGCAGTTATGACTGAACATAGTCAGGAGCTAGTTTCTTTCTAAGTATTAAAATATACAAACCTATAGTTACAAAGAAGTGTAGCCATTGTTTCTTTGGTAAAAGAGCATTCATGTGTCTTGATGATGGCTCAAACTAAAATTTGTTGTCAGTATCAATTATTAGTAACCATTTAACAGTATAGTCCTATGCTAAACTTAATAAATTTTAACTTAAATGGTAGAAAAATATAGATAACTCAATGTTCAAAAACTATATCGTTTTCAGTTTGTCAAAATATATTAAGTTTATTCTGTGTACAACTTTGTAAAAGCTACTAAGGTAAGTTATTATCTATTTTATTGTGAAATTTAATATTATTATTCATTGAAAACAACCATTAGATACCACAGAATACCTCCTCCACCTTCTACTGTCCTTCCCCCTCTTCCCCTTCTTTTCTCCTCCTCCCTCTCTGCCCCTCCTGCTCTCTCTTCTTCTCCTCCTCTCCTTCCTCTTCCTTTCCACTTTCCTCTGCATCTTTCTCCTTTCCCCCCTCCTCCTCCTTCCCCCTTTTTCCTTTTCCTCCTCCTCCTTTTTGCTAAAGACCTTGGTTTTATATTGTATGGCTGACTAGGGAACTGACAACGTTTACTAGGCCCAGATTCCATTTCTATTTTTAAGGGAACAATTCTTTATTAAAAACACCATTCTTAAAAACAAAACAAACACATTACATCATTCTTTAACTGAGAGTTTAGCAGAGTCAGCAGTGGCTTTTGAAACTATTTGAAGATCAGTGACAATTCCAGTTTATATTTGGTCACCATTACTGTATTCGATGATTTGAATAAATTTAACTAAGGTTTTTGACAATGTCATTGTCCCAGAAGGCACAGTGTTTTTACTGAAATAGTCGTGTAGGGAACTTTACTAAGTAAAAAGGAATGAGACATTTCCCACAGCAGATCTGTAAAATGTAAGATGCTGTGTATTACTCACTAGCAAAAACATGGTCTGGATGTCGTCCAAGTTTATATCACATGATGGCCCTGCAGTGACAGGCTGATGAGATGATTCTTCCCCAGCCTGGTGAGAAGGTCAGAGCTAGAGTGAGGGTAGTCTGGGATTGTCCCTAATTCAGGAAGGCATTTCTATATACTCATATTGAGGCAACTCAGGTTCTCTTGGGACATCCTCATGAAATATTTCCTTGTTATTTTCCTGGCAGTGCATGTTTCTAATAGAAAATAAGATTAGACTTTTCTGTGACCAGTTATGTACAAAGCTATAGTCTTAGAGTTTGCTTTAATGTCCTTTTGCATTTTCTATCTGTTTAGGCGTAATGGCCACTGCCTGGGATTTATATGATTCTTTCAATGCTGCAGAAGTTCTGCTATCAGCAAAATCATCTGCATTTTCAAGTAAAGGAAATTTACTTGCTAAACACCAGGACTCCAAACAACAAGGAAAGTCTCATGGGCAAAAGTGAGGCTACATTCATTCCAGGGTGTGAAGGATGTCTTCCCATTTTACATCCTTCTGCAGCAGTTACAGAGTTTTCTTATTCACAGAACATGAAAAGTACAGCTTTACTCGGGGATTCTATTAATGTTCAAAATGTCCTGGATTCTGAGTGTGAAAGTGTTTGTTTGTTTGTTCTTGGATACCTGCCAGGAGTTTGTTGCCTTCTGAGACAGCCTGGAACTCAATGTGCACCAGTCTGACCTCAATTCACAGAGACCCTCCCACTCAGACTCAGTGCTGGGCGTGAACGCTTTTACCCCTACATTGGGCCTTGTTTTTGAATTGTTCTCTAGTGCATCTTTGCTTTCTCTCTCTTTCTAAATTATTTTTTCATGGATATGTATGTGTGTGTGTTTGTGTGTTGTGTGAGTGTGCAGGTTTATGTGTGAATGGAGGTCAGAGGACAAACTTGGGTGTGGGCCCTTACCTTCCATCTTTTGAGGCAGAGTTGTTATTACTTGCTGCTCGGCGCTCCAGGCTAGCTGCCTTTAAATTTGTATTATTTAGAACATTAAGTCTTCCATTATTTTCTTGGTTTGTTTCTTTTGTTTGTTTGTTTTTACTACCTGCTTGCTTCCGTTTTAATTACCTTTTAACTTGGGTATGTGTGTATCTGTTCTTCAGTTTATCTTTGTATATTCCATTAATTACTTGTCTACATTGCATTCTATACACAGAACTTAGCAAAGCACACTGAGGTCAACATGTTACCATTTCAAGTAAAGCTTACCTCTCATTGTGTCTTTCAGCTTTCCCATTTGATGGTGGTTTGGGGTTTTTGAGGCAAGATTTTGTTATATAGCCTGGCTTGCCTTGAATTTGTGAGGAATACTAGGCTGGCCTGAAACTTGCTGTTATCTTCCTGTCTCCGCCTCCTGAGTCCCGGGACTATGAGCATGGGCTACCATGCCTAGCACATCCCCTGCTATTTATAATGATTGCATATCTCGCCTAGCAATCAAGGACATTTAGATACTTAGAACTTGATAAGATAATGTAACCCTTCCATCATAAATATTAGAAGAAATAAAGCACACTTGCTTTACACGCTTTACTTTTCTTTGTGTATGTGTGTACCATGTGTGCTCAGGAGTACATGTAAATATTCCTATGTATACGTCATAGGACAACTGAAGGTAGCATTCTTTAGGTTCTATCTGTTTTGGTTTTTTTTGAGACCTTGAACACAATTTGGCTAGACTGGCTTGCCAGTAACCCCCAGGGACTCATCTGTCCCATGAGCTGCTGCTGCTTGCTTTAGGCAAGGTCTTACTGTGTAACCCTGGCTGGCCTGGAACTTACTACCTAGATGAGGCTGGCCTCAGAGATGCTCCTGCCTCTGTCTCCCGAGTGCAGGGATTCAAGGTGAGAACCACCAGGCCCCGCCTAGACCCAGCCTTTCTACATTGAGCTCAAGGGCACATGCCTGCTCAGCAAGCACATTCCTGAGCCTTCGTTTTTCTCCTAATTTCTATGGAATATTTTCACTACAGAATTCTGGGTAAACAGTTCTTTTCCTTCAGCAGTCAGAACATATGGAAATTCTTCTAAGATCTCCTGTCTCTTAATGAAGAGTGTGTTGATACTCAAATAATTTTCTTCTATAAATTCCTTTTCCCCTTTTACTGCTTTCAATATTTCTTTTTAGCTTCCTGGATATATATACAGATACATATGTATATATATATATATATATATATATATATATATGTTTTTTTTTCAGTCTTCTGTTTTCAGTACTATATATATATATAGTAAGTCTCTGGTGGTTGTCTTTAGATTTCCTCTTCAAGGCTCATTCACTTTCTTTAGTCTGTTTCTGTTCTTTGCTAAGTTCTGTGTATTTTCAACTATTGTTTTCCATCACTTTTTCCAGTGACAGTTTCTTTCTCTTGTGAGGTGCTAACCACCTGAGCATCATAATCTCACAGGCCTCTGAGGATCTTTATTATTTTTATTCGCAGTATATCCTCCTTGGTTTCAAAATTTTATTTTTATTTGGAATTGTGCATATGTGTGGCAGTGCGGGCTATGAGATGAATACAGTGCTGGGGGAGGACAGAAGATGTCAGAACCCCCTCAACATGGAGCCACAGGCAGTTATGAGCTGCCAGCTGTGGGAGCTAGAATTAAATTTGGTCTTCTATTAAGAGCAGAGTACACACTTCACCACCGAGCCATCTCTCTGCTCATTTTTTTTTTAAGTTAGTTTGTCATTGTTTTGTTTTTGTGAGCCAGGGGTGGTGGTGCACACCTTTAATCCCAGCACCCAGGCAAAGGCAGTCAGATCTCTTGTGAGTTCAAGGCCAGGCTGGTCTATATAATGAGTTTGAAGACAGCCAGGGTTGCATAGAGAGACCCTGTCTCAACCAAACAAACAAACAAACAAAAAACCACCCAGGTTGTTTCTTATTTTTTTCCTTGAGTACACTGATACTCTTTTTTTTCCTTTCTATTTTTTTATTTAACTCATTAATTAAAAATTTAAATTTTGAGCATTTCAATTTTGTAAGTTCTTTTTTTTCATTTAAATGTTCTGTTCCTTTGATAATGTTTTTTTATTTGTTCTAAGGATGTTCATAAACACTAACAAAGTATTTTTATACTGACCTCTATAAATTCATTATTAGATAATTCTACTGTCTTATCTTGGTGTTTGTATCTACTGATTATTGCCTTTTTTATTTGAGATTTCCTTTGCTCTTGGTACCAGGAGTGGCTTTCAGTTGAAATCTAGATGTGAAGCTTTTATTTTGCTAGGCTTTGATAGAGCATATATTGGGGAGTGGGAGTCATTATCTTATGACTGTCAACCAGAGGTAGCTGGCCTTGAACTCACAGAGCTCTGCCTGCCTCTGCCTCCCAAGTGCTGGGATTAAAGGCATATGCCACCGCCACCACCTGGCAACGGTCACTCTTGAAAAGATAGAGAAGCCAGGAAAACAAATTTATCAAGAGCCTCTAAAAAAACAGTATTGTCTCATAAACTTGTTTTTAGTTCAATGACAAAAATAACATTCTTTAATAAACAAAACTTCAGGATAATCAAATTGCATTGTTTAAGTCATGTAGTTTTTTTTTTTAAGGTAGCCACAAAACTAATGCAGAATAAATACAGAACTCTTTCTCACACTCAATAGTCAAGTCAGACCTTTGTGTGAAGATTGATAATCCTTTTATTTCGATGTGAATAGTAAAGTACAAAGAATTATGGCTGTAATTTGAATGTGCCTTCCAAAACTCACCTATTGGAAACTGAATCCAGAAATTTATATGTTCATGGTATCTACAAGTGTGCTTTGGGGAAGTAGTGAGTCAGATGGCATCGTGAGAATGGGGCCCCCATTTCAGATTACTGCTTTTATAAGAAAATGCATCTGAGCTTCCATGCTTCCCATTTCCAGCCATGTGATGCCTTCCATTGTGTAGTGGACAAACCATAAGGCACTCAGCAGCTGCAGTTTCTTGTCTTTGATAGTTCCAGCCTTTGGAACTGTAAGAGATACATTTCTTGTCTTAATAATTTACCTAATAGTAGTGGATTTTTTTTTTTTTTGCTCTGTGTACACAAATGTTTAAGGAGGACATGAATGTGTGTAGTCAGAGATGACCTCTGATATCATTCCTTCTCAGCAGAGATGACCTCTGATATCATTCCTTCTCAGACACTGTCCATCTTGTTTTTTGAGGCCCAGTCTCTCACCAGGCCCTGGGGCTTACCCACTAGGTTAGTCTGGCTGTCCACTGAGTCCCAGGAATCTGTCTGTCTCTGTCTCTCCAGCGCTGAGATTACAGCTACGACACCCAGCTTTTTACAGAGGTTCTGGGGACTGAACTCAGGTCTGAATGTTTGCAAGGCAAGGATTTTACCAACTGAGCCATCTCCCCGGTCCCCTAAATTGTATCTTCTGATAAATTAACAGAATATGTTATCTCAAGATTATTACTGCTTATCCTCAGAAATGTATTTCTTGATGGATGAGAGTTCCATGAGTTATATGTTTGCATTGTGTTTTGTTGTGCATGGAATTTTCAATAAATGCTATTGAAGGTGGTAGAAATTGGAGACAGAAATTATGAAATATAATTTAAAACTTTTACGTTTACAGATAGTGAAAGTAGTTCCCTAATGGATATAGAAAATGTGATTCTGGCTAAAGTTCATGATGATGAAGAAGACCAGTCAGAGATGATATTAAAATTGGACAGGCTTCAACAAGGCTTATTTTACATGGAAAGAGTTTTAATGGAAAACATATTTCAGCCAAAGCTTGCTGCCTATCGTCAACTCCGTGTTTTAAAAGGTATTTTTAAAGATTAATCATGTATAGACAAATTCTAGTAATTGAAAAAAGTTGGATTGCACTATTGAATATTTCTAAATGTCATTTTCACACTAGTTATCACTTATTAAAGCATGTGTCTATGTATTTTTAACCACTTATTAACTACCTATAAAGCACATGAGTAGCACTAGAGTCTAGACTAGGGAATCCACAAGGTTTGTCCCTCATAAAAGAACATCTGTGTCCTTATTTTCTTCTTGTTCCCACACTAAGTTAGGCACTTGCTTTTTATAGTGTTTCTTGTTGTATGGCCTCCCTTTGCACTGTCATTGACTCTTCAGATAATGGCTCTTTAGCCCAGTCCCTAATATTAATGACACTCACTCCTCCCATTCTCACTGCTACAAACCCCCTGTAATGTGGTCACAGAATATTTTATTCTTGCTAGTTACAAATTTTTTATTTTTTATTTTTTATTTTTATTTTTTTTAAATCTTTTATTTATTTTTTATTAATTACACTTTATTCATTTTGTATCCCCCCATAAGCCCCTCCCTCCTCCCCTGCCGATCCCACCCTCCCTCCCCTTTCTGCATGCATGCCACTCCCCAAGTCCACTGATAGGGGAGGTCCTCCTCTCCTTCTTTCTGATCTTAGTCTATCAGTTCTCATCAAAAGTGGCTGCATTGTCCTCTACTGTGGCCTGCTAAGGCTGCTCCCCCCTCAGGGGGAAGTGATCAACGAGCAGGCCAATCAGATTATGTCAGAGGCAGTCCCTCTTCCCATTACTATGTAACCCACTTGGACACTGAACTGCCATGGGCTACACCTGTGCAGAATGGAATTTTATGTAAGAAGTGGGAAATAGTAAGAGCTGGAGGGAACGGGAACTCCACAAGCTAGTTACAAATTTATTTTCAGTTTTCTGACTTTCAAAGGCTTGAACCCAGGACACTGTACATGTTCTGCCTCTGAGCTATTTTTTTTTTCTGAGTATTTTTGTTGTTGTTTTGTTTTGTTGGAGATTAATTCAGCCTTTCAGCACATGAATAGAGTGAAGCCTCTATAGGCTACATAGTGAGTTGTTTGATTCCAAGTTTTCTTTCCACTATCTTATCCTATCTTGCAGATTTATCCTAAAGTCCTTATGGACATTGAATGCTCTAAATGTTCAGAGCTTCCCATTGCTTTGGGTAAACTACATGTCTCAGAGTGTGTTATTTCATATATCTTCAGTCTGGCCAGAGACTGTCATTGTATTGTTTTGAGGTGCTTTGCAATTAGAAACCACTGAAATCTGTTTGGCAGTCCACTCCTGTTCTGGTGTTATCTTTTCCTGTTGTAGTCCCGATTTTTTTATGAACTCTCCTTGATCTTCAAATCAAAGTTAATCTTCTATGTGGTTACCTAAAAAAAGTTTTTTTTAGATTACAAAACGAGATATGTGACAAATAGTTATAAACCCCTCGCCTAGGATATTTTAAAACTGTGTTCCTCCTTCATTTTAGGCTGCTATTTTAAAATTTGTATCATGTATACTGGTCCAGGCAGTATCTAAAGAGTTACATAGTTGCAGTCTAAAGTATTATGAATATTGACAGTTACAAACCTAAACTGTTATTTGTTTACTAATTAAAATAACAAAACAAAAACTTCAATGAGGCAAGATTTGCAGAAAGTGGCATGTCTATATTTAAACTGTGTTTTTAACATATTTGGAAAATTAAGAAAGTTACATAACTAATAACCCTGATCGACATAGAAAATATGCTCTTGAACCATAAAGATTAACTTGTGCTAGTTGCGTTGCATGGGAACATTATCCAACCCTTAGGCAGAAGTTGACCTTATCTGTAACTACAAGTTAACTTCCCCAGTTATTGTATATTACATAGGTATATTCACATAATAAATATTATTTTTTGAGCCAGTGAGATGACTCAGGCAAAGGCACTTGCCATCAATCCCAATAACCTGAGTTTGAGTCCTAAGGACACACGTGGTAGAAAAATATATGCAATAATAAAAAATTAAAATAAACTTGTGCCTAGAGTCTTTCATGTAACATTCCTGATGTTGAGGTTGAGCTAGATTGATGTGTGAATAGATAGTTAATTTCTTTCTCAGTAAAGTGCACTAGTGCATGGAAATACCGTAATTTCTCTACTCACCTGCTGAAGGGTCTGCATTGTGTTCAGTTTGAGGTTTCTGATTAAGTCTTTTGGCAGACTGATTTCAGTTTCTTTTGTGAAAATGGCTAGTAGTTGGTTATTGGGTAGGTGTGTGTTCAGCTTCATTTTAGGAACTGTAAAATATTTTTGCAAAGAGTTTACTGTCTCACATTCCTGTAAGCAGTACATAATTACCCTGGTTACTCCAAATGTTAATACCTGATACTGGCAATGCTGTTTTTTTTTAAATGTTGTATATTATACACAACGGGTTTATTGTAGTTTGTAAATGTATATAATATATTTTATCATATTTTTACCTCCATTATCATCTCTTATCCTACACCTATTGATCACTTTCCTCCTCCCAAGTAGCAGTTGCCTGTTACAAGGAGGGAGGAATCATGAGCTCCCACTTTGTCATGAGTTTCTATAGGCCATTAGTAGTTCCTAAGGGTAGAGGCATTACCTTCATTGACATAGCCACTGGTAAGTTGGCCATGCTCCCATAAACAATGCCTTGCCCATGCAAATAACTTTAATTAAACTCATTGGCCCACACACCCAGAGTCGCAGGGGGGAGATGGCAATCTTCTTAATATTGTTTAATATTGTTCATTGTGGTTTCTGTATACTTTTCATTGAGTGCTTGACTAGGTCTTTTGCATATACTAAAATTTACTTCTCCTAAGATATTTGCACACGGTGTACGTGTGTATGTGTACATGACGTGACATGCTGAGGGGGTGCAAGGCACGCTCGCAAAAGCCGGGGGGCAGCATATGGGGTCAGATCTCTCCTACAGTGGTCTAGGGAGTCACACTTAGTTTTCTGGCTTGGTGGCAAGTGTCTTTACGCTCTGAGACATTTCCCTGAACCTGATGGTGTTATGTGTTAAGTACTTGGTAGATACAAAGGAATAATTTTAAGGAGGAATAATGTGTTTGAATTGAGTGAAAGGAAGAGAGTGTGCGATCATAACTACTGAGTATCAGTGACGTCAAAGGGATAAAGGAGACACACGGGAACGGGACTGCTAAGGAGAGAGGTCAAGGCATTTTAATACCCATGAAACCCAGAGCATTCAATATATCAGTGAAGGAGCAGAACAAAGTTTTCAGAACAAAGAAGTGAGATTTTACAACTGAATATTAAGCCACAGCAGTTAAGATAGTGGATGAGAAGATAATAGATGGATTAGTAATCTAGACATCTCAGATACAGACCTATCTAAAGAGTCAACTGATCTTTGGCAACAACAACAAAAAGACAGTGTTTTCAGCAATCAAAGCTAGAACATACAAAAGTACATCTAGTCACAGACCTCAGGATCCATAAAAAAATAACTGAAAAAGATTATAGACGCCAATATAAAACGCAAAATCCCTCAAATATAACAGCTGAAACAATACCCCTGTGTGTTAAAGTAAAACTCACCAAATGCAATGTATCAAAACATAATTGATGAGCTAGACTTCCTTAGCAAAGATACTACAGAGAGAATAAAAAGAAAAATCACTAGAAAAAATATTCACAGAAGACATATCTGAGAAATAATTGCTAGCTAGATGTACAAAGATGTCTTAAGACTTGCCAACAAGAGAACAACTTGCTGGTCATCGAGGCGGTGAGCCATATACCTATAATATAATTTCAGCACTCTCCAGGTATAGGTGAGAGGATCAGAAGTTCAAGGCTAGGCTGGGCTCTGTGGGACCCAGTCAAAAACAACAGCAACAAACCACCAAAACCCCATACCCATGACTTTAAAGTGAGAAGATGTTTGATGCGGTGCACGTGTGTCCCAGCACTCTACAGGCTAGGGCAGGAGCATCAAGAATTCAAAAGTCTGAGGCTGGAGAGATGGCTCAGCAGGTAAGAGCCCTGGCTGCTTTTCCAAAGGGACCAGGTTTGATTTGATCCCCAGCACCCACATGGTAGCTCACAACTGTCTGTAACTCCAGTCCAGATCTGATGCCTTCTTCTGGCTTCCAGTGTCCCCAAGCACACATGTGGTGCCCAAACACACATGTGGCAAAACACCCATAAACATAAAAATAAAATATATAAAAACAAATTTAAACAACAAGCAAAAAACAAACAAACAAAAATGAGTTAAAAACCCGCCTGGCCTGTCATAGCAAAGTCATGTCTCAAAGTCAATAAAAGACATGAAGAGAGATCTCATCAAGGATGGTATCCACACATCAAATGATATGTGACATATCACCATGGAATCATGAAATGAAATCAACATGCCTGTTAGAATGTCCAGATCCCAAAGACATGGTAATGCCAGATGCTGGTAAAGATGGGTGACAAGAGCTCCGTTGTGACCAGTGGGAATGCATAGTGGTATATCCACTCTGGAAGACAGCTTGACAGTTACAAACCTACAGCCTACTGGTTACACCTGGTAGATACTCAGATGAGCAGAAAACATACATGGACACTCATCGAAAGCCCTATACACCATGTTTATGGGAACTTTAAAAAATTCCTCAGATTTAAGAGTAAACAAAAATTTCATTACTAGGCAAAAGGACAGACTGAGGTATAGACAATTGTTCACTGTTGAGCGATCAACCTATGGGTAGATATGGAGGAAGCCTTCAAGCTTTGCAAACAAGCCCAGTGTGAAAATGGCACAGGCTGTGATTCCAACTCTGGGAAGAGAGATGATTGCCATGGAGGGTACATGAAGGGATAAAAAGCCTGAGCATGAGCTTTCAGGACAATGAGACTATTGTGAACAATACTGTAATGGGGAATACATTGTCAGTCACTTTTCTCAAAACCCACAGACTATACCACACAGGAGTGAATGCTCTTATACATTGTGGATGATAGTGACAACGAACCAAAGGCAACAACACATTCCTCCTGGGATACAGATTAGCATTACTGTCAAGGACTTTAAATAAGCAGGCAGGTTGGCTGCCAGCGCATCCCTCATTCAGCTCATACACTTGGCTTATGTACAAAGAAAATGGCTCTTGGAGCAAGGCTGTGACTTATTATAAACCTGGCCAAGTAGTGATTTAAATGGCAGTGGCTGTTCTGGCTATAGCTTTATAACAGGATTAGTTATTTTTCTTGTTGCCATGGCAAAATACCTGACAAAGCAATGTAAGGAAGAAAGGGTTTAATTTTTGGCTCACAGTTTAAGAGGGTCCTGTCCATCATGGCAGGGAAGACATGGCAGAGTTCTTTGCAATGGAAGGTTTTGTTTCGTTAAAAACTCAGGTCATGTAAACACTTTTGTTTTTGTTTTTGTTTTAATCCCAAGTGTGGGATTTTAGTTTGGGCTTTAGGTTGTCCACAGCTGATAAATGTCTCATGCTGGGCATGGCCTTTGACAGCTGGTAACAGCCTGCCTCATGTGTCATGGAGAGGGGCATGGTCTAGGGCTCTGAGGATATTTATATGAGAGCCCAAGAAAGAGATAGTTCGGTGTCCGGCGGTGGCATGTGGCACATAGCAGTTTGGAGAGACAAGAGATAAACAGTGTGGTGGGTTGGAGAAAACATTTCAGTGCAGCAGCGTGGAGGAGACTGCTTGCTGTGTATGCTGTTGATGGAGACTGGCACAGAGCCATAAGAGAACTCATCGACCCTAAACAGATGGGAGAAATAAAGGGGTTTGCATCCCCTCTCCCAGTAACCTTCTCTCTCCTACCTAGGGTTGGGGCTTGGAAGGTAGAAGCTTTAAGGAACCCCAAATAAAGCAGATTTTAAATACAGTGTGTTACCGTTCATGGCAGCAGCAGCTGGTACTCCTTATGTAGGAAGCAGAGAGGTGAAGAACGCTCTTCTCATTTCGCTTTGTTTCTTTGGGCCAATGGGCCCATGGGATATTGCCAACCATGTTCAGGATGAACCTAAGTTAAACATCCCATGAAATGCCCGTGTAGACAAACCAACAGCTGTCCCCTACGTGATTTTAATATTTTAGACAAAGTGTTGATAAAGGTTAACCATTGTGATGATTATTCTTGTTTGTGAGGTTGAGCACATCTGGAGTGAATTAAAACCCAAGCAACTGGGTACATCTGTGACAGATTTTTCTTAATTAAATCATTTAAAAGTGGGAACACCTTCTGCCGGGAGCCTGTATAATGGACATGGAGGAAGAATGCTTTGTTCTTTGCTTGTTTGTTCTCGCTCTCACTGGCAAGTCCATCCCTTCACTGGTAATAGAGCCTACTGCTTTGGGATTCTGGCAAATACTGAAGACTAGCTGAGACATACAGCCTTGTGGACTAAACAGTTACTGGATTCTTAGGACTTTCTGTTGGTAGACAGCTATTGTTGGACTAGCTGGACCATAGCCTGTAAGCCACTCTAAAAAAAAGAAATTCCTCTAGAGAACCCTAATCAATACAAGAATCCTCATAACATGTGAATAAACACATGTAGCTTGTTTGTGAGAAACGAGAAAACCACACACATTTATTTTTAGTGGTTCTACAGCCCTACCATCACAACTGAGGGGCCTTCAAAAAGACATCAGGTTGGTCTGTTTCATGGATGTTGACTGGACCCGGGCAGCAATATGTGAACAACTGGAAAGGTGTTTTCATATCAGAGGGTAGGAATTAAATATGGAGTAAAAACCCCCAGAATTCTGCCTCAGTTAAATTTTAAGGAGTCCATGGGTATGAGATAAATTGAGATAGTTTCTCTTTCTCTCTGTCTCCATGTCTCTGTCTCTGTCTCTCTGTCTCTCTTTGTGTGTGTGTGTGTTATGTGTGGTCAGTGCATGCATGTGAGTATGTGGTTACCTATGCCCATATACATTCATAAAGAGGCCAGAACAACAGGAAATCGGGTGTCCTCTGTGTTTCTCTGTTACTGCCTTGAGACTGAATCAGAAGTTTCTCTGTTTTGGGCTAGGCTGGTTGGCCAGTGAGCTTTTAGGATGTGTGTGTTTCTGCCCTACCATACTGGGATGATGAGCATGTGATGTGCAGGTGTGTGTGTGTGTGTGTGTGTGTGTGTGTGTGTGTGTGTGTGTGTTCTGGAGATTCAAATTTAGGTCATTATGCTTACAGAACAAGAACCCTTACCTGCTAAGCCATCTCCCCAAACTTGAGCTATATATGTTCTAGGGTAAAGTTGTTGGCCCCATCCCAATAAAAAACAGACACAAAGACTGTTTTGTAATTTTAAAGTAACAGCATTTTAATGTGTTACTCTGGCCCATGCCCTGAGTGATCAGCAAGTCCTTTGTCAGATTTTGGTAGGCTTGGGTTAGCACTCAGGTACCCTGTCACTCGCTGCGTAATCCAGTAGCTCTCATGGTATGTAATGGGAGTGTCAGTGACAGACAGCTGCTGTTTGGGGTCTTTGGCAGGCACTGTCCTGTAGGTTCAGAGAGGGCAATGATAACTCTGTTTGATTTAACTCTAGAACAGCAACCTGGGGGGTCTGAAGATGTTTCGAAGGAGGAAAAGTCGGTGACAACAGAGAGTGAGATTAAGAAGGAGGAAGAAGAAGAAGGAGAAGGAGAAAAAGAACTACAGATAAATACAGAACAGTCAACAATACCAGCCAATTTGGAACGGCTCTGGTCGTTCTCCTGTGACTTAACTAAAGGCCTCAATGTGAGCAGCCTTTCCTGGAACAAAGCAAATCCAGTAAGTCACCAAGCGCTGTAGCAAACCCATTCTAGCATCTAAATTACAACTCTTTTGTAAATGTCCACTTATTATTTTGTGCATATATGTATGGTGTGTGTGTGTGTGTGTGTGTGTGTGTGTGTGTGTGTGTGTCCGTCCAGAAGACACCTATCAGGTGTCAGTCCTCCACTTTAAACTCACTGAAGCAGGGGTTCTCATTTCTGCTGCTCTGTGTTCTCCAGGCTAGCTGGCCAGTGAATTTCCACATGATTCTCCTCTGTCCACCTCTGGAATTAAAAATATGAACCATCACATCTGGCTTTTTGTGAGTCCCAGACGTTGAACTCAGGTCATCAGGCATGGGCAGCAAATGCTTTTACTCACTGAGCCATTTTGCTAGTCCTTACTGGCAAATTCTAAAAGGAAGGGGGTTTTTTTTGTTTGTTTGCTTCTTTGTTTTTATTCAGACTTGGGCCAAAGGTTTTGCCTGGCTATATAACACCTAGCTTTAAAGGGTCGCTGAACCTTTAAACCTTTATATTTGAAAAAGTAGATAATGCAAATAGTTACTTTTCTCCTTACACGTAAAATTTTACACTCTTGATTTTAAGAGTGTGCTTGGCATGTGGTAGCCACTAAGTTTGTGTTGGAGATGTATTCTAGAAAGCAGTGTATGGTTGGTTTATTTTAACCAAAACTCACATATGTGAATTCTTCTTCAGGCAATCATATTTGGGAGGGCATGCTTGACACAGTGATCATGCCAATGTGTAAAACATTTGTGAGCTTCCTTAGTAATGATGTTATATTAATATTATTAAATGCATAGGCATCAGTTCATATGCATCTGGAACTGTTCAAAATTTTTTAAATATTTCATGTCTATTCTTTTAAATTATGAGTATGTTTTTGTGTGTGAATGTACGCGCATGAGTGCAATGTCCTAGGCAGCCAAAGGGAACTGAAGTTAGAGGTGTTTGTGAGCACAATGTGGGTCCTAGGAACAGAACTCAGGTCCTCCGGAAGAACAGTACATGCTCATAAAGTGCAAATCCATCTCTCTAGCCTTGTGCTAACACAACTGTATTAGTCAGATCCTCCACTGTGTCGATAGGAAATTAGAGGCACAAGAGAGTAAGTAATTTCTCCAACCTCACCCAAACAGGAGATGAAGCAGCCAGAACTGAGAAGCAGACATCTGACAGGAAAATTCCCAAAGTCATCTTGAAGCAGATAAGCTAGGGCAGTGGTTCTCAACCTGTGGGTTGTGACTGCTCCCCCCACCACCACCACCATCAGAAAACACAGCTATTTATGTTACAATTCATAACAGTAGCAAAATTACAGTCATGAGGTAGTAACAAAATAACTTCATGGTTGGGGGTCACCACAATGTGATGGACTGGATTAGAGGTGACAGCATCAGGAAGGTTGAGAACCGCTGCTCCGGTCACTGGTTTGTTTATTTTTAAAGGGGGGTATTTATAGAGTAACGAAGCTGATGTTCTCTTGGGCTTTACAAAATGCTTCAGAAGTTATTTCACAAGGAGCAATTCCAAATAGCATTTCAGGAGTGAGTGTGTTCCTGCAACAAACTTGGTGTAGTTTGAACTCAGAGCCTTGCAGATACTAAGATGCACTCTACCTCCGAGCTGCAGCCCCAGCCCTAGCCCCCTGTCTTTCCAGCACTTTTAATAGTAGTTCATTAACAGGTACCTTTATGCATTTGCTACAATTTCCTGCCATTCTTTGAAGTGTCTTCTTTTGGTTTTTAGGACCTTCTGGCTGTTGGCTATGGGAACTTTGGATTTAGAGAGCAAAAAAAAGGAATGGCTTGCTGCTGGTCAATAAAGAACCCCATGGTAACCCAAAGACAAACAAGAATCTTTTTATTAAGTTAAATGTTGACAGGGTTTTTGTTCACTGTATACTTGTGTGTAATAATTCAGTAAAGTCCAGACCGTTTTTATCAGTCAAGACCTTTCACTTTCTTTTCTTTCTTATGTGTGTTCATAAGTGCAAGTACACACGTATGCAGGTGTGCATGCACTTTGTGTGTGTGTGTGTGTGTGTGTGTGTGTGTGTGTGTGTGTGTGTGT